ATCGAGTCTCGATGTAGCCTTTTCGGCTCCCTCCTCCGAGTCGTGGCGGAGTCATCCTCGAATCTCGCTGTGATCCGAGAAGGATCGAGAGCGTTCCCTTGTGGGGAGCGGACAGAATGCCGCAGTTACACCGAACTATTTCCTCCTTTTAATTTTTCCATTTTACGCGAATACATCCCCGAGCCTCGTTCGGAACTGTGACATCTGTCTCTGACCGATCAAATCGTCCAACGAGTCCGATGTCTGACTTCTTCCTCCAATGTTCTCTCACAACATGGCCGTAAGAAGCCTCCGTGCTCGAGACGGCCGCTCCGCACGCCGCTCCGCACGCCGCTCCGCACGCCGCTCCGTAAACCGTTCGAGTGTTTTTCCGAATAGATCATTCCGACCGTCCGAAAACACAGTTGTAAGACTTCGGCACGAGAGAGAAGATATGATCATGCATGGCCGTGCCCAACTTCTGTGAGTGACGTGCGTGCGTCAATTACGGCGAGAAGGTTTTTCCTACTGTGCTCCGACCCCCGAGTTTTATGTTCTCCGAATCACTCGAGAACCCCAACGTTTTCGAGAAAGCGTATCTGGAGAGAGGGAGAGAACGGTTCCGACGCGGAAGCGTTCAGAAAACACAGTTTTCATGACGAGAACGAAGGCCACAATTGTTCTCCGAGAGACGCTTCTCTCAAAATCGCTCAACTTTCTCCTTTTCCGATGGCGCTCCGGGCTACTTTCCCATCTTGCGATTCGAAGAATAGTCGGAGTCCCAAGGAGTTGTCTGTTGCACTCTCATCAGCGTCGGGATCGAGCAGCCGATAACCATCAGTTCCCGCATACGCTGCACATCTCGTTCGAAGTACGTGCTCTCCGGGCTAGTTGCGCAGACCGGGAACGAGGGTCAAGGACTCAGAATTCGAGCTGAAGGTGTCGGCGTCGCGTCGTTAGCTCGTCGTTGTGCTCAGTGATGACAACGATGTGTCAAGTACATACGACTCGTATTACACACTCCTCATGACTCATGACATTTCATTTCGGCCATCGGACGACGCGGAAAGTTCATCATTTTCCCATTTGTTTCCATCATGTTCCGGGACCCGAAATTTGCATGGAGATAGAATCTACAGGGAAACGCGCCGCAATCAGCCGATCGAGCAGCCGACAGAGTATAGTTGCGGAACATTGCGGCTCATACCTCTTCCATGGGCGCCGACGATGCGGCGAAGGACGCGGCGAGCGGAAACACGTGGAACACTGTTTTTGTTCTCAGCCGAGTACTAGCTTTCCAGCGACAAAAATCACTCATGGATGGGACGGCCAGAGCTGCGGTGTCGTCTTAGCTCAACAGGTTTGCGCAGTCTTCCCGGCGCAGATAGGATTTTGTCCCTTGTCAGCCGCTTGTTGTGGCGAAATCCCTGAGGCTTAGAGGCAAATCAAACTGTCGGCTCGATCCAATCTTGAATTCTCCGTCCACGGCCGCGAGACCCATCTTCTGGCATTCCAATCAGGTAAAAATTGCTCGGCGGCAATGATTTATGAAGTCAGATCCCGAGCCTGTCCTCGGATGAGTCCAGGTAACTCCTCTCAAAAGGAGAATCCAAACTCCGCTCCGTCGCGCTTGGTCCAACTCATTGTCCCGAATCGAAGACTGGCGGAAATCATAAAACTTATGTGCTCGAACTTTAGCACGCGTAACTCACCGTGCCGAATCAGCGGGGCGTTGTTGGGATCGCGCCAAAATTTTGAGATGACGCGGCCACCACTTGCGAAGCACTGCAGTTGGAATGTTGCCCAAACGTCGCTCTATTCCCACAGCTGTAACGAGGCTTGTCGAATTCGCTTCGGACCTCAGATGATGCTCTGCGCTTTGCCAGGGTTCGAGGAGATCTGTTCGTTCATAGTTTGTACATGAGCTAGCTGGCTGTACGGAGACCGCCTTCGCTCCTTCCTCCGGACTCAACAGTGTGCCCGCGTGCCCTCGCTCAGCTGCGGCTCGAGCCGGGGCCCTCTCCAACGCCTTACCCTTTTGAACTGACGTTCAGCGAATGACGTTAGCGTTGCATCGACGATTTAGAGTGAGAAGGTGAGACCGTAACGACTACAGTAACAACGAGCACGCATTTCCCCGGTCAACAATCGATTTGTAATTCAATCGACTCATTTCGAGCTCTCGTCGAGGCGAGGAGCTCTCCCGCGCCCGTGAAGGTTCTCCCCAGACAGATTGAAGGCCCGACCTCTCTGAGACGCAGAACTCCAGGCGTTCGTTCGCGCGAAATTGAGCAGATGCAAAGCAAAGGCAAACATATACGTCTGATGCAAATGTGCGCTGGGCGGATTCTTGCGGCCTCCGAGTCCGAGAATCCGTATGGGGAAACTCTCGCGCCCTTTCTCCCAATGAGCTCCGGGACCGAAAAAAGAACCGGCTTCGGGACAGAATAATTTGCATTCCGAATTTCTCGACTCGGGAGTCTGCTTCCCCCCGCTGGTCATCTGGGAACTCTCTTGTCTCTGGCCCAGGAGGTGGGAGTAGGTGACACTCACAATAATTAGATGATCGGATTCGTTGCGGAAGCCCTCGAGCTGGCGGAGCGCATTCAAGCCACAGCGGAGTCCAATCTCAATTCCCGGCAGCAATTCGCGCAAGAAACCGCTCTATCCTTTGGTAGGAGAATTCGCCAGAGCTTGCAGATGGCGTACTGCCATGCTCGAAAATCCAAAAACACAGAGGGCAGCCCAGAAAACCTTGTTCCTTCAAATGGACTGGCTTTGTCGACCGAGGTCTCCCGTTCGCTTTCTGTCAAGCTCAGTCCTATAGGGAAGAAACACAACGCTGGAGAAGACAGCAATCCCCATCCGATTTTTGCTTTTCCACTCGTTATTTGTCTCAATGTTACGAGTCACCGAGTGCGATCGGACGTCGGAGGTAGACTTCTGCGGAATTTCGCGAGCACGAGAGGTTTTACTCCCCAGGCTCGAGAGAAGAATCGGAATCGCGGCAATGACGGCGACCAACCACGCGGAGAATGAGATTCTTGCGCCCGATCCCAGAATATTAGCCTAATGAAAACCTCTGACGCTATTCTAAAATATTACACTCCATATCTCCCGGCGGCTGATATTCCTCCTCGAGGACTATGACGTCGCAGTTTACTTGCCCGAGGCGAGTTGAATTTCACATGCAGGTTTGTCGTCTTTTGTTAGGCAAAATAAGTTTGCAGAGGTCTTTTCCCAAGGTGGTTTGAATATTCGATGCGGTCGGTGTTTTAATATGGAGCACCTCGCAAGTGGAAGTGCTTCTCCGCAACACCAAGAACATTCCAGTCGCCTTGCTCCTGTGATTTCCGCATGCAATCCTCTCGAAAACTTTCTGTCACCAGTTGATTCTTTGGATGGTGATTCGCGGTAGAGAAATAAGCACTGTCCGCTTCTGGTGGAGCGGCCGTCTCTTTTGTGGATTTTCCCGCCTTCGAGCTCGAACGACCGACGAGTGAGCGAGGAGAATAGTCGGTCGCGGCATTGGAGAAGTTCGGAACCGGCGAGATGCGAGAAGACTGCCATAACTTGGTCGAACTAGTCTGGTGTGGAATTATGGGGCCTTTTACTTCATCCTACCGCCAGGAACGACTGTCTTTTTCGGGAAATACTCGGCGGTCGATACAACCTCAGTCGTAATGAGGGTCCAGCGGAGTACGCTGGATGCATAACCCGATATCGAGGACCAAATGTTCCCACGAGTTCACAGAAGAAGAACATTGAAAGAGCAAAGTTGGAACACATTTTCAAATTATTCAGAAGAATGCCGAAGCTTCTGAAAGGTCCCTCGAAAAGGTTTCACATGGCATAGTGAACCATCTCCTATTGAATGCCAGCAGAAGCCTTCCCTCTTGCCGCCGGAGTACTTTGTAGCCTGGCCGTGTATTCTCTCCTTGTGATGAGAGAGGCCTCGGGAATCCAGACTCTTCGGGTGAATCCCTTCTCATATCACATCCACCTCCTCCATTTCATACCATGTCTGACACGACCCCAGGCTGAGAATATTTCCAACTGTCGCGTCGAATGCAGGGTAGTGCACAGGATTTTTTTCCAGAAGGGGGGGCGACGACCAAAAATGATGGCGAGGTTTCTCGGGGTCCATACTTCTGCATTGAAACCGAAGGATTTTGGGAGGGGCTATGGCCCCCTTGCCCCCCCATGTGAGCGCCTCTGGTCGAATGGTACGCTCTCCAGACTTCGGCACAATGCTCCGAGGTGGTTTACATCCTGTCAACATTTAGGAACCCTAGGACAATCACTTCAGAAGATCTCAAATCCGTATTGAAGAGCAGGCGATGGAGCAGTACGAACCGTAGCGAACTGTTTCTCTGGGTGGAGTCGTACCGTTCCACGTGCGGTGCGCTGCAGCACACCTGGTCACGTGCCATGCGGACGCGTTGTGGAGGCGATGTTAAGTTCGTTCACCCCATGCAATCACGTCATTTTTTTCAACTTCCCAATGATGTGCGAGAGATGGTGAAACAAGCCTGTGCATGACTGGATCGCACCCACATACCCGAGTTCCGGTTGCGTGAGATCCATGATTCCTCACGTTCTCGACTCAATAAGAGGGAATAATTTCATATTCCACATCCGCGAGGGAATAAGAGCGACAAAATTGTTGATCGACATTTTGGTCGATTATCCAGACCAACTGCTCGCAAGGCAGCACTATCGGGGTCAAGACTCGCGTTCAGGTACTCTTTCTTGGAGATCGCGCTGTCTGATCTCCTCTTCCGAAATCTACCGCGGGAGGGGTTTGATATTGACCGTGGGCCCCGCAGGAATTCCTCTCAAAATTATATCAAAATTATACTTCATTTATACCGATTCGGCGAGTCGTGAATGAACGAAGAGCTCATGTGGCATCCCTTCACCAATGCTTGAAATTTTGAATGAGAAGGACAATGTATGATAATTGTCGACCATCTCATATTTCTCCGTTCCGCGGAAGAGTAGCATCACCAATCACTAACTATAGATTCGATATATTCGACCATGCCCCCTCTGAACTCGGTGATCGGCTGCTGAAGAAATTTCTCCCACTTGTAGAAGCACATCTGGAACGAGCAGCAGGATCGCAGGCGAGACCCGATTGAACCCTATCTAAATCTTCACCCTGTCATCGTTACTCCATCCTTTCAGCGAACTCCCTGCTGGACGCCCCTTCAACTGCTAATCGGACCGCCTGTCTGCTCCTCCGCGGCCTCAGACTCCTCGGAAGACTCCAGGTCCTATTTGTGACGGGGGGACCGACCCGTTGCCCCAGCCAACGGCAATCTAGGCAAAACCTCGATGAATCATCGAGCTCACCGGAAGGAACGCTGAGAGATTCGGACTGATTTTCGGGCTGTCCGTCTGAGCGAAGTTCCCACTTGCTCCGCGAATCCATATTTCCAAAACTGCAGATAATTGGGAAGCGCGCTGCTCGTTGGTGGTGGCAGCCGGGGATCTCGCGGCTTCCCGATACTGGGGCATATCCAAGTATCGGTCCCCGGGACATTCTGTCACCTTGGAGCACAAGATCCGTGCATTGCACGTGCGCGCCAACATCTCCGGCGCTTTCCGTACACACGCGCCATAGCATGCCATTCCTCGAACTTGCGCTCCGTTTGAATGGAAACATGACGAAAGTTATCCAAGACTTCCGGTAAGAACAGATGTTCCTTCACAGGCCCCGATCGGAGGGAAATGTGCGAAACGCTGCTTCCAGAAACTTTTCTCTGCTAAGCTTTCGGATGATTTTCTCTTCTCGGGTGCTTCCCGATACCGCACAGCCGAACAGCGGGCTCGAAGGCCCATGGAAACTTATGAAAATGAGGGGAATAAACTTCCTGGAGCTCCGCACATCCGGCGGTGAGATTCAAAAAATCCTGAGCCGAATCTCCGGAGACATCATCTGCCAAAGCAATTATATTCTGACGTCTCCATCCTGAGTTCGCTAAATATCACATCTCTTCGTATCTTTAGAGAAGCATAAGTTCTACGTTGGAATTGGGAAACAAAGCCATCGAGTTCTCAGTTTTCTATCGGAAGTAGGTACTCATTTTTCAGGCACAGTATATCCCTCGGTCTGGGTTTATTCTAGTGTTCTAGTCCCTAGTAAAGGGAAATCACAATCGAGTTCATCTTCTGAGTCGCTAATCATCTCAGGAAACAACCTTGAAAAGGAGGGTTGAGAAATAGCAGTGATGAGAGTCAAGGAGCCTTAGTTTTTTCGCAGCGCTTCTCGCTCGTAACCAATCTCGAACGACGAAAATTGGTGTTGACGATTTTTTGGCGACTCCAAACCGCGAGCCGTGCCGTCAAAGCCACGTCCCTCAGCGTATGCACGCTCCCTGGAAGAGTTGACTCCGATAGAATCCGCCCCTGAACCCTGAGGTAGGCTCTCTCAGCTCTTCTTCCGGGGGAAAGTGATGCCTCGTGTCGTCGATGGCAGTTCCGCTCATAGCCGGGAGACCCTCCAGCGAGAGGAGGAAGATTATTTCATCAGTTTTTGCTCGATATCCATTTTCGTAGCCCTTCTTCTTCCTCCATGGTGAGCCCTCTAACCTTCACGCCTTCCGATAAAACTATTGCTCGTTCTCTTTCCATTTGCAACACCCGGAGCTGTCTGAGAGAACAACGGCGAGCCGCGAGACCATGAGAACTCCACCAGATGTCAGCCCTGACGCGTCAAGTTTTTCGTTTCGAGCCTCATCTCTTTCAACCCGCTCTCGAGGAATCGCTTCGTGCTTTTTCACCACCATGGCATGGAGAATGAGGCAGACACTTGAAGCTGCAGGGCGGCTTGTTTTTTCGCAATTGTGAGGTTTTATTTCTCATGCTCCCGAACCTAGACGCAGGGCTTTGAACATCTATTACTTCACGGCTCCACGACCATGGAACCTCGAAGGAATACCTCATCTAAATCTTCGACTTCCGGTTGCCAATCTCTTGGTCGAGAGATAGTCGCTTGCTGCTCACTCGGTGCGTCTGGTTCCTGTAGCAGCCTCACCGTTTATTCGTGGAGCTCGTACTCCGAGAAGGCATCCGAATCGTCGAGAGAAATACCTAGGCTCAGCATTCCGAATGGCTTCTTCTGCGGGAAACATCCGGTCTTAAGCGCGATTTGTCTATTGGAATTCGACGTTTTTCGCTCGCAATGAGCTATAAGCGTCGGGAGACTTTTCCTAGCAGGCAGGTGTTTGCTCAACTTTATTTCGCGAGTGCGTATGACTCGTCGATTGTTCGTAAAAAGGGGGGATTTTGTTCCCTAGATTTGCTGCCGCGAGTTGAGCTCCGGAGATCATGGGAATCGATGTACCGTTTGGGAACGCTCTGCCTGCCGAACTCGGACAACAAGAATATCTCGATACACCCCACGATCAGAACGAGCCTTCCAGTCAGATATGCTGCTCCGCAGGGCTGTGCTGGTCGTTCAACATCCCAGGATCGAGCGCTCTCAGAACATTCCTCGAGCCAAGTCTTGGCGATGTTCGCTTGGATTACGTAATCTGAGTTATTATGAGCCGAAATTCAATGCAGGAGGGGAGAATATGTACATATGTATTATATGTATTATATATGACAAATTCATTGCATCTTCGAATTCGCAGGATCTAGCGAACGATTGACTCACACTCACAAGACGGCTTGCGAATCTACTCCGATTCCCGGAGGAGAGGCAAGTCTGAATCGACAATTATTTTGAGCTTACCGCGGAGCGAGTTTGCTCCCGAAATACAGCAAAACCGGAAGCGCTCCTTGCGAGCATGCCCGCGCTCGCCGCAAGTTCAGCGGTCCCAGAGGACAAGTCTGCAAGAGCTTCCCCGACCCGCCAAAGGCTCCCTCTTGTGGGAATCATAGGAAGCTATCGAGCTGGGCTGAACTGAAACGGAAACTGAGCTCTTCTCGCCGAGTTCCGAGCGTGTCCCCTCCGGGAAAAACCTCCGAATGCTTCCGCCGAGGTCAAGTCAGATGACCGGGAGGAGTGCCGCGCGGAATCCCCGAGCTTCAGCAGCTTCCTTGAGCCAACGGGCAAACGAAGGTCCAATCGGGACTGGCGCTCTCCAACTTTTCGGCCTTTGATGAACGACTTCCCCGCAAGCGTTTTTGAGCTCAACACGGCGTGATCCGAGAAGCTCCAATGAGCATTGGGCAGGATGATGCTTTATCACCAGGCTGAACTGCTATGACCTCTAGTTACCGCCGACCCTCTGCCTCCCCGATACAACTATACGGAGTTTTTGTCAAATAGGCGCTCCGTGAAGGGCGAGAATAACGACGATTGTCCTATGAGCGGGGCAGACTTTCTCGGGGGGAATGGTCAGGTAAATGAGAAGTTGATTCCGGCGAACAACAGGTCCGGTCATGCCTTCCCGTGCCTACTGCCTTCTCTCTGATGCAGTGTCTAATCAGAGATGGATCTCATTTCCAGGTATCGGGTTTCCACTCCGATGGTCCGGGTGAGACTCAGACTCTCCCATGCGGTCGACATGCTCCACATCGTCGTAGAATACTCCAGAGAGGTCTCGAGGCTTGATTTCCAGCCGGATAAATTGGAGAAGACCGTCTGCCCCGAGCAGCCACCACGGAACAGCCTTGTACGTGTGGCCTGAGGATGGCAGTCCCTAGAACAATCGTCGTGTTTGCTATGCCTATACCTTGTACACATATTAATATCCCGATAGACTGCCTCCTCTTGTTGTCTACTGTGACGTGCGACCGTAACTCCGCTCGGCTTTGTCTGCAGGTGTTGGAATCTCGCTCCGCGCATGCACCGCCATCAGCGCCGATAATAATCAGGCCGCTCCTATGCTGTTGACTGACCGAGGCTGCACTAGAGAAGACCTTTCGATGGACACGCTCAGCCCCGAGCGTCGCTGGGGATTCCCACAAGAACGCGATGTCGATGCTGCTTCCTCTCCGTGCGTTCCTGACGCTTCAACGTATAGAGAACGCACGAGCAAAACTAAATACGGCGAGACGTGTCTCCACTACGGTCTCGATTGTCTGTATTGATCAGTCTGGAGTGGTACAGACCGTTTCTGTATAGTCGCGGGAACGCTCAGGTTTCTCTCCGGAGAGCCAGATACCGGCGAGAAGACGAAGCCCTCGGACTCAGCGAATACGAATCAATCTCATCGCAAGCTTCGGGCCGTATATTCATACTTCGACGGCCCCGCTAATCCACAGATGAGAGTTCGCCCCAACTGATTGCGCATGGGGACGGGCTGTCGACGCGAGTATGTTCTTGGCTGCCGGGCTCCATTGGATCGAGGGAGCAGATCTCGGTGGATTCTGCAAGTTCGGTACTTAGTTAGACGAGTCACCGGAGACATTCAGCCTCGGGCGATACACTACTGTGCGTAGCCGTTTTTCAAGGGAACCTCATCTAGCGCCGCGCTTAAAACATTGGTCGCAGCGGAGGCTCTAACGCCAAGCTCGGGTCGATGGCTTCGCTAGACCGCGGAATAAAGCTCAAAGTAGTATATTTTCTTTCGAGCAGTCTCTACAACTTCCGGAGGAATACGTCGGCCCTCGTCGCCTCTCCTTCGCGGGGCGCCTGTCTCGTCGTACCGTATGCTCCCCCGGAGAGCTCTCAAGTTACCTGCTCAAGTTCAAGGGTTCAGCGAGTTTGCAGACGCATCGATGACCCCTGAATTGGGCAAGGCAGAGCGAGTGAATTGATGAGTCTTCGGAGGCTTAGCGGGAGCAGAGTCCTGCAAGAGAGATTTGGAATCTAGGAGGAGCAATTGCTTCATCGAACTTCGTACCGATTGGTTTCTCGAGTGCTCAAAAAAGCCGCACCCGGGAACTATTTGGCGGATTTCCCGCATGGAACATTCCGTATCCGAGTATTCGGCTGTCTCTTTTGTCCTTGAGAATCGTACGCTCACTGAAGGAAGAGCATTGAAGACTCTCGGAAAGTTTGTCTCGGTTGTCGAATTCTCGTAAGCCATCGTGACAAGCTTGACCTTTCAAAGCCGTCGTCTGACCTATCCAGACCATGGACAAGGCTCACCGAGGAGGAGCTTAGTGGAGGAATGCACGAATCAAAATTTCGAGGCAGATCGGGGCATTCTGCATTCGAATCCAGCCCAGGATCTCCGACTAGTTGTGCGTGGGAATGCCTGACTTGGACGCTGAATAGCTCATAAATACCACGGAGTAGAAGTCGGGCGAGAAAGCGAGCTGGAGATTCCCATTCTACCTGCTCAGCTCCTATAGAATTCACCCCTGTTCCCAATGAAGACGATGACCACCGCAGACGATGATGCTATCAAAGCTTACGGGTTGGAATGGAACGTCACGGAGTCGGTGATTATTTATTCGGAATACCTAGCGAGCGTTACTGCTCAGACCGTAGGCAAGAGGGATTCCACAGGGGCTGAGCTAGCGCTCCGCATTCTATTCAATCCTCTTTCGGGATGGGGGTTCTTCGCCTGTTTCATTTTCCTCGCGCCGCTGAGGCTTCGAATCAGACTTGAGTGGAAATTCTTCCGATCTTTTTGCAATCCCCTGTCGCGCCCAGTGTCAGTTGCCATCAGGTACGCACACGATGAGGCCCTTCCGGGTCAGGGCCGCCAATGAAAAAGTCTCAACCTGGCGATTCACGGCCTCATCCGCTATCCTTCTGACGGTTCAGGGTATCCTTTCGACTCCATACAGCTCGCAAGCGAATTCGGGTGTGATCATGGCGGCAGGTTTGCCATTCTCGACGCTACTCGGTAGTTCCCTCGGCACCAGGGTGAAGAGTTATAACTAGCCGCTGGGTACATCGTAGAAACGGAAATGGAAAACGCTTATATTCTTGTCGAGGGGAATGAACCCGCATTTCTCTCATTCAGGGGGTTCGAGTCGGAGCGGAGTGCTTGATCATTTTTCAGGAGGTCTAGGATCAAGGCCGATTCTTCCGATCTCATCGAAAGGCTCCAATCGCGAACGCCGTCAGAGCGAAACACCGACCGAAAGAAACATCGGGGAGCTGCCGCTCCGTGAGCTTGAGGTTTCGAATTACAATACTCGTGTTTTCTTATGATCAAGTCGTCGGGGCCGATCACATTCATCCAAGCAAGGCTTCAAGCTCTCGCCGACGTGAAATGAAGCCTATTCAATACGTCCATATACGAATAATGCTCCCGCCCGGCTCCGCTCATGCATGGGCTGAGAGCAGCCTCTACCTGATCTGTGGGAATGGAGCGGAGACACGAAAAAACTCTTCGCTGACACGTCAGCAGCAGCGGTACCGAGGACCGGCATTGCATGGTCGCTATCGGATCCTCTAAACCCTGAAAGAATGCTCCTCTGCTCCAGACGAAGTTTGCTCCCTTCGGTGAGCCCTTGTCCGGATTGAACTGTCTTACGAAACACCCGCGAGAGCAGCTGCGGAGAAGCTAGAAGATCCAAGCTTCCACCGTGGAAAAACCCGCTGATCCACTTCGCACGGGGCTTTAATCGTGCTTCTGAGAGGATAACCATCGGACCCATAGAGCACCGATGACAGCTTGTTCCGCCCCTCTCGGCGTTAAGCCGAAGCCCCACGAAGCTTCCTGTCTCAGCAAGCTAGAAGCGCTCTTGCTTGATGTGGATTCCATCTAAGTGCCCGGAAAACGAACGGAAAGCGAGTCCCCATTACCCCCATGGGGTAATGTTGGCGTTCGAGCCCGCCCCTTGCTCGGCTGGACGCACGGAATCAAGCCAACGGAAACAACTTCCCCCTTAGAGGAGAAAAACGATGAGGCGCACGGATTCGGTTCTATTGAACGTGATATTCTGACCAGAAAGCGTATACAAACAGTCGCTCATTCATTCAATCAATGCGCCAGCTCAGAAATCGCTGAAGTGTCCTCCGTGAGAGTCCCTCGCGCTTGCCAGAGAATTGTCCGCCGATACAAAGGTATCGAAGTTTTGAGGTTTCAAGTCCCACTTCATGAGAATTCTCTTCTCGTAGAGACTGAGGAAATCGATCTCCCGGAACCAGGCATGGCCCTTCACGGCTGCGGCGCCATCACCGAGGGCGCCAAGTCTCCTCGCGAAGTCTTTCTTAAGAAGATTCCTTATGAGGTCTTCTGCGTCGGGATGGATAATTTTTTTCTGATTGGCGTCGAGCTTAATATCGGCTCTTTTGATTTTTCTGATCAAATCGGTACTGCGCTTCCCTTTATCGGGAGCGAAGGGAATGTCTCCGAGCAGAAGATCGTATAGTATCACACCAAAAGACCACCAGTCAACGTTGTGGTCGATGGAATCGGTCGCGAACTGTTCTGGTGCCATGTATGGAATCGTCCCGAAGGCGCTAGGGACCCAGCCCGTGAGTTTAGACGCCAGCTTGAAATTAGTCAATTTCAGGTAACCATCGTGGAAAAGCAGAATGTTCGCTGGCTTCAGGTTGCGATATATGATTTTGCACGCTTGCAAATACTCGAGTCCTAGAATTATTTGAGCTGCGATGAGCTTGCTCAAGTTCTCCGGAACCTTGTCGTACAGGTCGAATATCCTCTCAAGGGTGCCATAGAGTGGGTACTCGGAGACGAAATATACACTTGAATTGTCTTGGAACGCGTAGAGAAGTTTGTCGATGAATGGGGATCGGGCCGCATACTGAATTTTCTTTTCGCGAGATAGCGTGTTCTTCTGCTCGGTCTCGTTGAAGTAAATCTTCCTCAGCACTCGGAGAGTGCACTCCTCTCTAGTGATGAGGTGCTGAGCGCGGAACACTTTCACACGGGCGGTGGCCCGGATCGTCCTCAACAGCTTGAAATCCCCATACTGAGCTCTCGGGCATTCGTCATCGGCGAATCTCTTGTTGAAGTTTTTCTCTTCGCTTGCGAGGTATGTCCTGTAGAGCTCCTGCGGGGTGAGGCTCATCGTTGTTTTCCAAGGTGAGAGCTTATAGGAACGATGTTTAGGCGCAGAACTCTTATCGACGGCCTCTCGAAGTTCGCCACCGATGGCAGTTCTAGACTTACCAGTTCTGATGACGGACTCAAACCGCCAAGGATAGCCGGATACCCACGTTCAGAGCGCGGGCTTCATTACTCGGTTCGATTTTGGGAATCTGGGATAATCCGAGCACAGACGGATTCCGATGATCACGAAGCCGAAGTAAACTATCGATACCAAGACTTAATTCGTTCTCGGAAGACTAAACATTTGTATATCGCTGAGGCATCGGTGAACGATTGGGATGAGTCCATCGATGGCCCGCCAGTGAGCTCCGTTATACCCCATCCATGGACCAGCCTTCCGTGTCTTCGCTTTTCCCACGGAGGAATCGGACGGAATCTACTTCCATGTACATATAATGCACCCTGAAGTCCTATGCCGGCCAGATTCGCTTTACTTGCTGGCTTATGCTGCTTGAGCTCTCGTGCTCATGGCGAGCTCATGGAGATATACCCATACCTCCTCTCGCTCCGGGCAGAGAAGGTGCCGCTGCGTTCCTTACTAAGAGTCCTTGTGGAAATTCGCTGCGAGATTTTCTAACGGGAGTTTTCAACGGACATTCCGTACGGAAACTTGCGCTGCCCAAAGATGCGAGTTTCATGAGGCGAAAAGCACCATCTTCCATGAATAGGAAATCCAGCGAGACGCCATCGCCGCCGCTCACCGGCTCGAGGGGGAGGGCATTCCTGAAATTTTCTTGCGCAGGCTGATATTTGCTCAATGCACACGAGCCGCGGCGCGGTCCAAGTGAAACCGCATCAGCAGCTCAGATCACTTCTTTCGATCAGAGAAGGATCGACGAGCGGCGAATTCCGCATCTGCCTTCCTCGGCGAGTCGAATTGTGTTCGCCTTCGAAATGCACGACGCGTTGAGCACTCGGGCCATCAGGTTTTCGGGCCATCAGGTTTTCGGGCCAATGATTTTCGGCCATCATTTCGTGCCATCAATTGTACTCAAGCTGTACGCGGACCTTGGGCCCGCGTACAGCTTCCGCGTTCCAAATCGGCCGGCCTCCAGTAGCGGACCCAGGGGGGGTCCCCAAAGTCTTCATCCGTAATGCTATTGCATACGAGCGGGTACCCATTTTGGACCCTTTGACCCCCCGAAAATCGGTCTTCCCCCCGAAAAAAATTCCTGGGTACGCTCCTGCCAGCCTCCCTCCCGAATTCACGACCTGATCTTATATTCATCCCGTATCCCCAGCCACCGATTCTCGCATACCTTCCAAAATTCTCTCCGTTGAGATCTATTAGTCTCGGCAGATTTTAGCTGTCAGTCTGACCAGGAGGTCAACGAAGCGGGCTATACGATAAGCGTGGCCGCACTTCTTTTCCAGGCCCTAACAAGGAGCTTCGTGAACTACCCAAGCCCACGGGCTATTCGTGGAATACATACACGTGAGAGGGATGAATGATACAATAAACGAATTCCCGAAGTTCGGATCTCTGCTGCCTCGTGTCGAGCGAAACAAACAGCGGAGACTCGACATCTCGCGGGACGCTATACATTGAACTCAAAGATTGGTGTAGAGCGACAACTGGAGCATGCGTCTCATGGATTTCTTGAATGAGATCGATATGTTTCTATGATACGGGAACGGATCCGGGCTCGGGACTATTTACTTTCAGAAGACCCGGTTTGTGTAGATATCTGGGAAAGTGAGAAGCGGAAGAGCTCCGGGATCCGGCAGCGTCTCAGGAGGAAGTATCGCGCGCGGAGTCCGAGGAACGCACACACAGGGTTCGTCTCGAGCAAATAAAGGATTTTCGGAGTCCGGTCGTACACTGTTACATGATCCGGAGAGCTCGTCTCGCTGAGCTCGGACTTAGGACCTGCGTTTGGAACTCTAAGTACTCGCGTGAGCTCAGAGGTTGAAGCATTGCGCAATGGAACGATCCTAGGGATACTTAACGATTTTCTCAGGGAAGACTTTCATTCGACTCGGGTTAAGAAGATGGTGATGGTATGTGTCTTCGGTTTCCTCCCGCAATCGTCCTCGAAAAAAGAAAGTCTGATTTCCGCGAGCCTAGGAATTTGTCTGAACGACAAGGACTACCGTCTGAGAATTAAGCCCTGCGAGCTCGAGAAAAAGCTCGACCTCATCATTCTCATTTGCTTATCGTCAGGGCATCAATACACCGCGGGTCCAGGATATTCGGACGTCGCTTCCTCTCGCGAGTGATTTGATACGTCTGGGTATTCTCCATAGGACTCGTGAAAAGGTCCAGAATGGTTTACACAAACTGGACCCAAGGAGAAGCTCCGATGGACAAACGGACTGAGAGTTAGGAATCCTGAGTTGACTTCGGCTTGCGTCGAGTCGACCACCTTAGCCGATTCCGTGGAAGTTTCGCCGTTTCGGAGGAATGGCGAGCCATGGGAGATCAACATCCAATCGGGAGGTGTAATCTCGCCATAAGACGCGGCGCCCGGGGGTAAGTTCAAAATTTGAATGCCGAAGCTCAGAGGAAGTTCGAAAATATTCCACGGGGGCAGAGGACCTGAGTCCAAAATGTCCACTGAGCATTGTTTTGAAGCAGGACCCGCAACAGGAGGGGTCACAGATAATTAATGCGTTTCCCGAGTGAATATTCCCCGATCTTCACCCTATCGCGATTCTGTGGGAGAGATCTCTGGAGATCTTGGATACAACGGGTTCCGGCTAGGTCATCCGAAGTCAATGCGTTCCTTGGAAAGTTCAGCGAGTGGATCGTTCTTCGAGCAAAACTTGCCCCCGGGCGCTTGGATTACGCGATGAAAACACTCGTCCATGCTACCGAGTCTTACTTCCTCGATCCAGAGGATTCTTCCGCGCATCGAGTAAAATAAAGCGGTGTTTCGGATATACCTTCTATTCGACCCGCTACAATTGTTCGATTCGGGAATAAGTCCAATGCGAGCCGTCTTTTCGCGCGACCTCACTGTGTAGGTTGTTTCGAGATGAATAGGATAATGAGACGTGGGAAGCGCCCCCTGGCATTCGCGATGTAGTTCTGATCGGGATCTAGAGTCAAGGATGGAATGCATCGTCGAGTAGTTCCGGATGATCGAACCTCCCACCTGATCCCCGGCGGGCTGGGAGAGGGTCGGCTTAAGCTTCACTCTTTCGGGATCATCCACTGAGGATGCCGGCGCATGCAGGTTGCCCCGAAGAAGAACTGCTGCTCTTCTTCCGAAGAACTTATAGGCAACACTGCGACCTCAGATCGAGAAGGAGAACGTAGGCACTCCACCTCAGAGAATAATCAATGCACCTCCCTGGAGAAAGGTCGAGGGGTCGAGTGCTACCGCACCTTGCGGACCTTCGGCAATCGAGTATTCCGCTTCGTGGAAGCCTTCCCATCATTTCACAGGCTCCATGACAATCGATAATCCTGGCGATAAAAATTACCCGCTCCAACCCGTCGAGCGTACCGATGGCGGAACGACGGGCGTGACCCTGGATGAGTCGAAGAGGGGCTCAAATTGAAAGGGAGTGTTACAAAACTGGGACCGCGCCCGGCGTCCACTGGTCGTCACGATCGGACGGCGGGGGTTGCGAAACAGCCCTTCGGAGCCAAGCTCCGGAAGAATGGGAGCACCTTGAGGACTCAGTTCCTCGATTTTCTTGCTCAATCTTGAAAGCTAGACAATGGTTGACATCGGATCGATGGGGACACTCTCCAATAAGCCATTATGAAGATGAGCGAAGCTTCTTTCCCTTTTACTATAGTATAACATTGACTGTTTCGCCCGAAAATCGGAGTTGCCTGAGACTTTGCGGTGTCGATGCTGGACGCAGGGTTGATGCAGTCGATTGACAGTTTCGAAATTCCAAACGATTCTCCGTCCTGCGTGGCTGGCTTGGTTTCCGACTCGATAGCCCCATCGCATCGTGTCGAGTTCACGCCACCTCTCTCGCCATTCAATACTCCGAAGAAACACGCAATGTCGAGGGACATTCTACTCGGAATTTCCGCTCCGATGCGCCGACGGCGCGTTGACTTCGACATGTTCACCCGCTGCCTGGGAAACCCCGATCAGCGAATCAAGCAGCGGTCCGCAAAGCTAAAGACCGACGATCACACTCAGGTGAGACGGGCATCGTCGGCTCTCGGAGGAAAAAGCAGAAGAGGTTATCTGCTTCTCCCATTCCTGAACCTGCTCCAGGATATTCGATGAATCAATCATGGTTTATAAGAGGGATCCGTTGGGTTTTTCGTCGAGTAGGATCGAGATCTCTCCGCAACAAGCCCGGGCGTCATCCCTGGCTTTGCTATGTCGTCACGGACATTCAGTCGGGGGAGCGAAGCTCACCAAGGACCATGGCAACTATCGCAGCTATCACCTAAGAACGTGTGCTGAGTTTCTTGTCTTCGTATCGTCGATCGCGGGCTCGAGACCGTGGCTTCTATGACATTCGCATCCCATGAGGTAAGCTTCTCCTCTCCCTGTTCGCACTCTCCTGCTATCAACACGCACGATCGAGCGACGGGGAAGAGAAGAAGCACAACAACACCGCCGCCGTAGCAGCCACCGCCGTGAGTTCTTCGGGTGGTGTGTGTTATGCTAGCAGCAGCAGCTGCTTTCCGTGCTGATAGAGCAGAGCATCGGCTGCCGTCGTGAAATCTCTGTCTTCCGGTGTGAAGTGGTGAAGTGATCTGTTTCGATTCTATCGGAAGGCTCGGACAGCACCGTCCTCAGTCATGGGAAACCGCAGCTCTATCATGCTTTCCGAGGAGGAAATCAACGAAATCCAACAGGAGACAGGTTTCTCCCCGAATCAAATCGAACGATTATACTCTCGCTTCGTGAACTTGGACCGCAGCGACAACGGAAGTCTGTCCCGCGAGGACTTGCTCCGCATTCCAGAATTAGCCATCAATCCACTGGGAGACCGAATTGTTCACACAATTTTCGCTGATGCGTTCGACGACCGCATCAATTTCCGTCAGTTCATGCGGGTTCTCTCACGTTTCCGGCCAATTAAGAAAAACAAGGACAACAAACTCAACTCTCGCGAGCAGAAACTACAGTTCGCCTTCAAGATGTACGACCTAGACGACGACAATAAAATTTCTCGCGACGAGCTGCTCGCTGTACTCCACATGATGGTCGGCGCCAATATCTCCAACGATCAGTTGAGTTCGATCGCCGACCGAACGATCATGGAAGCAGACCAAGATGGAGACAACATGATCTCGTTCGAGGAATTTTGTGCGACTCTGGCGAAGACCGACGTAGAAGAGAAGATGAGCATTCGCTTCCTGAACTAGATCATACCCATATATTTTTCGCTCTACGAAAGGACCACAATTAGTCAGTCAATCAAACAGTCAGTCAGTCTGTCGGAGCCGCGCGCTCTCTAATTGGAAAGAATGACTGCCGGCCAAGTTAGCATCTCAGTCCGTAGGTGGAGGGTTCCCATAGGCGCCCAGCTCTGATTTGATGTTATTCCGTTTCCCCGATGAGATTGACTCGAGAGAAAAAAACGTCTCCAAGGTCGAGAGCAGAGCGGGCGGTATCGGCATCCTATGAGGGCTCCCTTGATAAGGGCTGTTCATGCTGAGGCGGCTGACAATGCACCTTGTTGTTAAGTAGCTAGATTTGAACAAAAGGCAGACTCGTTATTTTCCCTCGGTGAGCGACGAAACCTGATAAAGCGATGACGTTCATCCTTTTTGGGAACAAAAAGCACCCGTTGAAGTTATTATTATAATAATGGCTGGGAATTTTTATTTGGTCTGGTAGAGAGTCGTCGTGTCGCATCAGCTGGCTTAATGGTGGACGGCGATGACGAGTGAGCCTGGACCACAGGGTGGCTGAGCATTGTCTATTGAAGTGTTTGGTCGATCAGATAAGGAAGGAGCTTTTGGTCGAGAGTCAATTTGAGACCAGAGCGAAGAGTGGAGCAGGATTCTCGAGCGGAATCGGAGCTCATCGTTAGGCAAGGTCGCTCGCTGGGAACTGCGAACCTTTCTTTCTACGGAGAAGCATAGATTTTGTACGATCCCCGATCCGTCGCTGGCTCGAGTTTCTCATGTATGGTCTGGTTTCTGGCTCTCGGAACGGTCACCCATAGACGGGTCGTGGGGGGGGGGGGCTGCTCGAGTGACGTTGGACGTGCAAAACATGGGAAGGAACCAATCATCTCGATCATGAAAGTATTATATCGATTGTTGAGGAACGGACTCGGAAACCAAATGGAACATTTGAGGTAACTGAGATATAGGAAGAGCATCAAGGAGACTTATCAGTGGAGTCGTCTTGAATTATTGTTCGCTGCATTGAATAAACGAACGACGTTGATCATTGGAACTGCGGGGGGCTTTATGTTCTCTGATGACTCATGATGAATGACGATAATCATAACCGATGGAGCCGCTAGTCTGGGAGATTCGAGAATCTTGCCGAACAGAATGTTTTGAAGCGTCAATGCTTAACAATTAATCCAAACCGATTCCGATACGTGTAGATTCGGCTCTGCTCAGGAAATACGCCTGGCAGCGGCAGGTCTTCTTCTGTACCGCTATGTCGCTGGACGTGCCGGTTTTGTAATTGTGATTGGACTTTTCAGATCGTTGGAACTTCCGCCAGCCTTGTTCTCAAGGACATCTGATAGATCGGGCAACAAATTTTCTGTCTGCTTCCATGTGTCGCTACTATTTTTGCTCCGCTCGAAACCGGCGCGTCAGACGCATGGACGAGTTGGAAGGCTAACCGAGACCAGACTGAGCTTGGAGTCTGATGATGAATCGTTATACTTTCGGAACAGATATCTCGCTTTATCGAAGCTTTTCAGAGCATGAGATGTTACAGAATGCCTCGCCCAGGAGGAGTTTAGGAATTTGTTTTTTCGCTTAAGGGGCCATGAATCCCTCCCGGATGGGCTCATCGATGATGATTGTGGCCCACCGCACGTTTTCGGACTCGAAGAGTGTCCTTTGAGACTCCTGAGGCTAGGCAGCTCCAATTCGGGCATAGCACCCTGCTGCTCCCGCCTCCAGTAACTCCCACTCACATCAAGCTCGGGAGGACGATGAGAGATTCTGTTTACTCGAAGCTGTTTGCGATTTGTCATCTCAAACGACATGACGTCGCGCTGCTCTACGAACGGTCGAGCGGAGTCGTGTCATGCTGCGGTTTCGAGAATTCTGAGCTCCTCCGACGGTCGGATCGAGAAGCTCGATTATTGCTGCCTCGATTCATCGTCAACCGTCAACCGTAAGAGAACGGATTCATACAGCTCAGGGCATTCCGGCGAGCTGCCTGCGTCTCCTGATCAGGAAGCGCGGCACCGATCCACACTACTCAGGTAACACCCTGGCACCGCCATGACGCGTGACTAGGTTTCAGCGATCGCATTAGGCACGCTCACAGCTCGTGCCTCGAAATTCGTCTCACTGAGAAGGGGCGTGCGTTCATCTGCGATCTTGGGAATATCATTGTAACGAGCGGGCGGCAAACCGCAAAGATCAACTCCCCGTACACGGGCTCCCCGGTGTCAGCCTCAATTCGACGTTTCAATTTCCCTTTCCTACGATCTGCAGAAAGATTTACACTGGAACCTCGATCCGTTCCATAGAGCCGTTTTCTATGCAGAAAGTTCGTTATTCGGAGCCCCTTTCTTTCGATTCGATGGTACTGTCCCGCTGCAGCCTCTCAAGGGCGGCGTTTTTCAGTCTCATAGTAGGGATGCGATTGGAGATTTGGATTCTGAATCACGACAGTACCAAAAAGATTCCCGGAGAGAAGACGAGATTCGTTCCTTGACCGAAGAAGGGTCCGTTTCCCGATGCAAGCTTCTTCGAGAAAAGCGAAATGTTCTGGAGAACACGAGACCGTCTTGATTGCCCATAGATCGGTCCGCTGGCCCATTTCGGGACATATGCGCGTCTTCGATGCCCATCTCCATGCGAGACTACCAACAACAATAGGGATCGGAGATCAGGATTTCAGGCATTGGGGGGCATTTTTTGAGGTTATTAAATCATACGGCTCCCTTCAAAACTCCGAGATCCAGATACTGATCGTCATCAAAGGCGTGATCGCTTAGTCTCATGGAGCGCGAGGAAGACATTCGAAATGCGAGATCGACACCGTCATCCTACAGGAGGATCAGGCTGGAGCACCGGAGAGCGGAGCCTGCAGCGTTTGCTGCACAAGTCAGAAGTGTCCCCTGGAGCAACCGGTGGAAAATGGTGCACGCAATGGAAGGCGAAGCTTTTGAATTGATCGATATGGAAGAACGTCTGTTTATTCCCACCATGATAATCATATTATGATCTTCCGAATTCTTTTGTAAATCATCATTGATCATCAACGCCTCGGGCGGTAACAAGAATGAAATGGAGAGCACTTCCGAGCTAGTACGCTGCGCTCTCCCGGGACGGATGATCCTTCCTAAGGGATAATGTTCATGCCGAAGGGTAGGTCACAGTCGACGAATCTGCGTCAGATTCTCCCTTGAGCTTCCTCGTGGATCTTTTGATGAGGGACCAGAGCCACATGAAGATATCCGTGTAAATGAATATAGCCCCAAAGACGTATTCTTCATAATAGATATCGACTCTCTTGCCCTCCATCAAGATGTAGGTGTAGACATACATGTACAGTAGGCTCAGTGTCAGGAAAACTAGTGCAGCGTCCTTCTCATACTGTGGGTGGTAGCCGTACACACCTGCCAAGAGGAGGCTGTAGATGAAGGCACCGAAAACGCACATATAGATGAAGCCAACGCAGGAGATGAAATCGAATCGCGACTGGCACGTAAAGATGGCTATGCCCAAGCAGCAAACAGAGAGCATTCCGAGCGTAAGCCAAGTTATGTGGAGGTCTTCGTAGATTGTGAGCATGGTAACGTTGAACGCGAATGCGAGCGACAAGCCGAGGAAAAGCTGCAAGTTTTTTCCATCAACTCGTTTAGCTTTCTTTGACCGGCAGACAACGACGAACGCGACGATCAGCAGGACACTGGAATATGAAGTTTCGAGGATTCTTCAGGCATTATTCCGTGCAGTGAGCAGCGTGTTTAATTCCACATGCTCGCGAAATCCGCAGTCGATTCGCTCTAATCGAGAATTCTGAATTTCACTGGCTCAACCTTCGACTAAGGGAAGAGAGCAGGCTTCGCGGGGTCAGTTGAAGACTCTGATTGGAGAATTTCTCGAGTGAACGATAGTCGAACGCAAGTTGTACCCTACACCAGTCGGTCTCGATAAGCACGAAGCAAACTACCCCGATGAGGATCTGCGACAGAGAGTCCGTACTATGCTCTTCCAGCCTGATGTTCCTCCATCGGTTGCCACCGGAGTGTTTTCCAGTTTTCCTCAACGGATACAACGAAGGCGGCACGGGCTGTATCACAAGCAGTGGACCACCTGCCGGGGAGAAAACGGCACTCACCTACTGACGAAGAGTCTGAAGGCGTCACTTAAAACCCTGCGAGCGCAGAAGAGGATGCAAGCAGTCGTCAGGCCGTGTTGGATGGAGAGGAGCAAGTACAAATTGCGTACGAAGTTCTGGCGATATATTCTCTCCGCGCCCTTCAGCTTTATCAATCGTCTTTCAATGTTCACCAACGAGAAACAGCCAAAGCGACCTCATGTTGGGGAAACAGAACAGTTTTGAGCATAACCACTCCAGCCACTCGGATCGGACGATTGAGATTCGAACGGCATTCATGGGCAAGAAAATGAAGGGAGTGGACCCCAGATAGCGCCTAAGGACACGCACCCATGCTGAATCGTCTTTTCTCACGGCTCTCGAGTCCTCGGGATCGAGCAACAACTGTGATTTCGTTGTTTATCGCGAGGAAGCACTGCCGTTGCAAGGAGAGCACTCATCTTGTTTGTTTTGAGTTTTGACCTCGACTCGGATCTCGGAACTCGAGCAAGTGTCAAACTGAGAACGCATGATGCGGAGCCAGGGAGAAGACCTCCGATGCCTCCGACTATGGTTCCGGAGAAATGGATCAAGCGACTCGAAATGGGAACGATGGTCGAGGGCTGGACTGATCGGAAAGTTTCACGGCGGGCACACCGCTTTGTGGACGACGATGCCAAGGGCTGGTTCGCTGCAGAAGGGGGCTCGCAGTCCGACTGGAGGTGGCCTCTTCGGAGCGAGTCACAACGAGAAGGCAAGAATTGTGCGCGACCAATGCATCGGACACCCTGGAAGTCTCTTCGAGATGAAGGTTGAACTTCCGGACAGCAACACGGACAGCTCTTCCAGACTGACGGGGCCCGATGTGGATGCGATCCGCTCCTCGTGGGTGGATCTGGAAAATCGGGATCTCGAGATCCTGACACTCGACACGGGGCCACGTATAACCGGTGCTCAACTGAACAGCATGAAGGTCGTCGGCGCGTTGGAGCTCGACTCGAGCGGGAACATGCATAGAGAGCCCTTCTTCATAGTCGCTCGGAAGGAATGATCTTGGGGAAACCGATTTCGACAAAGCCTCTCTGGTCGATAGAGAAAGACGAGTTCCGAGATTCCCATCCCTCCTATTCCTCCTCTTCCGTGCAACGGGGACGGTGATACAATGGCAGGGCATTCTGAATTTTGGAGAAGTCCCAGGAATTCCAGACCGCGAACAACACTATTTCTTGCACCAGGCCCGGCGGGGAATTCGTGAGCTCAACGTGACGACAATCCGCCGCACTAGGGGGTCATCCAAACAGGCCCCATCCGTTTTCGAATCCACCTCGATCTTCAGTCATGAACCGCCACGAATATTAGGATGGAATCGGGGCGACCCTTATTGGTTAGCTTGCAGCGTCGAGATGAGAATCGAGACAAAGAGCACAATCCTCACCTGTCGAATGATATTCTCATCTGGAGCGCAATAATCTCGCAGATGCCCTCACGATGGGTGAGTTTGGATGCACTCCGTCAGGGCAATAATTGATTTCAACCCAGAGTTCCACCGCGAACCAATGATACTGTGCTCGCCTTTGAGAGTTCGTAATACCTCAATACCCGCAGAGGAAAAAGAAAACCGGCTGTTCCGCGGGTCACAAGGCGACGAGCCGTGGTTCTGGATAGGATTTCGCAGAACTCGGAATCAACGAATCAAGGCTTCCCTCGACTACGCGCCCTGCGAATCCTCCGATAGCATTCCGCAACTCGGATTTCGAGCATTAATGAACGAAGAAAATGTCGGATCTCGTCGTACTAGTTTCTATGCTCGCCCACGCTCTCTCGAGGAAGATATTCACTCAGTTCCTACCTACGGGGACGACAGGAATAGTTGGTATAAAAGACTGGAACAGGGGCTTTGAATGTGAAATCATGCGGAGGGCCATGGAGAGTGCTCGATTTAGCGACTGGTCAAGGGCTTTGCGGGCATATGCACATTCCCGGGTGGATGCGGCAGTGCTCCGTCAATGAACTCACCTTCGGAACACATTGATACCATTAATTCGCATCCTTGCGCTCATTCTTGGAGCTCAAAGAGTCTGGTTAATATACGATGATAGTTTCCTGTGAGCGCTCGTGACTTGATCGAAATTCTTTTTGGCCTTGGCCGGAGCCATTCCTCACAGGCTGCAAGGGCGCGAGCCAGCGTACTCGGTCTGTATCCTGTGATGTCGAAGCTTCTCGAGGAGGTACATCCTAGACTCGCCGTCGCGGCCGTGGGTGGCAGCTCCCCGACTCTTGTTTCCCGGTTTGGGGATCGATCACGGCTTGCGGGGAGATCCGATAAGCTCCCTTCGGACTCCGAAGTCGCGATGATGATTACTCCTCCCACGGGGGGTTTCTTTACGCTTCGTCGTGGCTGCCATTTATGTTCACTTAATGGAGCTCGAGCCCATCAAGGGAATACGCCTCTACGAGGCGACCGAGGACCTCCCGATTCGGCTTGGGCTCTACTCATGCGGTGTCACGTCCTTAGCTCACGTGATCAGGTCCCGGGAATGAATCCCGCCGTAATGTAAGGACTTTTCGTCGAAATGTGTCATCCTTCTGCAGACAACAGGCAGTTCGACCGATCTAACTCCTCGCGGGATCAAGTCGCAGACCACTTGACGAATCCAGGAAGAAAGCATTTTGACCCCAGGACCAAGAATCATGCGATCTTGAGGTGGGCTAGGTACGCTCCAAGACCCTCAAGCTCGTCCCGGTTCGCGGTGGAATGAATACACGGAAATCGCGAGCGATCGTCGAGAAGACATCAAGGTGACAATTATTCTGCCACGAAGCGAACGAAACCGGAAAATGGCCAATCCCCCCAATCGGCCTCCTTGGCTCGGTCTTGATGGTGGCCGATCCTGCGGGTCTTACTGAACTTGAGCTTCAGAACGCGAATATGATAATCGGCCTGTATGGTATTAATGCTCGAGTCTGCTAGGGATATGTCATCATGATGAGCTACCGCGGAGTCAACACGAAACCGACGATGGCCTTGAGCCCAGAAAGTTCGCTCCCGGTCAGGTCCAGTCGACGCTATATTCCACCTATACGTTTCTGTCCTCGATGGGTCAGTCCGATGGGTTCTTTTACGCTAGCCTTATCGGCTACGAGAACGAGTTACGTTTCGGAACGCTACGAGGAATGACGAATGTTTCTCCAACCCCCGTGCTTCAGACTTCCCCCTTGTTCCGACCATCTTCGCTCCTCTGCAGCTTCCTTTTGCCACGGTTTCGGGAGGGTTCGGCTAATGGATTCACATCAAGCCATTTAGGTCGATTGGGAAGTGCTTCGCAGATATGTTATCGCGAAGGAGCTGCGATACAGTAAACGAAGTGTCTACCTGGTAAGAACGAACAGGAGTCACCAGTAGTGAACATTGAGCATCGCGACCAGCAATCCTCCGTGGGAAGCGAATGCGGAAGCAAAAATGCGGAGGTCACTGTCGAGCATAACCGTCATAGCAGTAGAGGCAGCGGAACACTCGGACTAGCGAGCGCAGACCTCAGAACCGGAGAGTTCGGATTAGGGTCGGAAGGCACCCGGAAGAATTGTATTATTGCGGTGGGAACATGACTCCAGAGCAGGTACCGGTAGGATGCCACTCGGAGGCATCCAGCGGAATAGGAAGAGGAGACATGGAATGTCCAACAGACGAATCATTGTCGGCAGGAAATTGAAGTTTGAGGAGTAGGAAAAAATGAACGCCGAATTTCGCACATCCTTTCGCTCCCCGCGAACATGAGCAAACAGTTCGGGCTCAATCATGGAATTGGGGACGTTTTGATCAATTAGTCATTCCAAGCCTTCGCACTGAAGCAGCTCAAGACGATTGTTGTAGCAGCCTGTGGATCATACTGCAAGCAACATACTAACCGCACGGACTTGAGCCCGGCAGGCGCATGATACGACTCTGCGACCGCCGTGGGTGGCCGTGGATGGGCGAGGGGAGTCTCACACGACATCCATGCGTGGCTTAGGGGATATGGAAAAAAGAGCCACCCTCGACTGCGCAGTAGAGGCCCAGCGCACTGGACACCGCCAGCGAGGGGCCGCGCCGGTTGCGCTAGAGGTCCCACGGCTTTGGTCTCAAGAATATCCTTCAGCATATGCCCGAAGAGAAAGGAACCATTGGGTCCTTGAAGGAAACGACTTGCTTGACGTATCCGGCTGCTGGTTTCGATCCGCGACGCTGTCTATGATACAACGGCGAAGTGGCCGATGCAGATCTGCCTGGGGTGTACAGACCGCTCTGGGCACTCGGCTATGCGTCGGTGGAATTTTCGTGAAGTCCCACGAAACTTGTCCTCGGTGTGTGACTTGCAACGAAACATGAAGTCTTCGTCTCCGACAATTCCCAGGGAGAGAGGTCGTCAACAGGACCTCCCAACTGGAACGGCTTAATCGCTCGACATGCCTTCAGCTTCAATAAGATGAGAAAATTCCGAGACTAAGGAGTCAGGGATATGTTATGCACAAGGAAGAAAATCCGAGCTCCTTCCAACATGAAGCATGACCAACGTAGGATTCTAGATCAAACTAGATTCCGGACTAAACGGGAGGCAACGAACAAAAACTCGAGGTTGGTCACTAGGTGGAGGGTCAACGCTGCTTCATGCGCTGAGCACACGAAAAGTCTCCAAAGAATATACCAGGAAACACGCGGGAAGCGTTTACGGGCAAGCGTCAGTAGTGTTCTGTGTTCATTGATTGCATGTAGGGTGCTCATATGCGGATCTGATCCGGTGCCGGGGCTGATGCTGAGAGAGGCACCCGACAGGGGTTCTCGAGTAGCTAGTGGATGAGCGACCCCCAATCTACATATTACGGATACGGGCTCCGCGGAGTAGGCTCGGGTTTAGATCAGAGAAAGAGACCGCTGTCTTTGCGCAATGTCCGCCGATGGGGTGAGAAATGTACGTCCTTGATTACTCTACGGAGAGCACCGTGGGGACAAATTAATGATCCTTTGATCCAAAAGAAACCCAGGAGGAGCCGGCTGAGGTGGTTCCCTTCGGGGTAAACTCAGAGCGTCTCTATCGCCTAGAGACTCCATCCGGAGAAGCGGTACCCAGCTCGGTTCGTTCCTCCGCGTTCCCCTGCTACGTCCCTTCTTGAGAGTCCCCGGAGATATTCTGATTTATCATCTTAGCCCCTTGATGTCTCGATGCTCATTTTGCTTACTATATCCCATTTATTATACATATATTAATCCGTTACCTAATCATACCTAGGTACTATCTACACATCCAATCCATGTCCGTATACCCAGTCCGAATCGTGTTTCAACAACGAGTCTGGTGGAAAATCTCGTTGTCGAACACCGTGGCTATGTGATGACTGGCCACGTCTGCAGGGACGAAAACTGGACGCTCCGTTCCCATTACGCCATGAGCCCCTTTCTCCTTGGGTTCCTGTGGGTGGAAAAACGTATTCTGTGAGTCTTGATCGAGAACTTATCTCGAGCGTTCGAACCGGTTACTCGAAGTCTCTCAGCTCACGCGACCAAAATGCCGAAGGCCCGGCTATGAAGACAGGTATCGGATAAGGACTACTCACGAGATCCGCGCCGACGTTGAAGGCCAACTTGTCGCGGACTTCTTGCGAGAGCCAAGGTGAAAGGGAGTCGAAGGGTCTGGCGATCAGCCTCGGGTCGGTCGTTCTTGGGTCGTTGGCTCCGGTCAGAAAGCTCACCGGTACCGAAACCAGGAGCAGCACCAGAGTCGCAATGGGTGTGTACCAGAGGTACGATATCTGATGCACCGCAAAGTGCTCAGGAGGAGTCCATTGCTCCGCACTTGGCGGAACGTATGTATCCATTCCCATAGCGCTCATGTAGGTGTTCATGCACTTCTCGACCGAGATCGGAAGTTGCGGAGAGACCGTTTCAAGACTGAGGAACGACCCGACGTTGAGCCAGAGGGACACGACGAGGGAAGCGAGAAGCCCCACGGTGGCGCCTGAAAAAAAAAGAGTTCTTCACAATGACCCAGAGTCTGATGGTCAACAATACCGACAACGATCCATAGTCCTTTGAATCAAGAACCATCAAGCTTCCGGTCTCCGCTGATTTGACTGAATCCTCGGGCATACATACCCTTCGAGTTGACGAATGGGAGGAACATGCCAACGGAGAAGACCCCCAACAGAGGACCGCCCAATCCGGAGTTTATGACATAGGTCGCTTTCAACACGTCGCCCATAATCTGAGCGAAGAGTACGAGGACTATGGAAAGGATGCCACAAGCGACTCCTGGAAAGTAAACGAAAATTTAGTCCCTGCTGAACTTCATCGATTCCCTTCATGGAGTGATCAGGCGATTGGGGCAAACCTGCCTCCGCGCTCACTCACCGAGGGCGTTGATTATACGAGCGCCGGTCTCGTTGGAGATCTTGGGCCAGATCAAACAGATGATGTCCATGTAGCAGACGTTCGCCAGCGAATTGATAGCCGATGATATCGAACTGTGGAGATAAGCGAATGCTCACAGTTTCGATCTCTTGTTTCCTTTTCGATCAAATGTTGGAGTCGATATTGATCCATATCGATGTGGAACTCTGCCAAACCATCGAAGTCAGCTCACCTAAGCGATGCGGCGAAAATCCCAGCAGCGAATACGCCTGGGAGGCCTCTGGTCTCCCCCAAGACGACCATCACGAAGTACGGGAGGAGCTCGTCATGGCTGCTGATCAATTTCGTCGCGACGGGATCACATCCGTGGAAGAATGCGTACGTCATTAATCCCGAGAAGCAAGAAAGCATCAGGACGATTGCCAGCAGCGGGAGATTTCCCCAGACAACCCTAAAAAGGATGATCAAAGTCTCAGATGCATTGCCCATCGTTCATCTCTATCGGCCTTGTCGGTGACTTTCTAAAAATTCACTCACAGCTTGGCTCTTGGCAGTGATGATACGGTGTGGTACCTAAGAACCATCATTTGGTTCGTAGCGTAAGAAGCCAAGTTGGAGAATGAGCTCCCGATGACGAGACCCCAGATCGAGTGCCGTACTGTCGGATTAGGATCAGTCCTGGAAATGCGTGGTTTAGTTCATCGATCAAGGTTTGCTCATTCGAGATTCCGAGCTTTTAATTTCTAGCTCCTAATATCAACAGTTCCGCAATGGAATACGAGGCTTCCACTTACTCGTCGAAGTGGATGCGACCTCCTTTCATCGCGATGTCCCACACGACAGCGAGGCCTCCGACCCGATCGATGCCGACGACGACAATGATCATCAGGGCGATGATCATGCATACGGCCTGAACGAAAAATCAGAGATCAGTCTCCATTCCACATTCTGCGATCGAGAGTCTAGGAAGCTATGCTTGGTCGATGTCCAAAAGAGAAGAATATGCCTTCAATTCGGAGCGTCGACTCACCTGGAAAGTGTCTGTGTAGACCACAGCCTTTATTCCGCCGACCGATGTGTAGATGGTACAAACCACACCGATGGCAATCACCGCTGTCCAGATTCCCATACCCGTCACTGAAATTATGCGGGAAACCGTCTTCAACGTGTTCTATGCTCGAATCTTCGCGGTGATGGTTTCGTACACAGATAAAGATATTCCTCAGTCATTGCATACCATTCGACAACGCCAACGCGGGGGCATAGAGCTGGATGGCGATGTAGATCAACATCTGCGCTATGTAGGCCGCTACCGCAAGCATGCGGAGAGTACGATTGAAGCGGCGCTCCAAGTACTGAAACGATATTCGTTGCTGAAGTTCACTGATTCTCTTCCATAATTTTTCTTTAAGCTTAGCTGTTAACAAACAAACCTCGTAGCAGCTCAGCGTTCCGCTGTTGTAGAACACTGGCATGAACAGGTGCGCTGTGACGGGTATGGTTATTACGTACGACAGCAATGTAAACATGTACATTGTGCCGTACTGGTAGACCTCGGCTACGTTTCCTGCGGAGATCAAGGATCCTGAGTCGGAATCGAGAGGCTGCGGAGTGAAGAGCTCCTCCCGAATATCGCTCGTCGGGAACCGCATTCGACACTACTTTGAGCGCGATGCCCGAGGCGGCTTACCGAGGATGAATGACGCCGATATGAATGACGCCATCAGCGATGTGCTCGCCAGTATTGGCGGCAGGCGGCCATCTGCCACCAACAACTGCCGGGTCGTGTTTTGCGGCCCGCCGTTGAATGCGCAGTACAGTCCCAGCGCACCGGACATCGCCAGCATGGCGATGAAAATCCCGTAGTCGAGCAGGCTGAACCTTCATTTACGAAAAAATCGGAGTCAACTCTCCATTGGAGGTCCAAATCAGTATTGTTTTTCATATACACTTTCTAGATAGGAAGATTTAAGCCGACCTGCCGACGAGCTCTTCGCGGGCGATGGCTCCGAAGTCCATGTCGCGTCAATAAGACTCGAGTGAGACCTGAAAGAAAAAACAATACTGAGGAACTCCGCTTGAAGAACTGAATCCATTGCGCGGAGCCACTGGCCAGCCAAAGGATTCATTATCCAAAAGTCTTTGCCTTCAGCTCCGCGGCCTACTAGAATTGGATCGGTAGCTCGATTTCCGCCCCCGTTGAGAAAAGCTCCAGATGAGAAGTCGCTGCCGGCTCATTGATCGGAATACGTTCCGTTTCCCGAAGCCCATTTTTTCGACAGAAAAAATCTGGTCTCGGTCCCTCGATCGGCCCCTTTGACCGTTCTCGCGCCCATCGTCCCCTCCCGACGCTCCACTGGCTGAGATTGGCAACTCCTGACACACTGGCTGTGTTGAGACGGGCATACGCGAGCGTGGCCCGATGCGCTCCGCCGACATCCTCGGCCCGTCCTATGAGGATTCGTCCCAAAGAACAAGAACATTCCTGAGCACTTCACCCTCGCGAACCGGAAAGGATTCGTCTCCAAAGCAATTTCGCTGTGGAAATTTCACTCACTGTGACGCTTCATGAGACACGCATTCAGTTAGTCGAAGAGCAGCACTCAGGGCACTCACTCCAATCTCGATCTCCATACGATGCTGACGGATGATCTAAGTGAAGTGTAGGTTGGCAACTTCACAACCTGCTTGCCGTGGACATTCGAAATTGAGTTTGGCGGGAATCACGCTTTTCCAGAGGGACGAGGAATCGAGGATGTCTCGACACGGAAAGGATGGTTCCTCATCTCGGGAGGGAGCACTAACTAATATATTATCAGGCATTAGATTAAGGTCTAGATTTGGTTAGGGCCGACGGTTAATTTGTAGCACGAGGTCGATGAACGCATCAAGACAAGATAAAAGCAAGACTTGTTCCTACAACCACTTGCACAAGGCGATGAATAAGGCCGGACGGCGCGCGAGGCAAGAGATTGCAAACTTCAGAACCTACTCGAAACGGCAGCAGGAGATTGACACAAACGGATGCCCACGGACTCGAGAACTCACCTTCACAGAAATCGAAATGAGACTGAGCAGAGCACTCGATACGGAGCGCAGGATCCGAGACGGAGCGAATTCCTCGATACGGAGTGGCTTTGTTCAAACTAGGCGGACTCCTCGAAACGGAGCGCAAAACTTAGGGCGGCAGGAGTCTCTCGAGCACGAGCAGAGCTCTTGGAGCTGAGCAAAGCACACGAGACTTCGCGAACTACCCGAGTAAGAGAACCAACAGAAAAGTGAACCGTTCGAAACGAAGTGAAGTCTTCGAGGCAGAAAGGATGGGTGTGATTGGGACAGACTTTGCCAGTTTTTATACGGATTCATGGACGGAGCCTGAGAAAGGGCTGATCCTGATCGGCGTCGGAGAAAACCCCGAGGGGTAACCCAGTCCGTAACTCGGGAGCGTGACATCGGCAGGCGCTCTCTCTTCTCTCCTCAGAGCCTTCAGTTTTGTTGCCGAATCTGCACGCAGCATCTGGTCCCGGACTTCAGTTCGTCGGAGGCTTCTTCCGGTTCGCCCCCCCCCCCTCCAATACAAATCTCGGAGCATTGCTCGACGCGCAAATGAATCTGAGAGTGAACGAGCGGGGTTCTTTGCGACACGGTCTCGTTGAGCTATCGTTGACGACTTCGCGTGCCCGAACACTCTTCGTATAGCGCGAGCCCTTCAGAGGCGGCGATCTCGGAACACCCTCGAGCCGCAGTCTCCAAGCAGATCGAGCTAAAGAAGCTCCTCTGATGGGTTCGCCGAGGCTGAGATCAGAAGTCTGCAGCACCTGACGACAGGGTGAAAGTCCTTCGGGGTGAATGTCTGAGGAATCCCTTCGAAGTCGAGCCTCCTAGTTCTCCCGAGATCACATTCAGCTCATCTATCGAAGATCGACCACCGTGTTGTTTTCACAAAAAGCGTGCCCAGAAGATGCCTAATCCCCGATCAGATGTGAGGTCACGAAGGGTTGCTCGATCGCGATCGTGAGCACGTCCACTGCGGCGCTCAGCAGGAGAGATCGGTGATCAGGTAGGGAAACCTTCATCACTCGTGGAAGGGACAGGCTTTCCTCATCCCCGCAAGATCGAGAACCCTCCCTGTGATGCGAAGGATGGACCCGAAACGAAGGAGTTCATCAACGGCGTAGATTCGGATCCATCGACTGCGAATCCTGTGCCCACGGAGATCCGTCCGAGACTGCACCCTCAGCTTCCGAGTTCCCATTAGGAGGCATCCGGATTCCGCACTGATTCGGTCCCTTCGAACAGAAGTCACGGCTCTCAGTGTGAAGCCGACGTCCAGCCATCGGCCGACGATCGGATATCATGGGTCGTGCTCCGATGGATCATTGATGAGAGCTTCGGAACATTTGTAAGCTAGATACGCCGAATGAGACGAAGTCTTCCTGACGGACGACGATCTTTCCATGCACCGCACCGCTTCTATATGTTTGATGCTTCTTCCGACTCATCCCGGTTCTTCGAGCAGACAAATTGAGTCGAGGAGATCCTCCCGTCTCTCGGTTCGCTTTTCATCTCGAGTTCGTCTCATCTTCTCGAGTCGCGATGTCTCTCCTCAAAACATCTTTGAACTCGCTCCTATATCCGACACATTTCACCACGCCGTTGAACGGTTGAATTGTCCACTCTAAAGTTCTTCTCCGCCTCGGTTGATCATTGTGTTACTCGTCAAATATAGAAACCTTTTGTCTTGGTATTCTTCGACGGTCCCGTTGGAGGGTCTTACACATAGTCCTTCGCGATCGTCCAGCTTGTGAACACTTTCAATCCGCTGAGCTATTTTCTCAAAATGAGCACGGGGACCGATACCGGATATTTTGGAGTGAACGGTGTCATCGCTATCAACAGGCAGGGACATAGAATCGAGCATGGTCGAATTTTTCGGGAGCAAAAACTGTTCTCGAGGCTAGGATTCTCTGTGTCCTCACCGGTTGTTGTCTCGCACCTTCCTGAAAGCAATAACAACCACCAATTTGAAATGGAGAACAAGGTCTCTGGAAGGCGGACGGACTTAACGGAGCAGGAGCACCGGATCAGCTCCAGGCGTGCTCGAGCGCAACGTAACGACTGACTTCTTCTTTCACCTCGTCTCATTCCTGATCGGTCCGACGACGAAGTTGTACCTCCGCACGTCTCACAGAGACGCTTTTTATTGAAATGGCATATATATGACATATAATAGATATTATAAAATGAGCCTGATTCTCGGCCGATGAAGATCTGACGACCATTATCAATAGCGCCGAACCAGGGTTTGCGACACCGGTTTTGAATGTTCCGAATTCCGATGACTCTCAGAATGAATGACTCGAAAAGCTGAACACAAGGAGCTGCGACTGTGAGTCATGTATTTCATGATGAATGGAATAGTATATTCGCTCGAGCATGGAGTGGGAACGATTAAGTTTCATATGTCGCAATTCTCAATCCCTAGCGCTAGCTCCTAATGTTCCTACGTAGAAGAAAATATGATATAGCCGAATGCTTTAAGCGGTCTGCAGATCACATGCTTTGCTTTACACTGCGGTTCTATCCTGCCGGAGGCAGCTCGGGTTCCATGTTCGATCCCTTCGGCCGCCCATTTCGAGGATGGTTTCCGTTCTTTCCGGGTGAAACCCGATGTAGCACTAATAAGGCCATGGCCTACCGAATCGGGGCACCCAACCAACCCATCGCGGCACCCAACCCATCGCGGTACAAAGTCTTGGGGTTCCTCGTCGGAGGGGGACGTTAGAGGGGTGAGAGAGGAGAAGGAAACACATCCTGTGATCCTCACGTTCTGCTGAGCTGAGTCACGCTCACGACTCACGACACTCGATTTCACAGCTTTCGTTGTGCAAGAGGTCGAAGTCAGAGAGCAGCCCACGCCGGTCCTAAGAATGCGAGTTTTGAAACGCAAAATCACGCCCGGCCCTTCAAGCTCACCTTCAAGTCCGATTCTACTCTCCAGATCCGAATCATGTTCCAGCTCTGATGGTAAACCTTCGAGCAATAAGTGTTTCAGATCTCCATGTCTAGCTTCACTTGTCACTCGTCATTCGTCAGTTGTCAGCAATTGGCGATTACGAATAAGAAAAACATTCATACTTTTCAGTAGTTGTAATCTGTATTTGATGAGTTTCCTCCCCAAGCAGCCGATGACGAGCCTATCGAATTCTCAGCTTTCTGGAATCCGTACTCTTAGTCGTGAACTCCATTGCAGAGGCAGACGATGGAGCGTCGATACTCGATACCTTGCACGAGAAACTCTGAGAATCGTCAGATCGCCGTGCTTCCGACTTCCGATTCGGACACGTGTCGAGCTGAGAGTTGTTAAGCGTTAAGCCTGAACGCGCCAATGAGACCCGTTCGAGAGATGAGGAAGGAAGTTTCGGACGACGAAGACGAAGCTGGATGAATATGCTCTACGATGGGGGTGAGGGCGAGGGTCAAGGCATGGACTTACATAGGAGGAACCACATATTCAAGACGGAAACACGTCTCCCGGTCGTCAACTCAATGATGATACTACATATACAGTATACTCCCATTAATATGAGCTGATCCTCGAAAACGGATAGCACTGCGACCTGCGACCGTTGCTCTCACTCCCAGTCTCCCAGTTTCTTCGATGCTTTCTGGCATTCTTGTTCGTCATTTGATTGTGGCAAAGTTTTTTTCAAGTCTCTGTAGACGATCGACCTCGGCGTCAATTGTCTCGAGATTCCGACTCCGTGAATCGAGAACTTAAGTATAAACAATCCCCAGATCCTGATGAAAAATGAGACCTGCCCTTCGAAATCTCACAGCCGTCCTGTGCGGAGAATCTCTGCCGGGGACGCTTTCCGCCGTAATCGCCGTAATGCCTACGGCCTCATGAAATTTCCCACGAACCGTAAAAACGATGATACGCAACTACGGCCGTGATTACGGACCGTATTGACCGTAATTAAGCTGACCATACGCGTTTTTCTGAACGGATAGAAGAAGATTTTGAAGCCCAGGGAGAGGGGAGAAATGGAAGGGATTTGGGATACGGGGGATATAGGGACCACGGAGAAGGTAAACGAGGGCACGGAGGGAGAACGGGAGAAGGATTTAACGGGAGGAAAGGTAGGGAGACGAGCGAGAGACACGGGGAAACAACGGGAAACGGAAAAGAGGAAAGGGGGCTGGATGAGAACGTGGTACTCGAGAGGATTGAGCATCGGAGGGAAGATATAGGGGTGAACGGGGAAATAGAGAGAAACAGGGGTACAGAGAGAAACGGGGATTCAGAGGAGAGGGTGGAGATGAAACGGGGCGGAAGGAGAAGGGACATGGAGCAAATTGAAGGGAGAGAAAATCGAAAATACGCAAAAGGGAAGAACACCAGACGCGGAGGAACACGAAATGCTCGCGGCAAAGCGCGACGGGCACGGCTAGAGCATTGTCTGGTTTTCGCCTTGGCAATCTATATATATAAAAGCGAATGTATGTCTGTCTGGGGGTAACCTATAGACTATCAACCGTTCAGCGGATCGCCGTCAATTTTGGTCTGATGGTCCACTCGGATTCCGCGAAGGTTCTTGGGGGTGTGCTTTGAGTCAGCGATCTACCGTTCCACCAAAGTGAGGCCGAACAGGGTCGCGGCAACGCGCGACGAGCACGGCTAGTAGATATTATAAAATGAGCCTGATTCTCGGCCGATGAAGATCTGACGACCATTATCAATAGCGCCGAACCAGGGTTTGCGATACCGGTTTTGAATATTCCGAATTCCGATGACTCTCATTCGGCGATTCTCTGAGAGGGCTGCCTTCGCAGTGCCTTGATGTTCGGGACTTTTTCGACATCAAGGCGGAAAACATATACTCAAGGTATTCGAAACTCGTGGAAGTCGTCTTCCGGGCTGATCGTGAGCTGGATTGGTAATTTGATGAGATATCCAGGCGATCTCCTCGATTCGGACCAAATGATCTCCAGTCCATGAGGTCGGCCCCTCGAAAGCATTCGCCAAGTATCTGGATTGTGGATTCACGAAGAGAAAATATCTCAGTCTCCCTCAGTCGTTGGAGTTAGTCGATGCATTCACCTCCTACAACAAAGTTCTGAAAGCCAAGGGAGAGTGCTAGCGAAGGAATGTACAGGCCTCAGAGGAGTCCTGCAGCATCACTGTCCTGGACCTTTTAGATCACCAGCCGGAGCGCATGTTCGAGTCGGAGTCGGCCTCTGAATTTCTGGAAACACCTCCCCATACCATTATGAACTCCAAGGGGGGTTACATGGGTGCTCCAGACATAGCGAGAATAAACAGGCTTTCTCGAACGATTCCGTATCCGACGTTGCCATGATCCTGGAATTGCTCGTGCCCCTGCTTATCGAAGACGAATCAGGATCGGTGGCATGGAAGAATTTGAAACCACCTCGATGTCACGAACATGTTGTTGGCCGCTTCGGAGCCCTTCATAAACTCAATCCGAGTTGAGCTCGAGAGAATGGTTGAGATTTGGATAAAGAAGTCCTGGCATTGCTCGCCGTTGATCAATCGAAGCAAGTTTCACTCTTTCAGCCACGAAAGGTCCGTTTTACTTCTTGTTGTTCGGTGGTAGGCCGACTCTCACAAGAATTTGGTCACCCTTGCCAATCTTTACGAACCTTTGGGTATGTCGCCCATCGAACTGTTTTTTCTGCTGCAGCTTTTTCCTCATCTCACCCTTTCGCTTCTGCCTTCACTCAGTTTTATAGACTCTTCGATTCCCAGAATTTTGTCCGCCTCCAGGGTGCTTGTTTCACCCTCAGCGCGAAGAAAGGACTGCAACCCAGAGTGCTACGAAACGAACGGGTATTTTATTCATTTCAATAGCTCCTTTATTTTTCAAGGAGAGGGCTGCTCACGGGATGCGTTTAGGGTTTGCGATCAACCTAAAGGTATCCTGGGAACTGGGAACCATGAGCATGTGCAAACCTTGTTATCCGCCAGGCGAATAAACAATTCAGGTGCTCGGTGTTCGCAACAAACTTCGGTGAGATGGAGCACCCACTTCGCAGGTTGTTCGCCCTAATGTTGAAGAATATGTCGAGAAGATCGGCCTTGTAGAGCTGCTTCAGAAAACGTCTCGTCTTGAACATCCGTGGGGGGCTTTGGATCCCATCCCCGCTCGGAGCATGACTCTTTTCCTGAAGTATATCAGAACGCCGTCGAGAACTTTACGGAAATGAACCAGGGATGGGTTCCAAACTGGGGAACAATATAATAGCCGGGGAATGATAAGCGAGTCGAAGAGTCGAATGTAGGGGTCTGGGTGTCTGATTATCAAGCAGCGTAAGATGGTGTTTATGAGCGTCTGGGAGGATCGGACCAGTGATGACCAGATCGGATGCAGTGGAGATGATGACGTCGGTTGATGATGGATGCCCGGTTTTGGCTCATGACCAGCAGCTGTGAGCAAGTCGACCTATTCCTGACGGAGCCATGTCGGTGGTCGTCGAAAAGAGAGTTCTTAGCCATGAAAGAATCTGAGCGACAACAGGCCTCTCGAAAATGTTGCATGGGATCGAGCCTTGCGCGATGGGACAGTAGTTGTTGAAGTCGGATTTCTTTCTTTTTCTGAAAATCGGGGAGGCAACAGTCTGGCGGAAAAGGTCAGGGAAGGTGGAGTCATTGTATGATCGCTCGAATATGAGGGTCAGCGGCCCGGATAAGGATTGCGGAGCATTTGAAGAAAATTGATGGAACTCCGTCGGGCGTCGCATTCGCCTGTGCTCTCAAATCCATGAGAAGGGGTGGTTTCGGACAAAGAAGGTGGTCTGCTCCCCTTATTGAAGACGGTTGCGAAATGCTTACCGAGAAGTCGTTATGACATTTAACCGCCGCCTCCAAGCTGCTTTTCCAGCCACCAGGGAAATCAGGGTACATACTCATATAAATCTTCAAGTCGCGGATCAACCTTTCCGCTAATTTATCAACACGCTCTAGGGTTCGGGTAGGGGGGTCGGATTTGGAAAAAAATTGTGAGTAGAAACGAAAGCTCTATCGAAGAAAACTCTGATGGTCAAACATGTTTGGAAAGACGGTTTACACTCGCAAAGTACCGATTTGGATTGAGGAACGTTCGACATCACAGTTCGGCACGTAAGATCTACGTTTCTGCTGTTTTCTCAGGAAGGAGACGCCAATAGCGATAAAGCGTGATGGGGACTCCCTGTCTGAATCTCAATGTTCCTCTGTTCGGCCCATTCACGGAGCTGCCTGCTCTCGGAAACTCTCTTTGAAGGATTTTGTCCGGGCCAAACCCCTCTTTCTTCTTTTCGAGCTCTGCGAAGTCCAAACGAACAGTGTGCATTGGCTCCGTCTCCGGCACCAGCAACATTTCATCCGGCTTAGGACGAAACTTGGCCTTATTCCTTTAGCCAACTCCGCAAGATCGCACATGACTGTAAATATCTCGCCTCATCCCAGGCCAGCTGAATCGCTTGACGACCTCTAAATACGTTCTCCAGATACCATCATGACCGCCTGAATGTGGGGAATCATGAAACAACCCACGAATCTTCTTTTTTCCTTTCCCTCAACCTGGACTCGTCCTACCGCCAGTGACACTGATGCCTCGACGTCGTCCACCTCACTTAACGCCGAACTCGACAAGGCGTCCGCGTGTTGAATTCTCTGCCCCGGCGCGTGGCCGTCCTTTGTGGTGTGGTGAGCGCTGCGCCTCGGAATGATTGAGCGGCATGCGGAACTGAGGAATGTCGGTCGCCGATTTGAGTTCGGGGTGGCTGGATAGTCTCTAGAGGTGTCTTTCCCTCTTAATATCGGTTCACGGAGGGGATCTCATTCAGTGCATGACACTCGGTGTTCAAACGCATTCATCCATTGAACCATATTCATGTTCAGATGATGAGAAGAGCATGGCGATTCAGATGACTTCACAATGACGTAGTTGCTCTCAATTTCGGTCGTGCTGGAGGAGACAAGCTCGGCAGAATTCAGAACGCGACTGAACTTATGGTTGAATGACTCTGTAGGGTTTCCGATTGTGTCCGTTGGGAGCTGAGTATTGCTCATCCTCGGCGACTCTGTATCTGACCCACGTGAGGTATGCCCAGACCGCTTTCACACATACGGCACCGAGCGCAGCCAAGCATCCCAAGACGATCGCGAAAAAGTTCAAGGTAGAGATTCGACCCGGAGAAATCCTAAAACTAGATCTCTGTGTCCCGAAATTCTCGGCTTGCCGACATCTCCATCGTATTTGTCATCCGGAAGAATTGAATTCCGTGGCAATAAGTAGAGAAGACTTACCAGATAGTTGTCCCTCTCTGTGGTCTCCGAGATCGAAAGCGCCGCCCCGAGCTCAACTTAGCTTGAGTGAGCTCAACTCAGTCAAGACACAGATCGGAAGGGATCAGGAAGACATTTTAAAAGATTGGGAAAATTTTTCATCCTCGAATGACCGAAAGAGGCGCAGGAAACCCCGCCGAAGATCTGGATGGAAACGTCTTCCAGTGGTTCAAGACGGCCACGAGCAAGCGAGTCCCACGGGAAGCATGATTGTAAAGAAAGCCAATTTTTTGGCAGCTGTTTCTGGAATCGAGGGCTTTACAGCAAGTAATGGTTGGCTGGAAAGTTTTCGCAGGAGACACAACATCGTCTTCAAAACGCTTTGTGGTGAATCCGGAGACGTCGACGATTCCGTTGTGGAGGATTGGACTCGACGGATACCAGAACTCACCGAGCTCTATGAAGCCAAGGACATCTTCATTACGGATAAGATGGGCCTATGCTTCAGAGCTCTCCCGAACAAGTCTTTGGTACTGAGCGAGAGGGAGCGAGTGCAAAGGAGGCAAGATGACGAGCTCGATTTTCGAAAAATGGCTGGAAAAGTTCGATTCCCGCATGCGGAGCCAGATCAGAAACGTGCTTTTTACTTGACAATGCTCCGTGTCGTAAAGGTCGATCGTTGAGCGGCGTCAAAATACTGTTCCTCTCATTTGCGCTCATCAGATCTGAAGGATGATCACCTACCAGCAAAGATCATCAGTATCATCCTCGACCCTCTCCCATCGACTGATTCCATCCTTGGGGTATATCACACTGCGTACTTCTTGTACGCACATCCCATAGACTTAGCATACGTACGATTGTACGCTTCCCTGAGTTAATGTACGGGTCACGGGAGTACGCTGTGAAAAACGTAAACCCCGAGTCCCGTGTCCATGTGTGGAGAGTGGAGAGTGTATGTCGTGTGCTCTTGTTGTTGTGAGAGAGAGCCACGAGCTAGCAGACCAGAACGAATGTTTTGTTATTCTCTCCCGCCGGCCGCTGTGCTATAGTACAGTAGCGTGTTTTTGCGCTAAGCTCAGGAATAAGATAGTCCCCGCTCCACCGCTAGCGGGAAAGAAGTTCGAAGATGAGTAAGGCCCATCCACCCGAGTTGAAGAAGTACATGGACAAAAGCCTCTCCTTGCGACTTAATGGGTCCCGGGTTGTCAGCGGTATCCTTCGCGGTTTTGATCCGTTCATGAACATCGTGCTAGGTGAGAAAATTGTTGGAGCTGCTTCTCTCCGAGACCAGCGAGCGAATTGATACCTGTAGGGAGTGATCACGGAGGAACTCGCTAATATGCGATGGCCCGCGAAGATCTTCCTCAGGATTAATCCCGATACATGGAGAACTAATTGTATGAACTCTTTTCCATTGCAGAAGAAGCCTTTGAGGAAGTCAAAGGGGGCCAACGAACCCCCATCGGAATGACAGTGATCCGTGGAAACTCGATAGTTCTGCTTGAGACGCAAGAAAGGATTTGATAGATGGTCAACCTTGTATATCTTCATCAGGCATCACTCGAGGACTGCTCATTTGTGTGAATAAAATCCGCAGATCACCGCCGCCGAAGTTTCTTCCCTCGGTTCGAATTGACCGGGAATCGGATATTGACGGAGTCACTAGTCAGTATTTCGCCGTGTCAGCGACTGAAGGAGTCCACGTGACGTCGCAGCAGATAACTGTTTGGGGTCCGTAGGACGCAGAGCATCTAAGAATCTGAAGCTCCGCAGCGAATCATCGCTGAGCCTCGAGTGAGCTCACCTAGACAGAAGGAAATCGTATCCAGTGGAAAATCTGCTTTATTAAATAAGCGCTAGATCCCGCTGATTGAGCAATGCTCGTTACCGGGCGATTAGTCGTCGAACCTGCGGTGCTTCATCTTGTGCGATCGTCTCGAGTACCCTCAGCATTGAACGTTGCTGCAGCTCGGTGGCGGCCATTGCGACAGCAAAATTGACAGCACCTAGTGCCAAGTAAGGCGACGGTTTCGATTTGATGTCGTTCCACACCAGTCGTAGGTTTCCTTTCCAGTCGGACAAATACGCCCGGGGAAGATGTATTGCGACAGCACTACAACAGATCACGTTGAGAAGAAGAGGATGAGCTATTGCGAAAGTAAGTTGGGCGATCCCGGCTCTCACTTGAAAGCATATCGGACATTCTTCGAGGCCATAAGCAAGCGGCGAAGCTTCTCTTCCCTCTTGACGCACGAGTAGTATTGCAAGAGGTAGCATTGAAGGAATCCGTATGGTGACAGGAGCGAAGCCGCCTCTTATTTTGAAGAGTTTCACCAATCTGCTACTGAGATAGTTCGATGAGAAGATCCCCGTCAGCAGGAACGGAGCCGAAGGGTGCTGCAGTGGCCACATCTCGTACGGGGGCTGCCAGCTGTCGATGCGCCTCGAGATGAGTCTAGACAGAAGTTTTCCTCTCTTCTCCCGCTCCGTCTGGATTGTGAGTCCGGACTCCGACGACGCCATGCTCGCGCACCGGTCGCTGGAGAGATTCGCGATGATTAAGGATGCTGCTTCACATGCAGGTTCTCGGGACGACTTGAGGGAGGTGGAGCGGAGATCCCAGAAGAATCGTATCGAATACTGTTTTTCAGTCTCCAGGAAGAGTCATCGCGCCGATTTCTAAAAGTTCTCCTCTGAGCCTCTGAGTCCTTCGCGAGAGTCTATTTACACGGATGGACGCATTTGTTTACGCTTTGAGAGCGCGGGCAGTCGACGTCGCTGACGATATTTTGTGATGGGGTCCGGGCGGTCGGCCATCCGATTTTCCCAAGCGGCTGGCGTCTCCTCGGATAACTCGAAGCTCCCGACATGACCGGTCTGTGAGAATGTCGCCGTCTCTGCCATGGGATTGCGAGATGATTCACGCCCAGAATGCAAGGATTACTTTGGCGAGGGAGCACAGTCGAACCCACCTACGGGAGACCCCTCTAACTATCAGAAGAGCGAAGGAAGTTTCTCCAATCCGGCCTTGTCTCATGTGCCGGGTTCCAAGAATCGAGACCGGTTATATTGATGACGCACCGGTTATATTGTGTGTTTGTAGCCTATATTCGGTCCCTCCCTACATCCGAGTGCTTCGAGAAGCTTCCTCAAGTTTGATGTACTTTGGAGGAGCTTATGCCTCCTGATTCGCGTCCGGACCCGGGCTCCTCTCTGAGACTGCCTGAAGGGCTAGACTGCCGATCGGGCGGAAGGCCATTTGTTCGCTATGCGTTCTGGGCGGAAACCATTTGGGCGGAAGGACCGATGGGGCGAAATCCATCTCGGCGGGAAGCTTGTGGACGGAATGCAATTCAGAATTCGGGATACCAATCGCGGCACGAGTAGAACTAGGCTCTCGGAGCCCAACTCTAATAGTTGAACGGCTGATCCCCGCAAGCCGCCTGGGATAGCACGTTTGTGGAGACGAGAGAGCAAGAGCTGAACTATCCTGTAGAATTCGAATCCGTCGTCCGATCAGCTGGAATGCTCCATCAGCAGTAATCTTCCCCGGGATTCCCCTAAAGAGTCCACTCGATGTTCGGAATTTCCGATACGAATTTCTAGGGGTGATACAGTGTCGAAGAGGTCGGGAGTGCCGGATCCTTCCTCACCTGAAACTAAATCATGCTGGGGATCGGTTGTGATGACCGACGAGATGGTCGATACATCGACAGCTCTGCGCAGCCTTTCCAATCGCAAGCAATGCGATTGATTTCGAGCGAATACGCCGCCATGACACAGGGGGTGCCCGCTGATTCTTTATTTCATGAACCTCACAATACTCACTTACGTAAACATGCCGTGCACCTGCAGTGGCGGAGGCAAAACTCTGCGATTCCGGGCTGTGTTCCCCCCTGCGGACTCGAGACATGACGAGCACGGCATGAATTTCGGTGATCGATTGCAGCCCGAGCTACAATGAAGACCCAATGAGAGAATCTGCACGCTCGACCATTTTATCCCAATGAGAGCGAAGAAAAGACAAAATCCCAGCGATGAATTTTCCATGGAAAATTTATAAACTGTTTATCCGAGAGGGGGGGCTTGCTCTCTGTGATACTCCTCGAGAATCGCGAATCGAACGAATCGTCGATTTTCTCACTTATCCCTCCCCCGCTCACTCAAGCTGAACATCAGCTTTCCTCGTTCTACAATCACAGAAAGGTTTCGCGCTGATTAGGATCTCGCCACTCAGGTCCGATCTGACATAAATCTCGTGGGTTCTCAGTAACTGGACGAGAAAGGCATCCGGGTCGAGCATTCCGAGCGTTGAACCCAAAAGCTCAGAATACTTCGCTTGCAGCCCAGACGGATATGTCAAAGGACCCGACACTTTCAGAACGTCATACACATTTCCAAAGCTCCCGTTTGATGAATCTTCCGATGAGCTGCCGGTGCTACTGTTTCTCCCGGGACTCCTCGACTCCATCAGGGAGATCACGTCTGCTCCGAAGGCCCAGCTGTCGTCTGGTACATGCGATTTCAGAAAATCCGAGAAACTGTCACAGCCAAACCTAGAATACTGGATTCGATAACCAATAATATCCGTGAACTTCCTCTCCAACGCGTCGTAGGACATCGGCGACTCTTTTCGCAAAACCTCTCTGAGCACATCTCTGATTTCATCGAGATCGAGCGCGACGCCCTGTCTCTCGACTGGGTGGATCCCTGGGCTCGGTGATTCCGGCTGTTCCTCGATTTCAACAGTACCGTCCGATACATGGAAACCGTTGTGCTCCAAAACTCTTTGCAGATCCCCGAAATACATGAGCTGCGTCTTCATCTTCACCGCCAGTCCGTCTGTCAAATCCGCGATCGGAATTTTCCTCTTCTCAGCCCGCAGATATTCTCTCATGGCACTGAGACTTTCCTCGTGGAGGCCACCGCATTCGAACACTTTTTTCTTCTTATGGAGAATGATGAAATTCATTTTCTCCAACTCGTCCACGAGACCGTCCTGAGTGAGCGGAGGTTTATGCTGCTCATTGTATTCTTCCAAGACTGCAGATACTATGATTGATCCTTTTTTTTCGCGATTATCGGCAGAAGACGCTTCACCATTGAGTCATCGGCCGCCTCTTTCGACTTCCGCTCGAGAGGAAAGTGGAAAACCTTTCCGGGGAGACGTCGACAGCCCAGACTCTCCATGTAGCTCGACAAGGCTCCCACGTAACAAGGACTCCTGGAGAACAAATTCCGGAAAGTCAGAATGACGTTCATTTGGTCCAATTGAAGAGCGGAGAGTAGCAGGAGGATCCAATGCTTGCAGGCCATGTGGGCCAGGCCGTCTCCACAGCAATATCCAGCGGATATCAATCGTTGCCTGAGCTCTTCCTCGCTTATGACGGTCTTGAACTTGTCCTTGTAGTGAGAACACAGGTCGCTCAATCGCCGATCTCGGGCTCCGATGAGGTGATCGAACCAGCTGATTTCGGCCTGCGTCGGCGTTGGAGGTCGCGCACCGGAAGGAGATCCAAGTCCGACGGAAGCTTTGCTAATTTCGGGCTGGGAGTTCCTATCGGAGTCCAGATCATTCAGATGATCAGCCGCGATGTTCGAGACACGCACTGGCGAGTACTCGTCGTTCGTAGCGAGTCTTCCGGCGTCGGAATGGGGGGATCTGGCTTCATTCGGTACGATTTTCGGCATCCGCGCCGAGGGTAGGATTTTCGTAGATTCCGTTGCGAAAATCTTTTTCGGCTCTCTCAGAGCTTCGGACAGAGGGATTTTCAATCTCACGAGGGATCCTGTCACCAGAAATTCGGGATGAGTCTCCAGATATTGCTTGAATGATAGACTGATGCTTATGATGGGCGCGTTGAAACTCGACCGATAGGTTCTCTCCAACACGTTCAGATCCCATTCATAGTTTTTGTCTACCATCACGAACAATCGGTTCAATTGACAGTCAGAATGCTCAATGAGCTCGTCCACGGAAAGCGGTATCAACGCATACGAAAGTGGAAGCATCGAGAATATATGGGTTTCAACAATTTTCAACGCGGGACTGGATCGCAGTTGGTCCTCGGGCAAATTCTCAGCTTTCACCGAGATTCCCAAGAAACGCTTCAAGAGCCCTGGGAGCTCGGCGACAAGAGCAGATCTACACCAGGAGAGAATTTTCTCCACATTCCTCACAAGGAACGGCGTCGAGATCCGTTGGTACTTGATTCTCGAATTCTTGACCGCAACGCTCGGCATCGTCTCCCAGAATACGAGCTCATCTATGTTGCTCGAGTCCGAAATTTGAGTTTCTTTGAAAACCTCGTCGATGCGTACCCAGCGTTTCTTCCCAATGAGATACAATAGAACCCTCCTCTGAGAGGGGGAGAGGTTTTTCAGATCCTCCAGGATTTCAATTTGTGACCCAATGGGTGGTCCCGGTTCGATTTTTCCGGTTGGATGCGATTCCATCATCAAACTGAGCATGCGTGCCGGAAGAGAGAAACCATAGGCAGCCGGAAAAAACGCTTCCACTTGATGCGTGGAGAGACCATTGCAGAGATTCGCCAGGTGCTTGACGTAATTTAAGCACTGTTTCGGGCCAAGAGCTTCGTAGCGAACCTTGTTGTTGATCATCATTAAGAAATCGATTTCTTTCTGCCGACTCTGAATCCACGTCTGCGCTGCGGAGACACCGAAGAGCTGTTTGTACACTTCTGCGAACGCACTCACTGGCATCCAAGCTTTATCTTTCAGGATTTCGGCAATGTTCGCCTTGGCGTTCGTCGCGACATCTCTCGGCTGCATCGAGATCCGATCTCGATGATCGACTTGCACGCCGGGTATCGAGGCCAACCACGTCTTGAGCTTGTCGTCGTACTGTAGCGGCGAAGCATACTTCTCTCGGAAACGTATGAGAAATTCATTCAGCGTGGAGTTGGGATGAGCAAGGATCACGTCGATCGCTTTCTCTCGCTCAGTTCGGGGACGGATATCTGCGAGAAGATAAGAGATTAGACGAGTCATTGGGATACGAGTGGAAGAGTATCCCTCCCGCAGGGAAAGGCTCCGAAAGAGTCCAGGAAAGCAAAGCATCTAGGCACTGACTGACCCGGAGTCGATCTCGACAACGACGACTTTGGTGTCCCCCCGCTCAAATTGAGCCTGCTCATCGTTAACTTCGCCGGATCGTCTGACGGATTTCCCCAACGTTAGATGCGGCGAACTCACGGGGAGATCGTTAATGATTCTCACAATATACCCGACTTCCTGAGTTCAGCAGCAATACTCACAAGTGACCTTGTTCGATGAGGATATGACCAGTCCTGGAATGTTACACAGCCATGGCTTGAGATGGCCTTTGTATTCGAGGTCTTCACCGAACTTTCTCTTGAACGAAACTTCAATCGCTCCGAAATCCACCTCTTTGAGGTCGATGAGCAGAGCTATGACGCGGGCTTGAGCTTTGGAAATCCCTGCATGATGAGTCATGATATGAGCATCCTGTTCCAAGCGATGAGCGAGCGGAATTCGAGATTTTTCGCCACAAGGAGCAGGTATTGTCACTGATCGCTTCAGGCTCACCAGAAAAAACGATTTGATGTTTCATGTCGATCTGAACTCCATCGATCGAGCCGAGCCACTCGCTCACTTTGATGTTCAAGCTGAGGGCCTGCCCGAACATTTCCTCGTAGTCCATCCGGATTTTGTCCAATCGAGTCGCTCTTCTTTTGAGGAGCATCAGCATATTCTGCTTCTGACGTAGATCTTCCTCGCTGTCGTCGTTGGAAACACCCACCGTCCCTACTGAGCATCACAAACGGAATCCGTCTTGAATGCCGCATTTTTCTCGCGCACCAATGGAAAAAAAAGGCCCGACTTTCCAAAATGAGGGAAACATCGTACACGAGCCCGATGCCATAATTTTTCGAAATCTAATAATAATTATTATAACAAACCTCGCAGATCCGTTGTGCTCCTGGCATTCTCGAGCGGTGCTGGTACATCTGCAACACGCGGGAATGAAACAAAAATTGAACTCAGGGTAAAACTCACGGAGAACAGAAAGCCTTGAGCACAAGCAGGCCTCATCGAAGGATCGTAACATGCAGACACGAATCCTGAGCGGATCCGAGAAGACCATGATTCGATCTGTTGATTCACTTTATTCTGTTGTACCGTTCCACTCCACTCGTGTCCAGAGAGGAATCAATGAGCGAACAAGAAAACGCGACATCCATCCTGCCATCGTTGCTCACCTGGAATTCTCCGCACGCATCCATCCGCATCGATTCGGAGAGTGTCACCGCCCAGCACGTAATCACGGAGCGTATAATCATCGGGGATGGTGTAGCCGTACACCTGCTTGAAGCTGTCCGGGAGACTGTGTAGCTTCTCGTTCTTTCCAATCAGGGGTATGATTTGCTTGTGCACGTAAGATCTGGTACTATTAGCCAGCATGGCTGTATTCTTCGCAATGCGAACTCCGGGTATATTTAGCACGCAGTCGGCAAATTCCGTTTTTCGCATGAACTCGGCGATGAAAGGCTTGAGAGCGGCAAAGGCCGAATATAATTCGTCGACGCCCACCGGAGCCTTCGACAGAAAGTTTTTGATTTCATCCCCGAAGGTTGGTTTCCTGCCCGGCTCGTACACCTTAGCCTCCTCGTAGAGGTCACGAGGGATACCGCCGCGTTCCGGACGGCTGGCCGCATTGATGAACCTCTCCAAAAGGGCTAAATCGGAGATGGGCTCGCCGAACACATCGTAGTACATAAATTGCAGATACCGGGCTTCAATCTGCCGCTGGTGGGTCAGATATACCAATCGATCCGCCATGAGTGAGCAGAGGTCGTCACTTCCCCATGTCTGACGCAGGCACTCTTGAGGGATCTCGGGCTGAACGCTCGGCTCGGTCGGGAGTCCGGCGAAATAGATATGGTTCGATGAGGTCAAAAGGAAGTAGTCGCTCAGAAATATCTCGAAAATGGCCGGCAACAGCAACTCCCTTATCGGTAGGTCCTCCTCGAAAGCTTCCTTGTAGGCTTTGATCAAGGCGGCCGGTGACTTCGGGAACAAGCGGAGCAAATATATGAAACGCTTGGTCAAGAATTCTTTGTGTCTCGGTTTCCCGAACGTGGGCAGTCGTTTGATCCTCGAGACTTGCTCGTTGTATCTAACGAAGATACAGGAATCGACTTTCAAGAAAGGCTGGTTCTCTATAAAGTTGAAAAGGTCCGAACCGCATTCGAAAGGCTCGCCAAAGACGACTCTATATAATCTGGGGAGATCCTCGTAGAACAGAACTCTGTTGTCCGGAAGAAGGAATTTGAGGCGTTCTTCCAGTCCCCACAAAGTCCATTGACCCGCTAGGGGCTTCGAACCCGATTGGCTGAATTCCACGTAGGATCCTTGCAGCTTCAGGAAGGCACGTGAGTCTACGAACTTGAGCAGGCCTCCTTCCGGGTTCAGAGTCTCCCCATACCTCGTCACATAGAGATCCTCTATATCACCGATGAAAGCGGGGCTGATTAGGAGATCTTCGAATTTGCCTCTCAGCATGTTGGGCTTGACTCTAGTCTGCGAATCCATGACCAGTACTCGGAAGGTGTCTCTCCCAGCGGATTGTCGACGCAGGCTCTCATGCGCGGTTGGGATCACGAAAGGAATACCTCCCACTACCGAATATGAGCCATTTCAAGCATCTGATCGGAAGTGAAACTCCCGCCCAGACCGATGCATGAAACGGGAAAGTTGCGGATCGGCGAGTGAATTTTGATCTGCCTCAGGTGGGTGTCCCGGCCGTTCTGATGGTTCGAGAGAATCTGTAAATTGGGGTGTAGAAATTGAAATTATCGGGAATAGGGGTCATTGCCATTCCCTTAGTGCCGATAGTTCTGCAGATCGATATTACGCACGGCTATTTGGATGAAGAATGTCTTTATGGGCTGCTTGTTATGATTGATTGGTATTGTGACCCAGCCGGACGGCTCAGTCAATTCGATGACGTCCAGTTCCTGGAGGTCGTGGAAGTGAGATCCGACGCGCACCGAAATTCTAGAACAGGAGAAGGAGGAAATTTCAGTTTTTTAACCAGCGACCAATAGCGTTGTCTGAGTCAGGAATCGAGGCTCAGATTTCAGCTCAATGTCCGCAATGATCAAGCCGAGGGATTTAGGGAGCTGAGCCCAAGTCACCTGTTGGGCGTGTAGCTTTCGTCGAGCTTGAAATCCGTGTAGATCGCCACCGAGTCGACGAGCGTCTTGTGTCTGAATTGTATATTGACCAAGTGAGGTTGGGGTCCGTCCGACTGCCAATAGGTTTCAGTGTTGTTGTCCCGGAGCTGATCGACACCGAATCCGGGCTTGCAAGAGGACAACGACCACACAGCTTGGTCTCCGACTTCCCGGTGCTCCCCTTTGAATTCTTTGTCGGCTGAATCTACGTGACGGGTCGTCGTCGCAGTCGGCGTTTTTGACATCACGTCTGAATGCTGTAATGATCAATCATTATTCTACCGTCTCCAGTTCCCGGTCGAAATGCAGGACAAGACCCGCGGAGGTTTTAAGTCACATCTTTCCGCGAACCATGCGGGTGACGCGGCCGCTCCGGATCATCTGCGGGGTCGATGTCATGCTGCATAGAAACGTCGCTCTGATTGTGAGATTCAAGAAATCCGCTGAGCTTTTTGAGAGGCTAGAGAAACTAAGCAGCCGGTAGGCGAATCCCATATCACATGATGACATGACTCGCCCTGCGGATTCCGCCGTAATATTCGTCAACTCAGAGCTAGTGAATTCCGCAGAGAGCCGGTCGTGCCGAATGGCTCACCTAATCAGCGGAATGCCAGCCCCATTCGAAGCCCGATCTCTGGAGCAATACGTAATTCTCGAGTTAGTGGCACTCAATTTCGCATGGTGGTCCGTGGGCCTGTGTTGCGCAACTGCCGAGCGCAAACGACACATGGACCCGATGCGGGGCGTGTCTGTGATTCGTGGGCAATCCCAGAGCGCGGTATTTTCAAATTCTCCGATGCTTCTGCATCTGTGCAGAGATCTCATCGATACAGTCTCCTATGTCCTGGTCCGTCCAGAAGTGGTACGGAGGATGAGCACAGCTCTGCCCCTTTCGGATGAGGGGAGAGGATCTGTGTCTATACTCTCCGGAGTTCGCGCTCATGAACTTCCGATGACTGAGCGGATCGAGAGTCAGCTCGCACCACTGCGCTTTGGAATCCGAGCTCTCCAGAAAACGGAGCGAATCATCTCGAAACAACCCACCCGCGAACGTCCGAGATTTTGCATACATCGAGTCTGAAGACGCTGACGCCTAATCCCTTTAGGGGCCACAGCAGTGCCGGTGACACACAGACACAGCCGATCGAGCTACCCTCTCCCCCATGTTTTGGCGGGAGAGGACCCACGTCGGTTTTCTTTTTCAAACTGGGATTCGAACGGTCGATCAGATGTTAGTTTCAAAAATGACCTATGCGTTATTGTAGCCGAGTGTCGCGGAATGGCCTTGCAAGTTCCGCGTGAGATGTCGGGCCACGACAGTGCTTCACCGGGTGAGTTGCCTAGTTCGGGAAGTTCTCGGTTGAGCGGAACCAAATTCGGATGATTGCAGAAGTTTCTCGTTTAGGAGCGCGCAAGCCGGCGACTAACCAAGCGGCTCGTTCGAACCAAGTTCGAGTTCGCAGAGGGAACGTTGTCGCCGAACAGAAAACATCCTGGATTCAGGTGCACTCGACTCGAAGGTATCAGTCGAGCGTGTATGTTACCAGATACACTGTTCGCATGGATCAGCCGATATCCGAATGAGCTTGCTAGATAATTCCAGCAGCCTAGAGATCATGAATTGATTTTTCAGAAGCGATTGGTACCCTCAATAAGATGTTGAGCCTAATTCGCGAGTCACTGATCCTATCGAATTACCCATGAGACATCGCGATTGGTCCACGTTTCGGGTCTAGCTTGTCGTTCTCAAAGGGATTTCGACTCACACTAATGTGGGACGTTCAAATTCCGTTTTCAGCGGGTAGGTCGTCCCGTCGGCGCTCTTTCAGTCGGCGACCTTCTACGAACGCCGACAGGAGCTCAAATTCGATTGAGCATGGAGACGATCCTTGTTCGGCCATGGTTGGCGCTATCTTCAAAGCTGCTGAGGAAGCGATTTGCCTTGTTAGCAAAGAGCTCAAGCTTTCCCACGAAGAGGTGATTGTAGACTGCGATGAGATAACCTACGCTTTTCGATGCGTGCTCGTGGCGTTCGCTGATCTTCCGAGTCGAATCCTCAGGAATCAGCGGTCAAGACGAAATTCCATTCCATAATCGAGGAGCTCGGAGCCAGAGGTGGACCGATAGAAGGCGTATGCAGATCATTGATTGAAAAAGGCTTATGCCCGCCAAAGCGTTTGAAAACCGAATCGGTCGAAGATTTCTACATTCGCACCGTGAGTACATTACCCAGGCCCCCGTCTCATCGTAACGAGCTAGGCGACAACGGAAGACTCGATTAAAGCGATTCCTCGATGCAGCTTCAGCAAACTGTCAACGACTGGGATGTGGACAGCGTTCAGAATCTCCTCGCCGAGAAAACGCAATTCGAGCCCTTGCCGGCGATGGATGAGGTATGGTAACCTTGAGAATACCGAGCGAAATATCTGCGATGGATTAATGGCGCAACTCGGGCAACCGTGTGAGCTCGCGAGCGCCACGGATACTTAGCGAGTTTATCTGTTACAGTCTCTAGATACCACTTCCCCCAGTCGCGAGGAAGACAGGCTTGAAAAACAGTTCCGAAAGACCCAAGATCTATCAGCTGCCGAGACTTCGTACGAGGAAGAGAATCTGAAGTCATGGTTGAGTCTCACGAGATCCCGGGTTGATAATCCCCCAGCTCGCGGTGTGACTGCTAGAGCTCTGATGAGCCACTTCAATTTGTGCGGAGCTCCATTGAATAAAGCTGCTTGCTGAGACAAGCACTCTTATGGAATTATCTTTGTTGCGCTTCTCCCCCGCTCGTATATTCGATCGGGTGTTCCAAGCAGAGGGATGGTTCGGTGGTGGGTCCGCCGAAATCGTAATACCCAGTACTGCGAGGCGATTTCGAAAAATTTTGTTGGGAGGACCGGTATGTCGATTGCATGCTGTCACGGAGTACAGGGAATCCCCCAGAAAGGGAGGGCGGAGTCGTCCCACGGGGATCGATGCTCCAAGCCCTCTGAGCTGTTAGGGTTAGGAAGTGCGAATTCGATTCCTCCAGACCTCGACCTTTCCATTAGACTCTTGACTCCACCGGCATCCAAAAAAAAGTACCGGTCATCATGGACCACGATCCCGGAATACTTCCGAATCCATTTCAAGAGAGCGAGGGAAATGTGGCTCGGAGGCCAATAATTGGTTAGTCTGGCTCATAGCTAGAAGTTTCATGGAAAAATCAGCGTGAGGGATCCCGAGCTCCGAGCAGCGAGACTGAATCAGGCCGTGAATTAGGATCGCGCTCTAGCGCATGATTGCACCTCGGATCCGAGAGACAGAGAATACGTGACGATGAAAGCTCGCTGACTTCCTTTGCCCACGGCTAGTGGGGTCCGGGGGCTGATACGGAACCTCAGCGGTGGCTGTGAGCGAGGATAGAGCTCAGAAATGGGGAACAAACGAATATCGGAAGCGCCGGACGGCATCGCGGATATGAAGTCTCTTTTCGGATCAACGGATCAGTGTTTGCCACTGCGGCGCAGTCCACAACCGGCACGGCGTAGTGACAGCCGTCTACAGGCGCATTCCACACCCAATCCGCTGGCATAGTTTCCGTTGGGCTCGAAAAACCTGAGTGGAGCGTAATTCTCGTGATGCAGTGCTTTCTCCTGATGGCATTTCTCGTTTGCTCATCAGCTGTGCGAGATTCGAATCACCAGGAGTCCAACTCAGGTAGGCGAGAATGTTCTTGTCTGGTGTCTCAACTCATTGAAAGCCTGATCAACTCCCTGCCGACCGATCTCCTCTCGATGGTCCAGAATGCTCTGCCTCGGGGCGGAGAAGACATGAACTTCTGCCGAAGGCTCTTGAAAGACTCTATCCTCACGTCTCTCTCGCCGCTCTGCTCAGGGCATCACTTTAATATCTCCAGGAAGAAAAGAAGTGGTTACACCGATTCTCGAGTTGATGTACACGCCACCCCGCGACGGCGACACATTGATTCTCACCTGTTTGCTGAGTCCTCATTTCGTGTCCAACGGATCGAAATTCAACTGGAAGAAAAATTCTGAAGATCTCCCCTCAAACCGGAAAGCGCTTGTGTACTCTACAGAGGTCACTTCCCAGCTTCATGTACCCCGAGCGAGTGCAGAACAGGACTCCGGGACGTATGAGTGCCTCGTAGAAAGTAATCACGATACCTACACCGTGAGCACTTTCGTTTACTTCAAAGGTAAAATCTGGAGATTAGGTAGCATAAAAATTAGCCAAATTATATCGGCTATCGGTCATCGAGGGATCCCTTCCACCTCGGTGCTGAATAGCGGCGAAAAACAGAGGACATTTGTGTGGGGGCACTAGATGGTCATTCGGAATGCTGAAAGAACGCACACATCGCTCCAGAGGTCCCTGATTACATGGACAAAGACGCTGTTTCCTTTCGATGAAGTGAGCACTCGACGAAAGAAGCGCGCTTCCCTTGCGGTGGCTTTGTTGATGTGGCGAGGGTTTTTGTCCCTCCTCAATGTTCTGCCAATAGCACCCATCTCTCGGTACTGTTGTATATAGGAAGAGAAAAGGAAAGAACAAGTCGGTGCTCCACAATTAAATCAGAGACGAGCATGGGGTTGTGACCTTAAATTTCAATGCTCCAGTCTTTGGGTTGATGCGAACTCGGTCAGCTGGTGGTGTGTTGTGATAGCGCCTCATCAAGGAGCTCCCAAATTGAAGTACGGAAGTGATTCACCGAGGTGAACCCTTCGTGCAAGGGGGCAAAATGTTCAAGATGCCTCTGATCGCCGTGAATCTGTTTTCTCTTGCGTGGAATTTTGTGAGCGCCGCGCCGAATGGTGAGTTTGCCATCTAGACGATATTCGTTATCAGAGCCGCGCGCTCTGTCCAGCGAGCTCGTTGTATCGAGTTGTGCTTTGAGGTCGGTGTCAATTTCCTACGGACAAGGTGGACAATGCTTCTACAGTGCATGTCTCTCGCATTTATCCGCAGATACAATTGTTCTCGAGAGGATGACTTCGTCTGAGCGAGCTGTGGGTGCCCGATTCCAGGTCTTCTGCTTCGCCCTACAGGGGAACTATGTCGATTTCTCTTGGGAGAAAGACGGAGCTCCGATTCAAGACCCGCGGGTCAAAATCCGAACGGAGGAATCTGTGAGCTTTCTGTGGATAAATGAAATACAACTGAAGGATTCTGGGAAATACACCTGCGTTGCCAGGAACTCGGTTTCATCAGCTCGATCATTCTCTAAACTGATCGTTCTCAGTGAGTTCCTCGGGGAGATTGTGATTTTGTATACCTATTCGATTCCACTGTAACCCCCGTCCCGCGGATACGCGGATGATTTCCCCCTGAACATACGAGAGTCTCTCAATCATTGATCGCTGACAAATGAATTTTGAAAAACCTGATTGGAGTTCCCGCTCCAAGAATCGCCTGGGAGAAGCTCGACTCCTACGAGAAAAGAGCCGATGAAACAATCAGAATACCGATCAGCGGAGTAATATATCCCCTATCGGAAGATTTCGTAGAGCCCCCGACCAAGTATATATCCGTCCAGGCACATCGATGAGTCGATCGACCCTTCCGCCGAAGACAAGCGTTCATCTTCGATCTGACGAGACCCACAGAGCAGCGTTTCTTAAGAGGAAACAGCTTGAAATTGTTTTCGGACAGACTTCCGTTCGTTCAGCGGTGAGCTGTTCGTTGCCTATCGGCAAGAGTCGGCACCAGCTATCCGTATTGAGCGATCGTAGAAACTCACACGAACGCCTGGAGCTTCTGTGAAGAACAGACTTGGCTCCATTGGTTGACATGTCGGTGGGCTGCTCGCTTGACTTGCCGCTTAAATTCTTTGTTGACATTTCGTACGACTGATTCGTGTTTGACAATCCGTGAATTTTCTACGACCACCTTCTTTCTTCCCGTCTCAAACGGCCTTGCCCCGCCGTCTGGATGCTGTCGTCAGAACAGCACGCTCGCAGTGCGACAATCCTCACTCCGGAGAGGTTGCTGGATCGCCAATTTGTGGCCGAAAGAGCATTCGGTAATTTCCTCGAGGGATTAGGGGCTCTTCGTAGCCCCGCTGAATCAACCTTCCGCTAGTTCCCTGGCCTTCACCAAAACGACTGAATGGAAGAGAGCGTCTGTTGGACTTTGAATCAATGAGCGTTTTCAAAACTGGACCGGAAGCTGGAGAGGAATAATAATTTCTCCTAATGGATATCCAGGTGGGTCCGGCGTGCGATCCGATGGAGTGTGACTGTTGGAGCGATGCTAATAGTGGGATTTTTTACTGTTCGTTGACGTAATGTCCTCACTCCCCGTATATTTCTCTTTTTTCGCACACTGCTAGAAGAACATCAGAAGATCGACGACAGGGGGGTTGACTCGCCTCATTAATTTGGCATCATGATTTCTTCTCGACGACAATGGTCCGACCACCTAATGATGGAATTCCCACGCGGCTGGTGATCCGCCTTAAGAATTCCGGACTTCTCGCCATTATCATGACTGACTTGGAACCGGTGTAGCGCAGCCCAGCAATTGTTTTTTCTCCCGCTCATCCGAGGTGGCTTCGCAGCTGAACTGCGGAAGATTGGAGTGCGTGGTTCGTCATCGAACCCTGACAGGATACTGAGAATCCGAATGGTGGTCCAGTCCCGAAACCACTGAAAGGTTCTCGATTGCTTATTTTCCGGATTCCGGGTCTTAAGTGGAACTTTCCGGCCGGTGGATGAATAAGCGTCTAGCCATAAGTTAGTGGGAACATATTGCTGGATAAGCTGTGCACGGAGGATTGACCACTCAATGAGCACAATGCGCGATCTCAAGAGGGCTCAAGCATCTCTCCGCTCAGTCGTCGCAATCATATCGCAGCCTAGCCATCCCCTTGAACACGGCGCCAATCAGTCCTCAGTGATTGTTTCATAGTCCCGCGTAGTTGTGCGAGAAACGGAACATGAAAATCGAGTGTGGCTGGGTGCGCTCAAACAAATATTTGTTCACTTCTTTATTCCTGGCTTACCTCACCGCAGGTAGGTGGGAGAAATTATCCAACAGTTTTCCATCTTCTATCTGCATCGACGGTCTTCGAGTAAATTCTGCTTTTGATTTCAAACGACTCCCATAAAAGCTGACTCCATTCGTTTGGAACCGCTGTCATCGAAGACGGTCATAGCGGGCTCGACAGTGCATTTTCTGTGTAGCCTGAACTATGGAAGCGGGGCTGAGTTCCGATGGAGTTTCCAGAGCGTAATTCATCCGAGCGACACAGTTCGAATCGTAGGTGAACGCGAATCCAATCCGTATGTTCACCATCAGCGCGGTTCTGCAGCCTTCAGAATAAGCTCGAGCGACTTCCTATCGACATTGACAGTACACAAGGCGTCGCTCCGAGAAGTCGGGCTGTACCAATGCGAAGCCACAGATGGAGTCGACCACGATTCCGTATCAGCCTTCCTGAGAGTAGAAGGTACTCATCCTTAATGATAGTTTGTGTGAACGGAGAACAAGATGAACGGAAGCTTCTCCGATGAGTTTTTCCGATTTCCACAATAACACCACGAACTACCTCGGGAGCGTATTCGTCGAGTCCCTTCTAACTTAACATTTGACGAGAGACGGAAGAGCTCTCGTAGGACAGAGCGGACATCGAACGAAAATATAGAACAGTCGAGCTACCCAGTTCTTAGCTTCCATCCCTCGGTAACCTCATCGTTCGCCTCGGACTATCCGGGAGTCATCGACGGCTCTCGGAGAATTACAAAGGGAAAACGTAACCTTTGAATGCCCTGTATGTGAGCGCCAATTACTCCTCGGTTGGCTGCAAATTATTCTCATGGTCGTTGTCGACTGCATGAGTCGACTCGGAACGGGGAGATCTGTTGTAGATTATCCGCGCAACGTCTTTTGGTCAGTGTGTCGGTGAATCTACTCCGAGAAGCGCGTGTGGAGATGGCTGCTCTCCGCAATTATGTCTTTCTGGTTCTTTGCTCTTCGGAACTGTGTCTCTGTCAACAAAGAACGGGTAAGGACTTCCCGTCTCCAGCGCGTGACTCCCGGAGTCGAATCGTTCGATTCCGGACTATAGAGCTCTTACCAACACCTCTCGTCGCCGCATCGGCTCACGGCTTGTTAGTTACAGTCGTCATTGATATTACGCCGCCGCGAAGAGTTTCTCTCGGGGCGAGCGCCGCTCTCAGCTGCGTTGTCGTCTCTGCCATACCGCAGGAAGTCTTGACCTGGGAGCGATCTGACGGATTGGACCTCAAATCGGTGCCAAACTTGCGAATTGTTGGCAGTCACAACGTCTCGAGTAGTCTTCTCTGGCAAAACGTGCGATTTGAAAACGCAGGAGCGTATACCTGCTCAGCTTCCGACTCTACGAAAGCGACGACTTTATTGACTGTCGAAGGTGAAGATCGGTTTTTCTGAGCGGGTCCGGAAGGAATTATCACCTTGCGGGAGGGGATCTTCTCGCCTCGAGACGACGAAATTTGAGATGAAAAAATTGTATTTTCCGCTGGACAGCTAAACTCGGTGGTGGAACAGCTTCGAGAAGAAGTGGATATATGTAGATCCTGTCCCTTGCGGCGTCCTTGTCGGTCGCGTTCGAGAACAGCAAATGATCCTAATCATTGCTCCGAGCTTCGCGGAAATCCAGACGCTGGATGAATGTTCCTGAAATCAGTATTCAGTAATCAGCTACGCTAACCGAAGTAGAGTCAATCTCGCGGGCCCTCCTGATTGGTTGCATACCTACCTAGGTACTGTTCGGGAGATATGCAGCTAGCTCTTGGGCGGAACATTCCCTGTGAAGAACGGACTGAGTCCTTATTTGAGATTGAAATGAGGTGACATGAGATTATGGTGACCGATCGGTCCGAATCTATCCCCTGATCGCAGAGTTTCGGGGCTTGAAGCCTAAATTTTCCATCGAACAGAACGATGAGATCCTCTGAGACGACGCCTAGCGGAGCTCATTTTCCTCCGTCTTTTCGGAAATCGCGGGCTACTCTCGAGCGCAGCGTGGCCTTCTGTCAGCGAGGCTAAGTTTTCAAAAGTCAGACGAGGCTTTGTGGAGTCTTGCGCAGTTCAGAACCCGTCTGCAGCATCTACCATGTTGATTCGATGGAGCTTCCTTGCGATTTGCAGCCATCTGGCTTCCGGATCGGGTGAATATTCTTCTAGCATGTACATGTCTTGCCGAATTGCTTCAAATCCGAGGCTATCAACTGAGGGCTCCCGTTCTCGTGCAGAACCCGTTCGTCTGGAGCCGATATCCGACAAGCGCGTGACGGTTGGTCGAGTCGCCGCTCTCATGTGTACCGTATACGAAGGCACGGATGTAAGTTTCTCGTGGAGCAAAGACGGATCGCTCCTCCGGCCTGGGAATAGACTTCAGATTCTAAGTTCACAAGACACCTCTACTTTGAGCATTCGTGGCGTCCTCGCGTCCGATTCAGGGACGTACACCTGCATCGGTCAGAACAAAGTTTCCGAGGAACGAGTGTCCGCTCAATTGGTTATTGAAGGTGAGAAGTGAGCAGTTCGCGAAATTGAATACAAGTAAGACCTCACCGTGAAACGAAGAGAGGACAATAGAGTAACGTCAAATCGACCGCTCTGGGAGCCCCGCGGGCGTCACCGGCGCTTCATTTCACTCGGAGTTCTCCCAAATGGAGAATCCGTCTTTCAGTTGATGAAATCTGATGCGGATTTCCATGGATAAACTCTGGACTAGCGCATCCGATGTATCATAATCCGACTCGGGGTTATAATTAAGGACCGTCACAGATATCTGTTCGTGATCCCAGGGATTTTTTTTTCACGATCGGGAGCGCAGCTTCCGACGAACAATCTAGTCGCAAGGCCTGGCTAGCGGGAGTTTCGAAGCAGGCGGGAGTAGCCTCGCTGTCGACGGACCGCGAATCCTGAGCCGAGAGTTCAGAATTTAAAAGCGGCAAGTTCAGTGTATCTCCAAGGGTCATTCTGCTGTAGCATGCTGGAGCAATGAGACCGGTGACATGGCTCGTATCTCTGTCGACGACGATTAGTTTCGTTACTTCTTCCGGTGAGTGCGAGCACTGAATGATGGCTCTGTGGCATTTTATGAGTCGAGAAGCGCCATATCCTTCGGGTAACCTATTCGGATCAGTGTATATGAGAATGTGTGTTGATTGCTTGCTTTGGTTCACAGCTCCGGTGAAAGTCGGCGCAATCGCCGACCGGTCCACCAAAGTCGGCCGAGTAGTTACTTTCACCTGTGAGCTCCTCGAGGGAGATGACGTGCTCTTCAATTGGGGTTTCGATGGCGTCGTTCTGCGTGAAGGGGGTCGCGTCCACATCTCTACAACGCCTTTCTCGTCTACCTTGACGCTGCACGGTGTTCAAGCAAGCGATCGCGGAACTTACACTTGTACCGGTAGCAATTCAGTGTCTGAGGAACGTGCTTCAGCTCAACTGTTGGTGGAAGGTGAATGAGTCGATTCTCTAGATTTGAAAATCCCCATTTCGCGCCTCTTTCTGCACTTCCGAGGCCACGAAAGCCGAATGAGTAGCTTTCCTTTCGTTGATTCCCCACGGACTCGGAGGTTGCGATATCCGGATGGTTCTTCTACGATCTTCCTATGCGAGACCCATATTAGGAGAAGAGAGATCGATAAACCGGATATCACTGCCGCAATGGCGGCAGTTCAGAGCAATTTCGCGCCTTTCATGCAGATTAAAAATCCATTTGAAGAGTATATAAGTTTTGTGGAGCGTCGCGGAGCGTGCTATGATGGCTTTCAAAATTCTACGCGGGAGCCTCGCCTCTTCGTCTGGCCCGACTGTCACGAGGCTAGCTCCCGCGGTCAAGAGCTTGATCTCGGTCGGATTTCGAACCAGTGAGTCGACGCCAGTGAGCCTGACAATGACGCTCACGCAAGCCCTCATGGATATCGGAATCATGAAAGTTTGCTTCTTCTGTTTTGTGTCGCTCGGGATCCACTACGCTGGAGCTCTCGGTAAGGTTCCCGGGAAAAGATCGATACCTATTCGTTCTAGCGGATACTTCACGCACACGATTCTGGAATCCGATGCTTTGGAGTCGTAATATCCACGATTCCTCCGTCGCAGAGTCAGTTCGGTTAGAGCCTCTGCCAACCAAACGGATACGGACTGGCAAGTCCGTGACATTCGCCTGCTCGGTGATCGAAGGCGAGGACGTTTCTTTCACATGGAGCCGTAACGGTGTTCTCCTCGGACGAGCGGAGCGCGTAGAAATATACTCAAGCGGAGTTTCCTCTACTCTTTCGATAAAAAACGTCAAGATGAGCGATTCCGGCACATACATTTGTGTCGCACGAAACACTGTCTCCGAGGATAAGACAGCGGCTATCCTCAATGTAGAAGGTTGGTTCCCCATAGTTCCGCATTGCTCCGTGTATTTCCGATCGAGACGTACTTGCTGGAGCTGACGGCAGGTCACGATTCTGCCGACTGCCCTCAGAAATGTCCATCGAGAATTTCCCGTCTACCTCTCCAAATTATCGGTCAGTCGTGATTAATTATCTACGAGGGGATGAAAAGCGTTTGGACTCCGCGTTGACGGCTGCTTGACTCTCGACTCTCGGGAGACACATTCCCCATTGCGAGAGCCTCCTTCAGGAGCAGTGATCCACCTTTTCCCTCATCAGCGGAATTTTTCGAATTTGGTGCGGTAGCCTCGTATTCGAGCGAGTCACTGCCCAGGCATTGAGGCTACCTCTTCAGGAGCTCAACACCCAAGGAATGTTGGCTCATTGTGACTACCCTAGTCGATGTTTGTGGACCGGCATGTATCTTGAAGTACTGCTTCTGTCTAGTTTTGTGATCCATGTCGTCAGAGCTGTCAGTGAGTATCCACACATAACACCCAGTGTCTCGGTACGGGGGATTTGAACTAGAACTCTTATTGAATCGACCTTAATTTCTCATGACAGCTCCTGTAAAAGTTGAGCGCCTCCATTCGAAAACTACCGCGATCGGGAGACGCGTCTCCTTCACATGCGAGTCCTATGAGGGGGACGACGTTAATTTCGCATGGACGCGAGGCGGTAGCGTCATACGCAATTCGAATGAGGTCGTCATAGCCTCCAGCATCGCGAGCTCTACAGTGACGATCCTGAAAGCTCAAGCGACCGATGCCGGACAATACACCTGCATAGCGAGCAATAGGCTGTCCGAGGATCGGACAACTGCATCACTCGCCGTCGAAGGTCATTCTCGGTCGACTGAGAGGTTATCTATGTAGAATTACACGAATCAAGGTCCTCGATGCGGTGCCTAGGATAAGAAGCAACTTCTTCACCTGGTGCTCTCGGATGAGATTCGTAGAACCTGGAGTTGTATTGCAAACAAGACGAGAGGCACATTGAAAGTTTTTTTGTGGTTCTGAAGTCCGGAATGGCCCCCAACGCGGGTGAAAGGGGAAGGAGGGGAGGGACTGGACAGTTCGACGGGCAGAATTCCCGAAACCAATCGCTCATTCATCGTGAATTGCTTCGATGAATGGCGCCTTCAGGGCTATCGAGAAGGTTCCTTGCCGAAATTACGATGCTTCCCACTCGATGGTGCTGTCCGGAGGATAAATCGAATTTTGGCGCCAAGTGTTCGAGGATAAGGCAGCTCATCGGATGCTACCAAAAGGCATTAAGCTGTGCGCAGCTTTGCGTTGCTCAGTGCCTGCAGGAGTCTCAGACATGAGTCTCGCCATGTTCCTTCTTCTCTTGATTGTTCCGAGCCTTGAAATTAATATGATCGCGGCTTCGGGTAAGCTCACCTATATCGTCATACGTTCCGGAAAGAGAATTCCGGTTGCCAGGTCAGAATACCATGATTCGAAGTTTCTCTGCTTAAAATTCCCCTTTCATGCGATCCTGACCCCGACAGAAATTGTGATCAGTGTTCTCGGCCCTGGAAATGCTTTCACGGGGGAAGCAGCTTCGTTCATGTGCAATGCTATCAAGGGGAAGAACCTTAACTTCACTTGGACAAAGTCAGGATCCTTAATTCAAGCAAACGAACGCATCTCCCTCGCGAATACGAGAAAAAGTTCAATGCTTTCCTTCGAGAGCGTGATTGTTCCCGATAGTGGTAACTACACTTGCGTGGCTACTGATGGCGTCTCCATTGCAAGGAAACACATATTCATCACAATTAATGGTGAATGCTAAATTATACGAGCCAGCACCGAAGGAGTTGAATATGTTCATGATTTTCCGATTATACGCGATGAGCGTCGAACGCTGATCATATCAGCGGTGAAACCTCGCAATGCACGTCAAGAGCCGTGGGGCCAAGAACAGGGAGTGGACCCTGCGGGAAAAACTCTAGGAGAAAATTTTCCGTCACTACGATTCGAGACATCCAAGGGTTTTCGTCTCTCTGATTTTGAGGTCAGCCAAACCACATCAATATGCCTTACACGTGAATCTAAAACATTCTGGGAGAGCTCCAGCGGGAGCGTCTCTTTTCTGCTTACCGAGCATTCGAATTTCGTGGACTTAGCCGGATGCTATGTGGGCGAGTCGAATGCAGTCGAGGCTACCTTGTCCACCCCGATCCTAGCTTCTTTTCAGAACAAGTTCACTTAGTCAGCGGTCGTTGATGACAGTGCATCGGGATGTATCTCGTGTTTCTTTGTGGGAGCGCCTTAGTTTTCGAATCAATTCGAGGTTTCAGTAAGTAAAGAATCTTCTATCGCCTTTGTTTCGAAGTGCCCCATAAATCTCTATGATCCTAATTGATCCGGAATCCGGTCCCCTACCAGCTCCGGTCAAGGTTGAGAGTCTACCCCCGAAGTCAGCTAGGATAGGGAGGAGAGTCTCATTTATGTGCGAAGCCTATCAAGGGGATGACGTCAATTTCACCTGGACGAAAAACGGGAGTCTCCTGAAAACGTCGGACGAGATGATAATCTCCTCCAATGTCGCAAGTTCTACCTTGACCATCCTAAATGCCGGGGTTCTGGACGCCGGCATATATACTTGTATCGCGAGCAACAAGGCGTCGGAAGATAGAGTGTCGACCACTCTTCATGTCGAAGGTGAACCGGAGTTCTTCCACGACTCATTTTTCTCAGTATTATGATAAGAACATAATGAATGCCTCAGGAACTGATACCGCGAAGCGCAGCACTCGCCCCTGCCCCTCGAAGCCCAGCAAGATATTTCGAGTGAATTCTTTCATCGCGGCAATCGTGTTCGAAATTTTCCTTTTATCTCATACTCTCTCTTCATATATCGCATCCGTGTCTGCTTCTCAATCGGCTACTCTACATCAAGCTCACAACCAATTGCGCTCCAGAACATGCGGTGTTTGAATCATGCGGACCCATGTTTTGCCACCGAGAACTTTTGGGAATAGAATCCGACGCCGCACTCGATTGATTTGGAGTCGCGCGTCGTGAGGGGAGGATACCGAGGTCGAATGTTGGCGCCGCGCTCATGACTATGAGACGGTGTCGCTTACTCGAGGCTAACCTCCGGTCCGCTCGCTCGCTCGGAAGAGCTTATCCCGGCCCATTCGGCATCGAAGCGAGTGTTGGAAAAGGTGGAGGCATGTCAGTGCCGTTGTTTTTCGTGACTTTCATGCTAGTCTCCTCGGTGAAGTTTTCTTCATCAGCGGGTGAGCGATTATTTGAAACCGCTTCGGGAAGGGATGCTTGCCAGATTTCTCAGATCCGTGCTGAGCACAAGTCATTTCAGAGGAAATTGCGATAAGCGTTCTGGGGCCTGAAGACGCTTCGGTTGGGGAAGCGATTTCACTTGTGTGCAACGCGCACAAGGGGAAAAACCTCGAGTTCAGTTGGACAAAATCCGGTCTGCTCATTCAACAAAATGAGAAAGTCTCGATTTCCAACACGCGAAGGAGCTCGATGCTATCACTCGAGAACGTCGCTTCCTCAGACAACGGAAACTATACCTGTGTGGCTTCCGATGGGCTGACTGTCGCAAGGAAACATATACGCATCAGTATTCTAGGTGAAGGTTTCATCGGATGCAATAATTCTGTAGTTAATCCCGCTAGGTGATGATTTAGATAGAAAGGGTTCTTCCACGATATACTGAGAATTTTTGGGACTTTACGTTGCGGAGATGAATCGCGAAAACTCCACTGGATCCGGCTCCCCGGATCGCATTTCTCATCTCGAGGGGATAACGATACTTCCGTTTATGGAATACATCGAAGATACGTCTCACCGGAAGAGTTCCCGTTTACGCCGAGTCTCCGTAATGTTATGAGGGATAGGATGCTCATACAGATGGGTTCGTATGCGTTCCATATGGATCCTCACTGGGCAAAAGACGCTGTCCTATGAATCACTGAGCCGATGCAGGCGGGAGCTCGTAAGAGTGGGTTTCGAAAAGAGCGCCGAATTCGGGTCCGAGCTGACAGATCCCTAGCTCGGGGCTACCGGCGGTAAGGGACTTATCTGAGCCTCTGGAGCGTCACTCAGTTCGTTCGTGCTGCTTCATGAGGATGTCTCGTGAGTTTCTTGTGTGCTCCTTGCGACTCTTGCTCACGGCATATTTCCTTCTGGAGTCCGCGAAATCGTTAGGTCAGTATCTGCGAAGACCATGAAGCTACATGTGTTTGTGGTGAACAATCATTCCGAAGATTCAGAAATGTCTCCATCAATGAGGTTACCTCGACCTCTCTCTTATTAGAAACGGTTCGACTTGAGCGCATCGCTCCGAAGGAAACCGTCCACGGAAAGCGCATAGCTTTCACATGTCTGGCTTACCAAGGAGATGAGGTGAAGTTCTCCTGGTTGAGGAACGGACAGCTTTTGAAAATCGACAATAGAGTCAACTTCTACCAAATGGAGTCGAGCTCGACATTGAACATAAAAGACATCAAGCCAACGGATGCTGGCAACTATTCCTGTCATGCCTCGAACAGAATATCTGAGGATACCGCGATCGCCATTCTGCGTGTTCAAGGTATTCCGTCAATAAAAATGTCCGGAATAGCGCAATAGTGGTTTCCAGGAATAAGTTGGGGAATGTCTCTACGTGGGCATCGCTTCCCCAACTGTCAGAATACACCCCATATATGTACGGCACGCCCCACGTACCTAGGCGTGAAGTAGAGAGCCCAAGCATAAACTTGCGACATACGAGATTTTCCGACCGATTAATTGACTTCTAGAAGGAACATTCCGGTTTCTCACCTCGCGACTCACTCTGTCGTAGCTCACATTCCAATACTTCGAGCTTGATCCCCCGCCGCTCATGGAGAGCGGGAATTTCATAGGAGGTGATTTTCAAAAAACCAGCGCCGAAGTCTCGCTCCCGTGCTGAGACCTGTATCGAGACTAACTGGGCTATATCAAAAGACTGCTCACCAATGCAGGAGCCGCGATGCGTCCGGCTGTGCGGACGCGAGTGCAGCATTCCATTGAAACGATGAGTTTGACGTGTGCTATCGTCTGGTTTTGTGCAACGTTCGCTCTAGTGGTAGCCGACGCCAGGAAAGAAAGTATGTATGGGGGAAATCCGCCCTCAAAGTTCATGATCGGATACTCCAGTTGTTGAGATTTCTACCAATTTGTATCTCAGGCGACATCAAACTCGGCAAGCTCCAATCCTCGACAACTACCGTCGGGGAAACGGTGGCTTTCGCATGTACCGCCCTGAAAGGCAATGATGCCGCGTTCTCATGGACTAGGAACGGTTTCGTTCTTCGAGGGAATGAAGGAAGATACTCGATTCTTGGCAATAAATTGACCTCTGTGCTGACCATAGAAGATGTGGGCCAAGAGGACTCGGGGGTTTTCACCTGCGTTGCGAGCAACTCGAGATCCGAAGATAGAACGTCGGCTACGCTAGCGGTCAGAGGTGAATTTCCTGAAACGAAACCCAGCTCAAGGTGTTTTCCCTCTGGATCGGCGATTTCGCTATCTCTTTGTCCATTTCGAGAACCAGTCTAGGTAGATAGGTAATTAAGAAATCTCCACCTGTCTCATCGGAGGGATTGGCGAATGCGGTTTATAGGGTATCTAGGCTGTTCTCGGCACTTCCTCTGCACGGCTGATCCCGCTGCTGTTGACTCGAGACAAACCTTGACTCTAATCCGCTTTCACCTTTTGACGATCCCAAAGATCAAATCTCCGCTGTGTCGGAATGACATCTGTGTTTATGGAAATCCCTTCCACCACCAATACATATGTGCGGCAGACAGTGAGCTCTCGTGCACCATTCATTCGAGCAACGCTTGGAATTTCGGTACACGCTGCGCCACCGTCACACGGAATCGCGAATTTCATTGTGTGGTGCAGTGTGTTGTCCATTCTGGACGTTGTTTCTCTCTCGCCGGAGTTCCGAGGGGAATTCTTTTTTGAGGAAAACGCGTGTTATGAAAGTTTACAAACAATCCGAATGAGCTTGTGCTGTCGGTAACAAATCTCACTTCGATCAGTGATATTCGTACTTTCCGCTGTACTCTCGCCCGAGGCACTGGGAGCGAGATTACCCGATCGCTCAGCGCCGCTATTCGTTTCGATCATTTGCGAAAGGACGCTCTGGTGAGCCACGAAACGCTGTGTCAGTGCCGACACGATGTGGCTCGAATCAGACGGGCATAACGGTGTTTCGGTGAGGTTATTCGTGACGGTGGCCTTCCTCCACTTATGCTCTGCGGGTGAGTGAGCTCCTCAGAACTGCCAAATTAGCGTATACGCGGAGCTGCGATCAAATGTGGATCATGCCTTCCAATCTTTGGAACATTCACTCACGATATGCATGCCCCGGACAGCAGATCCCGCGGTCATCCTCCGACAGCTACGATCCCAAGAGGCGAAAAGTGGCGAGCCTGTCACTTTCACTTGCAGCATCTTGGAAGGACACGACGTGAGCTACTCTTGGACGAAAGACGGGATACTTCTTAAAGAGGACCAGAGGATAGAAATTGCGAGCTTGAGGAAAAGTTCAACGATCTCCATAGATTCCATCGAATCAACAGATGCGGGCGTGTATACTTGCATAGCGTCCAGCGGAGTTGCGGAAGACAGGACATCCGCTTCTCTGGTAGTTCAAGGTGAATGTTTCGCAAAATCCTCAGAATAACATGAGGTACTTTACTGATCGTTTGGGGACGCACTCAGATCGGCCCGAGAAGTTCCGCATTACTCAGTTACGCCTGACTAAGACTTCTCGCGGACTGATATCGTCGAATTCGATTCCGTGTGTAACTTTTCCACTAAACACTAAACACTCCGTGGATGACCAGGCCCTGCTCCGTGGAATTTCGAGCGCACGACCCGCTAGAAATCCAAGGAGTGAAAGCTCCAGAGTCGACAAGAAGGGTTGATTTTCCGCTTCGGATTTTTCTTCCCTCTCCGACGGAGAAATTCAAATTCGGCTCTGTATCCTCGAACCCGTGTGCCGGTCGCTCAGGGAGCGAGACTACGGCTGCTCGTAGCTTCATCAATGCTCAGTTACCCTTCTGGATAGATTGAGTCGCTGCGCTGACGGCGGCATGACCCCGGCAGTGATTCGTTTCGTTCTCGTGGCGATTGTAGTGGAATTCAGATTTGTGCAAGGTATGTTCTGATTGTTGAGACCGGTGGCAATGCACATCAAGTTCATCGGTGACGGGGAAAGGATCCTCTCAGTCAGTTTCATGATTCAGGAAATGTTGTGCTCGAAGCCTTACCGTCTGAGGTCGCGAAGGTGGGCGCATCCGCCGTGTTCACGTGCAAAGTCAGGGAGGGTAAGAAGATATCGTTTCAATGGACGAGGGATGGTCTCGTCTTGAAGCAAAGCGATCGAATAGGAATCGCCAACAGTAGGAGATCATCGATGTTGTCAATTGACTTCGTTGAAGTATCTGACCGAGGAAAATACACTTGTATCGCGAGCGACAGCGTATCGGAAGATCGTCGGAGCGCCGAACTGTCAGTCGAAGGTATTCTTTGACTTTTCCTCTTAGGCGATAGTTTTCCTTGTTGGTTCCCGAGAAAAAATCTGACAGAGAAGCTCGATCGCCGACAAGCGTTCCGCGGCGCCTAGTTTCCGCGAATCGCTCAAAACAAAAAGTTGGACCTACACGTCTGAGCGACCTCAGATGTACGGTTTCTCACGAGACGATCGCTGAAATATAAAGCGAGAAAAAATACGCTCGAGCACCTGGGTTTCAACCCGATAGAGAGTCATTTTCGGAGAGCCGAGATTCGGAAACCATTATTTGCCATACGGCTCCGTGGTTTTCGCGTATTGGCAGCGATTCGGCTTCGAGGCGATTTCACCTCCTCTTATCGAAAACTTTGCAATGCGGCAAGGTATCCCAATCCTAGACATTCAAAAACGGCGCGCTACTCTCCTCGGTGCTCCAATCCTTCGATCTCGGCACTAAACCTACGCGGCAACTTGGATGAGGGACCGCAGAGCAATGCGAAACAAGGGCAGTGCCATGACGGCTCAATATCGAAGTCTCCTGTCTCTGGTGATAATTTTGAGCTCACGAGCCCCCTACTTCACCGCTTCGGTTGATGCTATTGGTGAGTGAATGTGCATCGATATCATGGCCCCTTGTCGATGGGGTTTCCAATAATCGTGGAATTATAACCTTCAAGAACACGTTCGGCTGGAGGCAATACCATCAGAAATCATTCGAGAAGGCGAGTCCACAGCTTTCATGTGTAAAGCGAAGTTGGGTCGAGATGTGAAGTTCTCATGGACCAAAGACGGAATGATGCTCAAAGCAGGCGGCAGACTCGAGATTTCAAGTTCCAAGAAGGTTTCCGTTCTCTCTATCGAAACTGTATCGGTCAGGGACAGAGGCTCGTATACCTGCATAGCTTCGAACCCGCTGTCTGAAGATAGGCAGAACACATCTCTCACGGTCGAAGGTGAGTCTTCTCAAGCTGACTCGAACCGTTGTATCGTGAGAATGAACCTCCCAAAGGGAATCGACTCCTCTTATGTAAGAGTCTCTTGACGAGTCTCTGACGATTTCTGGAGAATGTCGTAGATCATAGGTTCTCTCCCTCCGACAACTGAGTCCGAAACCACATGAAATGCTCGGGCAGAAATAATTGGCATCAATTCCGGAAATCGATGAGGGGATCGCGCTTCTGCGTTAGCTTCTGATATACTGATCGAAGGGGTTGTCCGCAGGGTTTGTTAGATATAGTCCTTATGGAAATAAGAAAAACTGAAATCAGGCGATTGATATCAATCCAAGGGGAATCCCGAGACCTCATTTCCAACGAGCGAATGCTCTCCTCGAATCCGCCGCCGTAGCCTCAGGTCGTGCTGCGACACTCCAGCACCGAGATTACGGAGCGGGCTTCTCCCCGTTGTTCGCGGAAGCACTTGAGTCGCTCCATAAAGCAGTTCGTGGGCAGTCACTGAGAGAATGTTCTCGAGTTGCGAATCGATCTGTTTGCTAATAGCTCCAATCATTCTATTCTACATTCACCCAGCAAGGTGCCTCGGTGAGTTGTTACCTTCTTGATCTTCCCGACTCAGAATTTCCATCCCGTTCTTTGAGCTGTCGGGTTTAGTTTTCGCCTTCTCATCGGCAGACCAGGTGAGAGTTGACCGCATCTCTCCGAAAGAAACTTCGGTCGGGAAGCGAATCGCTTTCACTTGCATCGCTTACCAAGGAGAGCAGGTGCGGTTCTCCTGGACGAAAGATGGAAAAATCGTTTCAGCGAACAAACGAATCGGCATCAGCTCCGCAGATGAGACTTCGACGTTCACCATAAAGAGCGTGAACGGTGAAGATTCCGGAAACTACACATGTATTGCAAGCAATGCGGTTTCTGAAGACAAAACGACAACTCTCCTCACCGTCGAAGGTACATCGTCGTCCATCATGGACCGTCGATTCCTTTAGCTTATCTTGAGATGGTACTTAGGCGAGAGGGGAGGGGACAGGGGGTGCATGACACCGCAAGCTCCGACTGATGTCTCATTCATGGGGCTGATGTTTCGCTTCTGATAGTATCGATGTTTCTCCAAGCGCATCGATCACATTTGTAGCGCGCTTGGTTCCGTTTACACCTGAAAACGAAGGAAAAGTATGAGTTCTTTGCGGTCTCAGAAATCGAGATCGACGGAGCGGCGACCATTTCGATCTTTGCTCGAGCATCGAGGACCATCATGGAGTCAATGGGCCCCCGGACCCGCTTGAAGGACGCGCCATAGCCTCCCGGAGAGTGAGCTGGGACACTGGTGTCGAGATTCAGGCGACTCGATCGCGACCAGGAAGGCATCCAGTTAGTCTTTCTCGTCTCTCGGTGAGATGTGGTTCGTTGCTTTGAGAATCAGAAGTGTGACTGTCTGCCTTTGGATAGCATGGACTTCCGTGGATTTCGCGAGAGGTACATATATTCAAAAGGTGCTTGGCTCATTTTATTATCAGAAAAACGTAGGCCCTGTCGAATGAATCACCCCGGTTTCTCCAGGACGCTTGATCTTGGAGCCTTTACGACCGAAAGCCGCCTCCATCGGCAAGTCCGTCACTTTTCTATGTGCGATTGCGGAAGGTAGAACGGGGACGTTTTCGTGGACGAAGAATGGAATACTTCTGCATGAGCACGACCGAATCCAAGTCGCAAATCTCAGGAGAACCTCCACTTTGAACATCGAAGACGTTGAAACTTCGGACCGGGGGCTCTATACTTGCACCGTGAGCGACGCTGATTCGGAAGATCGACAGAGCGCCTTGTTGTCAGTGGAAGGTAGGTCCCCTCTGCTCTCCAGGCGTAGGAAGTGTACGGAGGATAACGGGTCGATGCGGAAAGGATAGGCGCCTAACGCTTGGAAATCTCCGTCGAACCCGCGACAATGTCCGGGATCACTAATTTTCTGGCCTTGTTGCATGCTGCATTGGAGCCCCCAACTCAAGCTCCTCCGTGAGGCTTTACGATTCGAAATTTCCGCGTACTCTCGGATCCGACTTCCCGGCACGCTGTTGCCGAGGCTACGATCGCTCCACAAAAGTTTCCCGAGCGTCATGTCATAGCCCACTTAGCCTCGAGAGATTCTTGAGGGGAAAGCATGTTACGCAGTCATCATGCAGTGCTTTGTCGGTGGATTGTGATACTTTGTGTCTTGAGTCCATTGACATCGGGTCTCGGTGAGCTTTTCCAGAGAAACGTAATGATTTCCTCATTCCGAGGATGTTGTTTCCTCTTTCTGTTCCAACTGCCTCCCCTAGGCTCATTAGAAGCTGTGGCCTTCCAGAGAGAGTGAGGATCGAACCTCTTCTTTCGAAAAACACCACCGCAGGACGACGCTCCACATTCACATGCTCGGCATTCGAAGGGGAGCAAATTGAATTCTCGTGGACGAAAAATGGGAAAATTCTCTCGAACGATCCTCATTCGGATAAGCTGACTATTTCGGCCGCCGAAGGCAGTTCTGTTTTGACCATCAAGAAAGTCGCTGGCGAAGACTCAGGAAATTTCACATGCATCGCGAGAAATGATGTATCGGAAGCGCGCAGCACCGCGAGTCTCCTCGTAGAAGGTTAGAGTATTGTAATGACCGAAAAATAACCTCGGCACTTTTTCGAGCCGAATCCCATGCGACGAGTCTCGATGCTCATTATCGTGCATTCTCTGCTTCATTGACACCACTGCTACTGGGCGGCGAGTCCCGATCCGCCAAACGGATCCAAGGCTTAAATTCATGCTGATAATCATGGGAGGATCAAGTGCCCGATAGGTAGGTTGTAGGGAATTGTTCGATGATAGCCCGCATCTCATGGAACTCGAGTGTTGACGAATTCCGGGTATGATGGGGATCCCCTACGACAGAGATTCGGTCGAACAAAGCATCGATTCGATCAGTGACGATCGCTCCGGGCAAGATGCTCCTTCAGGTTTTGGCGCGGTAATCTCGGACTGAACGCTCGTCCTCCGGCGTCGAGGCTCAGGATCGCGGTGTTGCTTGCAGGGGGATCGGGGCGATCAGTAACAGTGAAAACTCTCCGCGAACGAGTCATGTTAACCCACAGGCTCACTTATGGAGTATCTTGGTGCTACTTCATGTTTGTTTACTCTGTTAACTCTTTGGGTAAGATCTCGAACTAGATAGTAGATACCGGACTTTATTTTCGAGCGGTGCTGGAGCGAGCGAAGTTTTTCGACGACACGAATCGAGCTTAGTATCTTCCAAACCAGATCGCGTCCGAGTCGATAAAATAGCTCCGAGGAAAACATCGATTGGCAAGAGAGTTGCATTCACCTGCAACGCTTATGAAGGGGATCAAGTTCGCTTCTCATGGACAAAAGACGGACGAATCGTCCTGCCCAACAACCGTATCGGCGTCTCATCGGTCGATGAGACCTCAATGCTCACGATCAAGAGCGTCCGCAGCGAAGACTCAGGGACTTTCATGTGCATAGCCAGCAATGCTGTCTCGGAAGATAAAGCCACAACTCTCCTGACCGTCGAGGGTAGGGGGCCTTGTAATCTCAAATTCATTGCCTCCATTCAATTCTGTTCGTCATGAATCAATGGTGGTTATCCATGCAATTTCTCCGCTTCAATATCTTCACGGGTCGAGAGGCGCCACGTGAGACTCAGATGCGGTGATTTCCACGGTTCTGCGTCGAATGGGTTCCCCACTTCCCGATTCCCTCCAGAGATACCAAGCCTATCCGACGGAATAAGTGGGAGGGTGAGGCCTTCGCTGGGTCCTGTTCAAAAGTTTCTTCAGGCTTACGGTCTGCTTGTCGTTCGAATCCTTAAAAACCCCAGAGAGCCTATACCGACGCTTGAATATCGCGCCGTAGCCTTCCCACCCGGGTCCTCGAGCACTGGAGTCGAAACTTACACATTCGTCAGTGAGCATTATCCGAGCTGTTTCGAAACAGTGGCTTCGGTAGTCCGCAGGGATGAGTCTCGGTGTGAGAATGCAGCTTCTCTTACCTGTCGTTTGCATACTTTCTACTCTACCAGCATCCTCAGAAGGTATTTCACATCGACAACTTTCCCTGGAAAGCATTCCGGCCCGCGCTTCCAACGATTAAAGATACAATTCGTCGTGGTTCATTCTCAGGCCGCCTCGCGGTCGAGGGACTACAGCCAAAAACTTCATCGGTCGGCAAATCCGTAGCCTTCCTCTGTACGTTGGCAGAGGGCAGGAACGCGAGATTCACTTGGACCAAGAACGGAATACTCTTGCATGACGACGCAAGAATTCAAATTGTGAACCTGCGCAGAACGTCAACTTTGAACATCGACGATGTTGAGGTCTCAGATAGAGGCGTATACACTTGTACTGCGAACGACGCGGACTCAGAGGATAGGCAGAGCACAACGCTGTCTGTCGAGGGTAATGTTTCATTCGAATATTTGGAGTATTTGATGTAAGCCGACAAATATCGGGGATCGGGTGGTGTGAGCCATCTTTGATGCAGAGCCGCGGAATCCCGTCAAAGGCGTAAGATTGGTGTTTATTCCTGATTCATCGAAATGCGATTCGGACTTCCACGGATACTTTTCGGTCGTCCACGATTCACGTCACTGACATAGGCCGATCGTGGACAAGCGGACTCAGTCGCGTGTGATTCCGAAGCGCAGTCGGGAGATTAAGAATATTTCACGAGTTTCCACCATGAAGCCATGCCCGCGGGATAGGGATTTTCTTTCCCTCGCTGGGAGAATTTCGATGTCATTCAAACTTAGCGCGAAGTCTCGACCTCGGTGCGGCGTATCACTGTAGCCGAGGCTACGGGTTACTTTCGCGGCTTCTCGTCCGAAGCTAGCCAGAGTCAGTGCGAACGGTGCTGAGGTGCGAATATGTTGATCAGAAAAAGTTTCAACGAGGCGCTATGTATCTTGTGTGCCGTCGCAGGTTTCCAATTCGTAGAAGGTTTCGGTGAGTGTATTCGAGTGCCAGGCATTCACCCAGGAGATTAACGCTCGGTTACCACCGAATCCGCTCGCAGAAACCTAACCCGTGGTTCTCCGTGCAGAGAGAGTGCGAGTCGAAGCGCTCACTCCAAAGAGGACAGCGGCAGGCCGCCGTGTGACTTTTACTTGTACGGCTTATGAAGGAGATTCCGCGAGGTTTTCATGGACTCGCAATGGGAAGATAATTCAGACTGGCTCCGATCGATTCGACATCGCGACCAGCGAAGGAAGTTCGATGCTTACCATAAAAAGCGTGACAAGCGAGGATTCTGGGGATTTCACTTGCATCGCTAGTAATGAAGGGTCAGAAGATCGCAGCACGGCCTACCTCACGGTTGAAGGTGATTATAAATCTCCTGATGTTCGCAGCGAACGATTCCCTTCGGTTGAATTTGACGAAGATAATTAGGCATATACATCTGTCGCGGCATTTTGGCCATTCCGGGGGCTTGTTCAGCTCTGTTGTGGACTTCCCTTAGAGACTCGCACTCGCTCCGGAAGGCCGCAGAGTCTCGCGGCCGCCAGAAGCGCCCATCTTTGGTAATTTTGGGCACATCACCCTCTTTAATTAAGCCAGCTCGACGCACAACGGACACATTGGCGTTCATGGGGGAGGAGGGGGCGGACAGGAGGTCAGGTTTCAATTACCCCTATGAGATTTAGGCTCCACAAGTCCTGGGAAAATTCATCTGATTTCGAATTCCGGCGCTCTAGCCAGGATACCGAGCCTCAAACACAGAGTCGAGAGTATCCCACCGCCGATTCTGCCTCTATCGGAGGTCCCAAACTCACTGGCTTTAGATGCTCCCAGCTCGCCGTGAGCCATGGGGTCACCAGATTTGATTGCATACTGTCTCTTTCTGGTGAGCATTTCTTCACTTCAAACTTGCGTCGAGTGTTTCGGTGAGTCTCCTTGCGTTGGGCACTGCGGAGAGTTTTATATGGATTCGTGATGAAGTTCGAACCTGACAGGTTGTCACAGAATCTCATTCAGCAGATCGTGTCCGAATCGATAGAATTCCACCGGTAAAAACTGCGGTCGGTCGGAGAGTGGCGTTGGTTTGCAACGCTTACGAGGGGAGTCGGGTTTCGTTCACGTGGACGAAGGATGGTCACATCATCTCGCCTAATAACCGGATAGCAATTTCTTCAACTGATGGAACATCAACCTTTTCAATCAGAAGCGTGGCGACCGACGACTCCGGTACCTACACTTGTATCGCCCTCAACCCAGAGTCTGAGGATAAAACTTCGGCTGTGCTCACTGTCGAAGGTACATAAGTTCCCGACGTAAATCTCAGTGTCTCCGATCGGGGAATTTTTCATGGCCACTACGCCACACTTTGATTTCTGTCAGACCTCAAAGCAATAGGTAGTCTCGGACGGGGCTCCAAGGCTTCGTCCAGGAAAAAAATAATGTGGAGCAACTTCCCTGAGCTACCGAAGCCAGGATCCGACCCCCTCGTATCGAGTTAGGTTAGGTTAGGTTAGGCGCGAGCTCTTCGCTACAAGGAGCGGAGGCTCGGGCATGATTATCGAAAAGCGCGCGCTAGCCCAGTTCCACGGTGTGTCAGAGCCATAGTGACGAGACTAAGCTGACTCTCCGGTATTTGTCCACGCAAACTTTGCTGCTGCAGTCAGTGTTTGGAGTCCTGCACTTGTGAGATGTCGTTGATCGATCATTCGGTTCAATTCGCTTATATCCTCGCCTGGATTTCGATTTTCTGCCGAACAACGGAAGGTAAATAATGTTGGAAGTTCAGAGACCGATTTCCCGGGAATGAGTTGTGCACGGTGGAAGAGTTACAAATGAACGCTTCAGGTCGTCTATCCATTGAGCCACTTCAAGCCAAAACTGCTGCGGCTGGACAGTCGGTTGTGCTTCACTGTGTCCTCGCGAAGGGTAGGAGCGCGAAATTCACCTGGTCGAAAAATGGCCTTCTTCTCCACGAGGATGCGCGAGTTCAAATCATCAATCTCCGTAGAACATCGACTCTCAATATCGATGATGTCGAGTCCTCGGACAGAGGCGCCTACACTTGCACGGCCGCCGACGAAGACTCAGAGGACAGACAGAGTGCGAACTTGACCGTGGAAGGTAAATGCTTGCGCTGTGAGATATTGAACCTCGACATCGAGTTCAGACGTTGCTGTCCCTTGGATAGCTCGATATCATCAGCATGGTTCCTCGAGGGTCCTCGTGCGATCTCAATGTCTTCTAGCGGAAAAATCCACGCTGCCAAGTACGTCAAACACGACCCGTAGCGTAATCGGACCTCACTGTATTTTGAGTGTACATCTGTTGGGAGACCTCCGCGAGCATACCTTACTCGAGATTCGAATACTGGGACGCTCCGGAGCTCGTCTCGGTTTTCTCTGTGATGCTTTCGGGGGAGATCTGAGGCCACCGCTACCCTCGACAACGCAGGATACGATTGATCTTGACCTGCTCACTTCAAATCTGGCGCGGACTCTCGTTCCCGGAGCACTGGACACGCACTGGCGAGAGTACGCTGAATAGCCTCTGGATTCTCACGATGAGACTTGCAGACGGCATGCCCGAGGGATGCTTCGCGATGGTACGGTCGCGAAATAATTTTTCCGAAAGAGTGTTTCACTGTGCGATCCTCGCTTCTCTCATATTGTGCGCAACAGCTATCGGTAAGCTCGTGACTCCCTCGATTGAAATTCTCTAATCGGTTCAAGCTCAGAGAGGATCTCCAATTCTAGACAAGATTCGCATTGAGCCGATCGCGTCCAAAAGATCGGCGGTTGGACGACGCGTCAGTTTCACCTGCACAGCCTCTGAAGGCAACTCGGTGAATTTCTCGTGGACTAAGAATGGGAAGATCATACTTCCTGGATTGGATAGATTTTTCATCACTTCGAGTCAGGGTATTTCCACCTTGATGATAAACGGCGTTTCGAGTGAAGACTCGGGCGACTTCACCTGCATTGCGAGCAACGAAATCTCGGAAGACAGAAGCTCTGCCCATTTATCGGTCGAAGGTACAGCCCGAAGTTGCGGTACTACGGATTGCCATGAGTTCCCATCTCCGAGTATATCACACGATTGAATTGTTCTAGCTCCGCATATCCAACCAGAGAATGCCGCCTACATTACTGTTGTCGATGGGCTCTCTTCGCATCAGACGAGCTCATCCCGAGCTCGATGTACCTAATTGAAATATTGCAGCGTGACTTTCATACTTCACGTAAAGTTTTGGTGTTACTTCCCGCTTTCCCTGAATGAAGGAGTTGTTCATTCATTCAATCGGAGAGAATTTGGAGTGGAGTTCCCGGCTCCGAGTGAGTTATGATTCGAAAGCTCCGCAGAGGCTTGCAAGATAGTCCGATAGCCCCGCTGATGGTTTTGGTAGTTTTTGAAAATCGGCGCTGTAAGCTCGTCTCCGAGTAATCTTCCTGCGGTATCGAGGCTAGGCTTCGACAAACGCGCGATGCTCACATCGGATCGCCTACAAAGCTCTTCGTGGCAGCGAGCCGTGAGCATGATGTGTTCGGTGAGCACAGTCATGATCGTGCAATTTTTTGGATGGTTCTTATCGTTAGGCGAATCGGCGGACGCAAGTGAGTGCTAAAAAAATGCTCTAAGGAAAACGACCGAGATTAAGGCCCCGTGATCTCCATATCGCGACCGATGGAAATCTCTCCAGATTCTTCCAATCGGAAATGGTCAGTGATAGATTTCAATTCGACAGACCAGATTGTTCTGGAGGCGATACGCGCTCCAGAGTTCACCAGAGTCGGCAAATCAGCGGCCTTCACATGCTCGGTTTCGGAGGGCACGAATATCGTCTTCTCGTGGACCAAAGATGGCATCATGCTACGAGACGGTCCCCGGATTCAAATTTTCAACGCAAAGAAAACTTCAATGTTGAATCTTGAAGATGTTGAGACATCAGACCGGGGGGAATACACTTGCGTGGCCACGAACGAAGTTTCTGAGGACCGGGCCCGTACCTATCTTGCCGTCGAAGGTGAAAATCCGAAAGTAGACAATTCTTGCACGGTAATGCGCTTGGGTAGCAGAGTCCCAATCTGCAATACTTTTGGGAGGGGAGCTGCCCACTCTCTGCTCGCTCCCTCCGAGAAGGAGACGACATAATTATTTGCTTTGGGAACCGGATTCCCATGGCTTAGTTATAAAATTGACGGACAATATCAACTGGGTAGAAGCTGCACGGCCTCGTCCTCTGTCGTTCGGCAATTATTTCCTTGAAGTAAGTTCCGAAGAGAGAGATTGAGAGTCAATCTATGATCGTTTCGCGTACGACGGAGAGAATTTGATTTGGAAGCGAGAATTTTCGTACCCACATATGTAGGCGAAATGTACCAGTTATGGAACACCTAAGGGAAATCCCCATTGACCCTCCATTTCCCGCATCTTTTGGGAGGGGGGGGCACTTATGGAACACTCCATGGAAGTCTATGGGGAGCCCCATGTCAAAAGTATACTTCCATTACTGGTACCTGTTCCATAAGTGGTATAATACTTTTCCCCTATTTGATGTCAATGGAGGAATGAGACTCCTGTTCCGCCATGTCAGTGGATGGAGCGTGTGCGAAGAGGTGAATTACGCAGGTTGAGATCCCTAGATTCGAGAACTCGCGCCTTATTCTCGCTGCGTTTGGGCAATCTCCTACGTCGAGAGTTCAAGCATCGGATCGGAGCTTTCCGCTGACACAATCTGGCAGTCTTAGCATCCGTGATGGCGGGGGCGCTTGTCATTCGCTTCGTTGCTCTACTGGTCGCAAGTGTTCTTCAGGAAGCTGGTTCTGGTAGGTTTCGCGATTCGAACTCATCTATAGCGGATCTTCTGCCGCCGCCGGGGGTCGATTCTCGTTCACTAATGAGCTCTATCTCTCGATAGAAAGGATAGTGATCGACAAATTGAGCTCGAAATTTCTAAAGGTAGGACGCAGTGGAACATTCACATGCTCGCTCATCGAGGGGAAATCCGCTTCATTCTCGTGGACGAAAGACGGTCGTCTCGTCTCGAACTCGGATAGAATACAAGTTCTAAGTACGAGGAGATCCTCGACGCTCAGTTTCGACGAGATCGAAACGTCGGACGTGGGCAATTACACCTGTATTGCTTCAAATAGCTTTTCTGAGGATCGGAGTAGCGCTGCTCTCGAAGTTGAAGGTTCGCCTCCCTCAACTCGCTATACTTTGTAGAAAAAATCTATGTATCTAGAACATCGGACCTGGGTCCCGGCTTCCCCGGTCGGCTACGGTCCATAATTTCATCGAAATTATCGAGAGGAGCCCGAACTCCGACATGACTGCTGATTCAAAATTATCAGATGCTAAATACAAGGGAATTATCCATTTCTCCATCACACCCTCAGTGAGAGCTCGGTGAATTATTGAGTCACTCGCGAGATCTTGACCGCGCTCCTTGACTCCGAGATTCCGCCGCTCCGGAGCATCGCAACCGAATCAATTACTCAAAGCGAATTACGCGCTGTAGACTCTATTGCGGCGGGGAAAAATCAGGCGTTCGAGGTTCAACTGCTCTAGTCAAGATCCAATTTGGCGCCCTAGCCTCGTTGTCGGTCGTCGAGCCTCGGCAACAAGAATACGCTTTGCCCTGTCTGCCTCTTGTTCATTTGTTCACCAGTTAAGCAAGGACCATAGGCAGTTGATCGTATCTGGGAGTGATGCTTCCCAAAATTTTGATATGGATCATAGTGACTTCTTTGTCTGGATACGCTGTTCATGCTTTCGGTAAGCAGAGAAAGCACTTTTATTCAAGAGAATGCATCGAATCAAATGCGTGATCAATCTAATTGACGAACCTCTCCATCACGGCGTCTGCTTTGTTTAGACAGAGTCCGGGTCGAAACGCTGGCATCGCGAAGGACGTCCGCCGGCAAGCGAATCGGCTTCATGTGCACTGCTCTCGAAGGAGATCATGTATCTTTCGTGTGGTCCAGAAATGGAAAAGTCCTCCTTTCCGGGGATAGGATCTCCATAGTATCGACGGGCGAAAGCTCCATGCTTAGCATCAAGCACGTACATACAGCAGATGGAGGAAATTACACCTGCATTGCAAGCAATCCGCTATCCGAGGACCGAACGTCCGCCCAATTATTCGTCGAAGGTGAAATTTTTCTGCCAGACAACCTTAGTCTGGATCGAGAGCGCTGAAACTTGCGAGAGAGAATGCCCGTGGATCTTCTCATCCATTTGATGACCACGTTAGGGAAGACACAACGTAGAGTCTCTTGAAATGTAATTCGAAAGAGAATGGACTTATCATGGAGCGATTCAATTTCCCTCGCACCGCTCCATTATAATTATTGGAGATAAGCGAGAGATTCGGGGAGTTCGATCCGCCGAGTGATTGAGGCTAGAAAATTATCGATTTTTCCCACCGTTCCCCTAACTGGCAGAGATCGATTCTCGATCATTTCACGCCTTGACTACTCTGTGAGTCTAAATTCGAGCGATCCCGCCGAAGTCTCGCTCCTGATGGCTGCTCTCTAGCAGCGAGCATAAGGTGCGGCAGGTCATCGGGCCAAGCATCGACACTCTTCAGTTCGAAATCCTACGTGTAAGATGCGTTTCACGCATGCTGTACCTACTAGTTTCATCTCTGGAATTGTGTGCTGTCTTTTGATCAACACCTCGATCAGGAGCACGTGGGCCAACGGTACGTTCATGAGCTGGAAACCATCGATCTGCAATATGCTTTAAGCTTGACTTACTTCCAACATCTTCGGTCCTCCTAGAAAATGTGGTACTTGAGGCCCTTTCGCCGAAATCGATCCGGGCGGGGAAATCGGTCACTTTGCTTTGCACCCTGATCGAGGGTCAAGCAGCAACTTTTTCGTGGACTCGGGACGGACTCCTTCTGCGAGATTCCGACCGTCTAGAGATCACAAACTCGAAGAAAACTTCACTCATTCGGATCGATAGCGTGGACGTCTCAGATACCGGTCTCTATACGTGCATCGCCAGCGGGACAGGATCTGAAGACCGAACCAGTTCCCAGTTGACCGTAGAAGGTGAAAAACATAGCCCTAGAGGCAGTCTCGGCCTAGTAACATTTTGCTCCATTCTGACTCGATATGCTTGTACGAGACTCCGTTTCCCGCATTGTGGACGGTGGACATTTAAGTGGAGTCTATACCTTCGCTTATTCTAATCATTATCTCACGAAGAAAGAAGACATTCGAGTCTATCCTATGCGGCAGGTACTTCACTGCTGATTGCTAGTCTCTGCTGATTACCCTCGACATGTTCATGCGACCCGTCCGCCGCCGCGGACACGACGATATCGCCCCATTTCGATTGTCGGAGCCTCGTTGGGGTGTCCAATCGTTTTGGGAATTCGGTCCTCAGGGGACTCTTCCTCGCGCCCTGGTCGAGTGTCTGGGCCGAGGATCTCCTGCGATTTTTGAAAGTCGCGGTGTAGCCCAGACGCACCTCGCCAGGCGGCTGGACTCGAGAGTTCAGGAACCGAAGCTTGTTCAAGAGATATTTCCGAGGAACACTCATCGTGTCTCCAAGGCTGTCAGCAGAATGCAGAGTTCTCTGGTGGTTGAGTTCTTCGTCGTTTCGAGCTTGGTGTTGCTCTCAAATGGAGACTCAGGTTTGTCGGAGCTATTATCTCTGCCGGTTCAAAGGGAAGTATTTTGGAAACTCGCTTCATCCCCCAAACCTCTGGAATTCTGCAGCGAACTCCGTCGCATTGGAGCCGCTCAGCCCCAGGACGGTGAAAATTGGCAAATCTGTGACTTTCAATTGCGTTGTCTCTGAGGGGACCGACGTAGATTTCGCCTGGGCAAAAGATGGGCTACTCATCCGAGAAAATTCGAGAGTGGAGATACTAAAGAGGAAAAGAACCTCGACCCTCATAATCGAGTCGGTGGAGAGCTCCGATAGCGGAAAATATGTTTGTATAGCTAGCAATCGGAACTCCGAGGATCGCAGCTCGGCTAATCTGTCCGTGGAAGGTAATTATTCGATCTTTGAACTTTCCGATTTTCGAGTTGACTCCGACCTGAAAGGTCGATCCCGATTCCTTTGTGTATTTACGTTAGCGTTTCCATATATCTTCCAACATCGATGGGCTTTGGCCTCGGGACAATTCTAGCTTATTGGATTATGTGCGGCATCCATCACCAAAAACCACGCTGATGATGGGAGGCATCTACATTCGAATTAGATCCTGAAACTCATATTTAGCGTCATGTCTTGTGCCGTACACCAAAACTTGTTACCTAGCGCGATGAGATAGATTCGTGCCTTGCGGTGTGACTGAACGACTCGGCGGATGCCGGAGTCATCGGAAGACTGTCCCGGTGAAAGTTTTTGAAAATTCCGCGAACTCTCGTTGACATCTCGCTGCGCTCATGGACCGAGGCTACATGTGGCCCAGTATGATGCTCTTCTCCAGCAGGGATATTCTCTGCGTCAGTCGACACCCCGTGTGGAGCAGGGATATGTTGTTAGCAAAAATTAGTGCTCGGACTTTGCTATGGGTTTTCGTGGGCTCCTTGACTTTCATCGTTTCCGATGCTATCGGTGAGTCAGATGCCCTCCTATATGACACCACATTCCCGGCACGCATCCTAGATCAACTTTCTGAGAACGAATCTTCATCTCCTCCCCAAGACAAGGTGCGGATAGAGGCTCTAGCTTCGAAAGTCTCTGCAGCGGGACGCCGGGTCACTTTCATGTGCACGGCTTACGAAGGAGACTCAGTTAGGTTTTCGTGGACGAAAAACGGAAAGATCCTCCAGAACGGCTCCGGAAGATTCTCGATGACTGACGCTGGAGGGAGCTCGGTACTGACTATCACGACTGTCATCAGTGAAGATTCCGGTCTTTACACCTGCATAGCCAGTAACGAAGTTTCAGAGGATCGGAGCTCAGCGAATCTGACAGTGGAAGGTAGGGCTTGATAGAGCGGTCGGATTTGAAGTCCAAAAGTTTCCCCAACAGAATATGATCTCCGTCATAGAGAGTCGGTCATTCGAGTCTCGGATACTCGAGTATATTACCGGATGAATTAGTCCTTCTGCCTGCTCTTTCCGAGGGGTAGTCCAGGCTAGGTACTCCCAATTCGATATCCCACGATTGTCATCATTCAATCAGAATGCTCGACCGTGGAATCGGAGGCGAGATCAGGACCTCCTCGTTTTTGTGTCGATACCTACATCGGATGAATCTCCATTATCTTGCGAGCGCCACCTCGCCGCTCGCGGAAATGTTTCTTCTCCGTATGGCTCCCCGTAGCCTTTTCCCTGGGCGTGTAAGGTCAGAAGCTCATTTTCGAGTGCTGGCGCCGTATTCTCGATGTCATGGTCGGACAAGATGGACTCGAGACTATCGACATCGAAGGACGCGGTATCGCCAAAGTAGAGCTCATTACTGAAGTTGCAGCGCAAAGTGCTTGAGATGTCAAGTGAAGTTTCTTTCCTCGTCAAAGTCAGTCTGATACTCGTTGTGCTTCGTTGCGGAACCGCTGGCGCAAGTGAGTCCTCTACTAAGGTTCTCAAAGAGCATTAGATGTAGGAAATTCGAGCTCTCTTCGCACTGATTCCGAAGCTCCCTATCCGCTGAGAGCTCAAGCTGCCCCGAAATTCCGCAGATCAAATCGTGTTGGAGCCGATTCGCGCTCCAGCTTCTACCGTCGTCGGGAAATCAGCGGCCTTCACTTGTTCGGTCTCTTCGGGAACGAATGTTTTGTTTTCCTGGATAAAAGATGGGATTTTGCTACGTGAGAGCCCCAGAATCCAGATGTTCAATACGAAGAAGACTTCGCTCCTGAACTTAGAGGATATTGAAATAGCTGACCGAGGAGAATACACCTGTATCGCAACGAATGAAGCCTCTGAGGATAGAACAAAAAGTCGCCTCGAAGTAGAAGGTGATTCACAAATGACAAAAGGCATAGGTACCTCCATGAAACTATACACACGAAGAGGTATCGACTCCTGAGAGCTCCGATCCTCGATGGATCTCTCGCTGGATTCAAATCCAGCTCCCTCTATCCAGAGGATGCCGCGGATTCAAATCTGAGATATTGGTGAGCCAGGTCTGCACGAGAATCGAGCTTTCGGAATCATTTTAAGAAGAGGATGTGTCCGAATATGCCAATCGGTTTTGCCGGTTTTCACATTGGCAGCAAACCGCGAACCGGCGATTCGGCGTCTCCTCTCGAGACATTGGGGCCTTTGTTCGCCCGACACTTTGCTCGTTCTATGCTCGCTGCCGGATGTAATGGGTCGGATTTAGCGGGCTAATCTCGCTGTGGCGTGTTCCTCGATAGGAACGAGAGTTCCTTCTGTTTCCATTATACGAGAGCTATGCTGTCATTCAGCACTTGCCATTGACCATGCTCAGACAACGCAGCAGTGATCGATCCGCATTCCTTGTTCTCTTCTGCTTCAACTTCATCATCAATGGTACAATATCAGGTACGCGTGAAGATCTGCTAGAAGCAGAAGACTACTATTGAATATTGAAGCCCTCGTATGTGGTCGCCGAATCGCTTCTCCAATGATTCTAGCCGGATCGCTTTCCCCAGAGAGACTCAAGGTGGGAAACCTGAGTCCGAAGTCTCTGAGGATCGGTCAGAGTGGCGGATTCACCTGCTCACTGACCGAGGGCAAGAGAGCGGCGTTTTCATGGGCAAAGAACGGCCGAATCGTCGTGGACTCTGAAAGAACGCAAGTTTTCAACGCGAAAAGATCATCCACGCTGAGTTTCGATGAAATTTCCTCATCGGACGCAGGAAATTATACCTGCATTGCCAGCAACTCATTCTCAGAAGACAGAACAACAGCTGCGCTCGTTGTTGAGGGTGAGTGCAACAGAATTAGCGTTCGAAAATCGCCCCTTGATCGATCGACTTCCTGGGCTGGCTCCTGCCCAGTTTCGCTTGCCGCGAATCGAGAATGTCAACAACAAGAAACGAAGAGCTCATGAATCAGATAGCCTCTCTCCCACGTCGAATGGATGAAACTCATTTTCTCGATCGGTTTAGAGAGCCCAGATTCCGTATAAGGCGTACACTGAGTTCGATGGATTGATATCCAGCATTCAATTATGCAAAACTATCGCTCCCTCTGCGGAGGGGGTGCGATGCAAGAGCGTCTGGGCAAGCGTGCTCAAGAGAGAACACGTTGAAATTCCAATTCAGCGCCATAGCCTCGACGCGTGAACCTCGATCACAGTATCGGGTCTAAATGACAGCTCAGTCCAAAGCGGTGCTACTCGGTTGGCCTGTATTTGGATGAACAGTCTTAGTCTGAACGCTATGATGACCCGTTCTGGCCTGATCTGGATTACACTGACCATTGTACTTCACACTTCTGTCTCAGCTCTCGGTAAGATCTAGATATATTGAGCTCGATGCGAATTCTATGAACGAGAATGGAGCTAATGGTGAGAATGGCATCACTCGCGTGGAAACCCATCAACACTTCTATCCACATGCGATCAGAGAGAGTCCGTGTGGAAACGTTGGCGCCGCGGAGAACCTCAGCCGGCAAGCGGATGAGTTTAGTCTGCACGGCTCTGGAAGGAGAGCAAGTGAGGTTTTCGTGGTCAAAAGATGGAAAAATCCTCCCGTCTCGAGACAGGATCTCTATCCTGTCCGGCGGTGAGAGTTCGATGTTGAGCATCAAGGATGTCCGCATGGAGGACGGAGGCAACTACACTTGCATCGCTAGCAACGCCTTATCAGAGGATCGAACCTCGGCTCGAGTTTTCGTCGAAGGTGAATTTTAGCAGACGCTAGCTGGGCTCAGAGTTTGGCTTAACCGAGGATATCCTTGTTGAGAGAACACATGATTCGTTCATTCCATATCTTACGTTTTTTTCGGACGTGTTTCTCGGTCCAAATTCCCAGTGAGACAGTCGATGTTGTCCGTCTTAACGTCTAATGGAGCCTAATGAGGGAATCATTTCGTATTGATCATTATCACGGTGAGACACGCTATGCTCAGGATCAAAACGACGCGTCTATTGTTTGTGCTCGATGGATTAGCAGTCCCTCGCGAGTGAGAGCCCCTCTTGATGACGCGAGGTATGCGCGATCGAGAAATCGCGACCAGAGGACTCTTACACCGTGGAACAGGTCAATGTTCTGTTCAAGAAATCCCGCCGAAGCCTCGATTTGCTGTGTCGCGTACTAGCACCGAGGATAATTCATGTCTCTGGACAGGAGCTTCACCGATCTGCTCCTGGTCGCTCAGTTCAATCATAGAGTTTACTCGTGAGTCGTGCGCGGGCCATGAACTGATGTGGTGTTTTTTCGCTTTTGTGAGTTTTTTCTCACGTATGAGCTCGGCTTCAGGTATGTGTAGGCTGCTCGCGGGATGAAGCGATTTTTCCGTCCGTATCGGAGTTCTAGCTCGACTGTTCTCCGTAGAGACTCTCTCCCTCGAAGCGTTACTACCGAAATCAGTAAGTGCTGGACGATCGGTGACTTTCACATGCACTCTGACCACCGGTAAAGGAGCTACTTTCTCCTGGACGAGAGACGGACTTTTGCTCCGAGACACCGATCGCGTGGAAATCACTACCAGTCGAAAGACTTCACTCATTCGAATCGAAGATTTGGAACCATCCGATAGAGGTCTCTACACCTGCATAGCCAGCGGGGGGGACTCCGAAGAAAGAACCTCCGCTTTCTTATCGGTAGAAGGTGAATACATGAGATGGACCGATGAGCGGTCTCCTCAGTTCAATCATGGCACCGCATCGAGTTGAGGACGCTAACCTTAAATTCTTCGTTGCACAATTTTTCCTCGTCCCAACTTCTCCCTGAGCTGAGGAAGTGTCGCTCTGAATTTGTCTAGGTTCATCCTCTGGAAACTGTATTCGCGCGTGAACAACATTTCTGCAATGATTTCAACAAAGGGGTTGTATAGAGAAAAGAACTGAATCGGATATCTGAAGCCTGAGAAGCCAAATGTATTTGACGGGAGCGTTCGGGAGGTCCTCCTCAACGATCGATCGCATAGTTTCAAAAACTAGCGGGGTAGCCCGGAATCGGTCTACGTCGCAATGGGTGTCGAGAGTTTCTCGAAAAACAAATCTATTCAGGCGACTGCTCGGCAGTCGTTGTCGGAGAGACGAAATGAGGCGGATCCATGCCTCCACCGTGGTCGATTTCCTTTGTGTTCTCGGCGTTTTTCAAACGCTGATAGGAGAATCAGGTTCGTGATCAATCAGTACAGGGTCGATCATTATTAGCTTGCATGAGGCAGATTTCCGTGAGTTTTTCTCGAATAGAAATTGCTCGCCTTCCAGTCAGCTCGATCGTCTTGGAACCGATCGCTTCTCAAACGACACGGATCGGAAAGCTAGTTACGCTCAGTTGTGCTCTATCTGAGGGCGATGCGAACGTTGAGTTCTCGTGGACGAAAGATGGCCTCCTACTCCGAGAGAGTCCGCGAATCGAAGTCCTAAAACGTAAAAGAACCTCTGCATTGCTTATCGAATCGGTGGAGGCCACAGATGCGGGACATTACGTCTGCATCGCCAGCAACGGCCTGTCAGAAGATAGGACCAGCGCCGAGTTGGTCGTCAATGGTACTTCTTCTTCTTGGGCCTGACTATCCTGCCACGTTAGCTCCTAGGCTTCGATGAGACAGAATTAGAGCGACCCATAATTTTAACGGACTTTTCAATCTCACACGGGATCTCGTGAGTCGACATGACTCCTGAGCTATCAACTTCATTGGTAGCGATCCAAAATGATCGCTATTATTGACAAATGTGTTGGGAAACTCTATGAACGCGGAATGGCACATCATGGGATTCCAGACTCAAACCTATTTACAGGACGTCGGGAACTTCGTGCTTCCGAGACTTAGACTCCTCCAGATTAATCGGAGCAAAATTTTCTGAGCTTGAATTAGAGAAAACCCGCGACTCTTAGGTACATGATCGGTGCTGGACTTCCTTTTTGCGAAGATAAATCCAGCGAGGCTCTATTTGATTCTGCCGCCGTAGTCTCGCTCACCGAATCAAGTCCATGACTTCGAGATTCCTCGATGAATGAGCTGCTTGGCGATGCGCTCCCCGAGCACATTTGTATAACGCTGCGGCGTTCGACAGAACTAGTGCCATGTATGTGATTCATTTTATCCTGTTGCTTATGTTTGGAATCTTCGACATGTGTCGCGCGGGTATGTAATTCTCCTTCGCGGAATTCGTGACGCCCAAGCTGGAGAGAGCGAGTACAGTTTTAAATGGAGCCGTTTTAAAGGGACACTCCTCGAACCTATATCTTCTCGATCGGTGAAGGTCGGGAAATCTGTTTCCTTCTCCTGTTCGCTGGCCTCGGGCACCCGAGCCGATTTCACATGGACTAAAGATGGCTTGATGCTGAAGGAGAACGACAGACTGCAGCTTCTCAACACGAGAAAATCATCGCTTTTGAACATCGACGATATCGAAATGACGGACCGCGGCAGATACACTTGCATCGCCAGCGATGGGACCTCGGAAGACCGTAGTTCTGCTAATCTCGACATTGAAGGCACGTCATGGATGCGATTGTGCTATGAATATCTCTCTTTCGGTCCTCGGCATTGATGTATTGAAGAGTCCCGAGGGAACTTTTCATAATGCAAGCATTCCAAGCTTCGATTGCGCATCAATCCTCCGGAGCTCCTCGCGTCCAAATGAATGATTTCACTTTCTGATTCCTCCCCTCTTTGAGACGTCACATATTCTGAGAGGAATGGGTGTATTTTCCGCTCGATCTGGAATTCTAAAATGCAAAATCAGAGCGGGCGCGGCGACCGGCGACGTCATCTCTATATCTCAATTAGACATCCGGAGAGCCCACGGGGACGTACGATAAAGATCGCGCTCGGGTTTTGAGCGTAGTCTGTTTGAAAGTTTTTGAAGTCGGAAACTGTTGATGCCCATCTCTCGAGCATCCCACAAAATATATGATATATGTACTCTCGATGATGAGAATCTGCTCTTCTATGAAAACTGCTTCTTCTCCGGGATTGCAACCATTCTCCCACCTGATATCGGCTCCGAAACTCGGGGAAACTAGATTTTCAGGTGTGTGGCTTCGATGGATTGAATCGAAAGTCGCGCGGTACTCTCCCGCACGCTCCCCGGGCACCTGGTAGCGAGGTTAACATTGAACGCCGAGTCAGAGCAAAACGCTTGTCTCTTAGTCAGTAGATTCTGCGAACTTGCTGGGGCATCTTCACTCTGCAGTTCTGAATCTCTCCACGACGCACCGACGGAGTCGACCTAAAGTCACTTGAGTGATGAGCGCCTATCTGAGACTTTGTTTGATCACGAGTTTCGCATCTTGTGCCGTAGCAGGTCAGTGAAATATCGAGAGTACCGAATGCGCTCATTTTACCGAATTCAGCGTTCGGCTGCTGCTCCCAGCTGCTTCTCATGGGAAGTTCACTACAGAATCCCTGAAATTGGATATTCACGGACCCGATAAAGTCAGATCTGGGAGGACCTTCGTGTTAACTTGCTCATTAGTGGAAGGAGGCGATGCTCGTTTCTCGTGGTTCAAGGATGGGAGAGTTCTGACTTCGGGAGCCCGGCTTGCTTTGGTCTCAACGAGCGAGACTTCTGTTCTCACCGTGAAGCACACCGCAAGTCAGGATACCGGAGAATACTCATGTCTAGCCACGAATGGTCTATCAGAGGAACGGAAATCGAAATGGGTTCGAATCGAAGGTACATTCTCAGTCCAAGATAACGATTGTTTTTATTCTCGGGATAATAAGGTGCAGGTATGGTTTTCGGAAGCATTTTCCTGCCGAGCCCGGGACGGAATTCTCCTCCAGCAGGGGGGTCGCAGGCTCCCACTGCGGGAGTACAGAGCGGAAAATGTAATATCAAATCACCGATCTTTCGGTGGTCGACTGAAGCATGGTGACGTTCGTCAAATGACTCTAGCCACGTAATCGAATCGATCGATTTATTGGCGAAGAGTCACGCAAATCGGAATCTCCTAGAATCGAGTGCGTATGAACGTAACTTCGATCGGAGAGATCGTGAGAAAATCGCGGTTTCGAAAATCGCTCCATAAGCCTCGGTATCGAGTCTTACACCATTGGAACGAGGCTACGCTCGCGAGACTTTCGTATCTGCACCCAATCGACGGCTTATAGACGCCACTCGCAGAACAAACGGATGGCTCGATCATGATTTATGTACTCTTGCGGAATGCTGAACTATTCGTTTTACTCGTGTCCACATGGATCCACGCAACAATGTCAGGTTAGGAGTCTGAACTGCTTGCACTTCGAGAGTTGTGGGGAATTTTCGTTTATCTAACGAGGATGCTCCCGAGCAGTCAACGTCGTGCAGATGAGCATCCACGGACCATCGACGGTGCGAGCTGGGAGGCTTTTTGTCCTCACGTGTACTCTCGTGGAAGGAGACGATGTCACCATTTCATGGTTCAAAGACGGGAAAATCTTGAAATCTGGCGAATCGATCACCGTGCAGAGTTCTGAAGGGATGTCGACCCTCAAGATATCGAAGGCTTCTAGCCTCGACTCGGGAGTTTACTCTTGCTTGGGGAACAATCGCTTGGCAGAGGAGCGAGTCATGAAACAAGTCGTTGTTGAAGGTACATCAATTAGGCAGCTTTTCCGGAATAGTTTTGTCCGACGAGTCGTTGGAAAGATTTGCCCCTCACGTCGGAGGCTTAGAACTAATAGGTAGCTCCAATCGGGCGATTTCGCGCCGCTCCTGATTCCAACCGCGGATTCGGGGAGAGACGACCGCAATTCTTTGGCCCCTCTCAAACCAGGAAAATTATCGAGCGGCAACATGTACAATAATATTTATTCTGATGTCTCGGACTGAGGCTACTACTTATTGGTGTCAGACCCAAGTCGAAGAAGAGCTCCCGGGCTCGGCGCGGCGATATGAAGTTTCCTTGTCTTAAAAACACGCTGCAGATGCGCGAGCCCTTGCATTATCTGCTGACCCAGGATGATCGTTTCAAAAATCGCGCGGAAGTCTGGCAACACCGAACGGTGGCAGCAGTGTCGAGAGTAAGGCCAACAACCCTCATGGGAAGCTGTCAAGCGAGCAAAAGTATCTCAAATCGGAGGGAAGTCATGTGTCGTCACATCTGGACAACTTTCATGTTTTTCTGTTACATCGTGAATCAGAACGCCGCCGGTAAGGAAGCCTAATCTCGTTGCGAGCGCTGTCTATGCAGCCCCGGGAAGGAGTGTTCGATGAGATATTAAGCGCAAAATTTGCAGAAATACTCCAATTGAGCCTGAATGGCGTTAGCCGGATAAAAATTGGCCGCTCTCTGATCTTGAGCTGCACTCTGCTCGAAGGAGGAAAGGCTAGTTTTTCATGGTTCAAAGACGGTCGCCTCCTGAGGTCTGACGGAAGAATCGACATACATAACTCGGAGGACAGCTCCGTACTCAGAGTTTCCCGAGTGGAAAGCTCAGACTCGGGACTCCATGTGTGTTTAGCCAACAACGGCATTGCGGAGGAGAGAGCAACCAAGGACGTGTTCGTCGAAGGTAACGGTGCTCTCACGGTCATCGTTGAAATCAGACTCGATAGATTGAATTCGGCATCGATCCGTCGGGAGAGTCTTGTCGTGCGGCATTGAATGTTGCATGGAACACAGGGACCGAGGTCCGCGTGCGGGGTGCGTGCGAGCCTCTTTCCAGAAGAATCGAGAATTTTTCCCGTATAAACTTATTCTCCGAATAGGTGCCGGGCATCCGGGATCATATCAACTCGGATGCTGCGGAGCTCTATTGGAATCCCCACAGATATCTATCGGCAGCGACGCGAGAGAACGCGCCTCGCGTACTTTACGTCCCAACGTTCATTGGGAATGCGGCTCGAAGCTATTGGTGATAACAGATTCCGTTCAAGAGATTATTATTGGTCAATATCGCATTGTCTTCGCTTCTTGGGAGAAGGTCCTCCTCGCGAGCATCGCAGACTCGAAACTGGCGCCCTAGACCTGTGCTATGCTCAAACTCCATGCGATCGAGAGTATCGGGCACGCAAAGCCAAGTCGAGTCTTGAGCGGAACTCAGCGCAGAGTTCGAGTCGCGAGCCCAGTGTTGTGCATCATAATGCGCCCGCAGCTCTGGATGAGTTCCACGGTTATATTTTCACTCATCAGCCGAATCAACACGGGTAAGAATATTATGAACCGAGACGTAGCGAATTCGAGCTCCCCCAATCAGAACATGTTGCATGGCTTGCGTTTGTTTCATGGGCGACTTTTGCAGAGTCAATCCAGCTCAGTATACAGGGACTTGAGAGAATCAAAGTTGGACGTTCGTTGGTTCTCACCTGTGTCCTGATAGAAGGCAGAGACGTTTCGTTCTCCTGGTTCAAAGATGGTCGGATGCTCTCCCCCGGAGAGCGAGTCACAGTTCAAAACTCGGAAGACAACTCGGTCTTGAAAATCGTGAGGGCTACCGGCTTGGACTCCGGCTCGTACGCCTGTCTTGCGAACAACGGAGTCCGCGAAGAAAGAAGCGAAAAGAGCGTCCACGTCGAAGGTACTTAGGAGATGACAGAAATGCTCATGGAGACATGCCCAATCAGGTGTAAATTTACCTGTGAAGTAAGTGGAGGGGCATCCAGCTGGAGTTTCTCCGACCTTGTCCGTCATGCTGCGCGCTACTGCTTCGGATTCGGAGCTTGTTGCAACACCAACTCGATCACTTGGATATGCGATGAACTAGTGGGAAGTCGGAGCAATCAGATGCGGTCTCATCTAGAATGCCCATTGCCATGTTTTATTTTTGAGCGGGGCCTTCAGTATCTCTCTAGAATGCTCTCGATCATTCGATCAGAATTTCGTATGGAAGATCATAGGTTGAAATAATCCTTCCACCGTCTCCTCGTGTGGAGGTGTCTATTTGTTTCATGTTTGTCGCTAAACGAGTCATGGTCCAAACTCCAGGATTCCAAAGATTCTCCCCTTCTCCGCGTGCTTCGCCGCTACGCCATACAGAACTCGTTTCCCTGGCGAGGATGCGTGGCTCTTGAGGGGATTCCCATGCGAAGCATCGCGAAGATGATCCAGACAGCCGAAGAAAGGGCGGGACACACATAAGAAAAATCTTTGCTGAAATCGAGTTGAAGAGTAGCGGTTTCGAATCTGGCGCAGGAACTCTCGACGCCTCTCCGGGACAATGGGGGCGAGACTTGCTGAGCTCATGCGGTGCTCGGGAATCGTAGCTTCAGATGCGTCGCTTCCGTTGGCACATTCGAGTGCGTTGAAATGTGTGACGCGAAGCATTTCAGAATTTTCCTCTTGCTTCTATGTGGGACGACTGCAGCTCTGGGTGAGTCCCCTCTCGCGATGTCTATGACGACGATGGATCGTTTTCCACGCTTCACGAGTCCTAGAGAAGGGCCAATTGATTCGTTATTCCCGATCATGAACATAGGGGACGTCATTCGATTGGAGGAGATGGCGTCGAAGTCCGTGAAATCCGGGGATCTCACACGTTTCACATGCGGTCTACTGCGTGGTCGAGACGTGTCGTTCAGTTGGACTAAGAACGGGAACATCATTGTCCAGGATGAGAGGCTCCGGATAACTCACGACATGGATACCTCGGTTCTGATCATCAGGGACTCAGTGGTTCGAGATGCGGGAAACTATACCTGCGTTGCGAAGAATCTTTTCTCCGAAGCTCGTATGAGCGCGACGCTCGAGGTTGAAGGTGAGCCGATTCCCCCACAAAGAGTGACTTACCCGTGCCGGGTCGTGATTCCCGCAACGATTCGAGTCGGGGTCTCGTTCAACAGATCAGAAAAGAATGGTCGGAATGACCACGGTCCAGCCTCCTAAGTGCTTGTCTGAGCTGGGGATCTTGCAGACTTCTCATTTTTTCAGATATCTCGGAGCTCATTGGTATGATTCCAGGAGTTCCACTCCAATATGTCGAATTACGAGCGTCTTGTCCTAGACGACTCGAGAGTATCCGAATGATACGGTCCCGTACAGAGACAGGTGCTGCGAATTTCTTATTTAGTGCCATTGGCGCCTTGTATGAGAGTGGGTCCTTTAGACTCATTGCTCGGGCCGGAATAGCACTCATCGATCAGCGCACAATCTCAGTCGGTCGAGAGTCGGACGTCAACTTTTCAAATGGGGCGGGCAGCGGGGGCGATGTCACTCTTGAGACACCCAGAGCCTCAGAGAAGCGCGGGTGGCGCATCTCCAAGGAAGGTAATCAGGTTTGTCTTTCGAGCGTGCTCTGCGAACTTGACCGCAGGTCCTTTCTGTGGAACTCTTTCCCGCAATTATGGATACCCCACGGGAAGCTGCCATTTTCCGCTTTGGAGGTTTGTCGAATGCCAGCGAATCGAAAACCGTTTCCCGCCGTCGTCGGTCCGCCGTCCCTTCGCTCGACAAGAATTTCGCTCGAAAAAGCTCATTCGAGACAAAATTGGCGCCGTAGACCAGCCCGACGATCGCAATGCCCTGTGAACGAGAGTATCGCACAAAACGAAGCCGTCGTCCAGGGCTCAGTGCACGAAGTGCGTCAGTGACAAGAACACTGTGTTGTGCACCGCCATGTGCTGGCGAGTCTGGACGAGAATCACATTACTGTTGTCTTTCATCGGTCAAATCTACTTGGGTGCGAAGGATCTCTCGACTGCACCACTTCGACTATATCTGTCTTGGTGCTTGAGAGGTTGAAACTTGATCTCACGAACGGCATTTCCAGAATCGATACAGCTCAGTATATTGGGCCTCGACAGAGTCAAAGCGGGGCGCTCCTTGGTTCTCACTTGCGTTTTGATAGATGGCAAGGATGTTTCGTTCTCTTGGTTCAAAGATGGCCGGATGTTGATTCCGGGAGAGCGAGTGACCATCTTGAACTCGGAAGACAGTTCCGCCCTCAAAGTCCTGAAGGCTACTAGCGAAGACTCCGGCTCGTACGCCTGTCTTGCGAACAACGGGATCCGTGAAGAAAGAACCACAAAGAATGTCTACATTGAAGGTGCCTACTTAACCGAAGAATACAGAAAATACCTAGCTTCCGCTTGAAGTTTCAGATAGGAGGTTTCCGAGAGATAACATCAAGAGTATACGTGGCGCCTTCACTCTCTCATAACGTTCATTGAGTTGTTTTTTCGGAAGCTGCAATTCTACCAAATATGATTTCTTGACGCTCGGATTGATGAGGTATACGCAGAATCATCACCGGCTCTTATCTCTGATTCGGTGGTCGATTTTTTATGGATGCCGTGTCTCGTTTTTCGTGAAGTCGATGGACTCATTCGAGAGCCGCTGGCAATCGGATTCGCGCTGCTCGAGATGATCGCCACGAGATCTTGCTGGAGCCTGAGGGTAATCGAGCTATTTGAATTTCGCGCAAAAACTCTCGATGTCTCCCGGTGACGACAGGTACGAGACTTTTCGGGATGACCTGATAGCCGGGAACAGCTTGTCCAGACGCGTTCATGAAGTAAGCGCGAAGCCCGACACTCTGCGCTGAAATGCGTCATTTCCTCGGCTTCGAATCTTTGGTTTTCTTGCTCCACGGGATACATGCGCTTGTGGGTGAGTTTCCTTTGCGTCTGACGATACGAATCATTCGATTCTGCATGTCCCACTCTTTTGTGGGTCGATCAATGGCTCACACGGCGATAATCGTACGCTACCTAACCATACCCCGCGAACCTAGGGGACACCATTCGACTGGAAGAGATGGCCTCGAAATCCGTGAGATCTGGAGACCTGACGCGTTTCATGTGCGGTTTGCTCCGTGGTCAAGACGTCACATTCAGTTGGTCGAAAAACGGGCAACGCATAGTTCAGAGCGAGAGGATCCGTATGAATCACGACGCGGATACTTCAGTTCTGATTATCAGGAACTCGATGGTCAGCGATGCCGGGAATTATACATGCATTGCGAAAAATATATTCTCTGAAGCTCGAGTGGGGGCCTTGCTCAATGTTGAAGGTGAGCTCTCCCTGGAGATGTCCTTAATTTTAAGCCACGCATAAGTTTTTGAATTTATTCGCTCACGGGGGTCATCCGAACAGGACAGGTTGGAAAACGCCGCACTCTGTGCGTAAATTGAGATTGTCGAACCAGTTCATGCCGACACAGAGATATTCGACGTGATGAACGGCTTCTTGTAGTCGGCTAAGGTTGATGCATGGAACCTACGGCCAGGCTGAGAAAGAAGGAGAATTAATCGGCGTGACTACTGAAGATCGCTCCCATTGAGTCCAGCCTAATAACGAAAATTGACTCGAGATGAGTCGCCACGAGGAGTGCGCGCTAGTTGAGGAACGCCGGAAGAGAATTCGCTCGCTCACTCGTACGTTTGTCGGAATCCGGCACTACTGCAGAGTAATACCCAAAACCAATATCGATACTCTGGCTCCGAGGTCTTCTCCGGTCTGGAGCGGTATCATCGCGTCATATCGATGCCGTCTTAGATAATCATGACCGAATGGAGGAAGACTTACGGATAAAATCAGGGGAAAGCGGTTGCCGTCTCTGGGATTCTTTTCTCTGGCCCCCTGAATTCCACACAGGACAAATCCAATTGCGAAGATTCAAATTTTGGCGGCGACGCCTCGAACACCCTTGGCAACTCTACATTAGCGAGGCTAAATGTTTGCTCTTCGCATTGTACGCCAAGTCTCGACGAGTGCCCGAGTAGGTTGACGAGGAGGTGCCATGGCCTTGTGGATACCGCTGTCCCTTATTCCGAGTTGGATTCTATTAGTCAGCGGGAAAGGTATGCCACTTCCATTCTTCTCACGACATCTCTCGGACATCCCGAGGGGAGACCTTCTGAAACTTCCCCAAACACACAGATTTGATCCGCCTCGAGCCTATCCCGAGCAAGACGGTACGTTCTGGAACAACCGCTCGGTTCTCGTGTGGGCTCATTAGCGGAGAAGATGTCACGTTCACGTGGTCCAAGAACGGAACTACTGTCCTCGATTCATTGAGAGTACGCATTTCTCACGATAAGGCAACGGACACGTCGACTCTGTTCATTAAATCGGTGTCTGCGACTGACGCCGGAAGCTACACTTGCATAGCGAAGAACCTCTTCTCTGAAGCCCGAGAGACCGCTGCTCTGCGTGTTGAAGGTTCGTCGAGCAAAGCATGCTGGAACTAGAAATCCAGAAAGAATTTTTTAATGGCCCCGGAGCTGCTCACGTGACGGACCTTTTTTCGGAGGAAGCTCGTACGATTCGCGTACCTTGTATTTGCATCTATACACATCATATATCTAGCCAGAAACCGCTCCTCGCTGCTACCAAAATCGAGTTTGTCAAATTGAGAATCTGGTTTTCCATTAGTCTGGGATTCTCGACGGCAGGAAAGATCCAGTTCAGCCGATCTTGATGGAGCCAAATCTCTCAACCGGTCCTCGATCGTGACCGGAGATTCTCCTTTCTCTTCTGAGTCTTCGAAGGGAGATTTCTGTCCAATCACACTCGATGGAGTACGCGTCACTGATACACCGTCATTCATATTTGGCTCCGTAGTCTCGAGCCGCTTCTTTCGCCATTGGCATCGAGACTTCAGCGGCGATCTTGTCAGACAGAAACTGTCCTGGCTCCGCTGGCAGAGTGGTTTCATGCTCCGGGGCAGTCATTATGCTCCATCTGCAGGATTTCATAGTTTTCGTTACGATATCCGTCGTTTCCTGTAAAAGCCGTGAGTTTCCGCCTCAGATGAAGGCCTTCCTGACACCCTTATGAACGCAAGTCCGGAAATCGGGCTTGTTGCGCTGTGCACATTCCGAGTCCTCCGGAGTGCGAGCTATCGGCCGAGCTTTGCGACGGTACGCCGAGGGGTTGTCCTCATCTTCCCTTCTATTCTGCAGAAATCATAGAGTTAGAAGCGATCCCATCGAAATCCGTCAAATCAGGATCGACTGCTCGCTTCACGTGCGGTCTGATCCAAGGCGAGCGAGTGAAGTTCACATGGATACAGAATGGAAATGTCTTGACGAGTAATGAGAGAATCCGCATAAACTCAGAAGATGACACAAGCAATTTGGTGATCCGACGTACGATACCCCAGGATGCTGGGAAGTACACCTGCATTGCGAAGAACTCTTTCTCTGAAAACAGAGTTTCCACCGAGCTTGAGGTGCAAGGTGAATTCGAGCGGGGGTCTACTGATTAGAATAACTGTGCAGAATCGGATCGAATTATTATTGGAAATATATCTGACGGATGTCTGCGTTGTCGGGAAGAGAGCCAAGTTTCTTACGCTAGTGATGATTCGGGATTCGGGGCCTTATGATAATTATTCAAAGCGAAGCGTAACCATGATAACTTCTCTGCCATAGTTGGCTAAACTGTGCTGCTCTATTGTCATCAGGATATGGAAAGCAACCCATCTTGACACGCTCGAGGTCCCTTGCGTATTGATATCCGCGGCTTTATCCCCGGATAGTCTTCCTCGACCGAAGTGATCCCCATATCGGGGCACTGTGGTCATTTGTTATCAACGGAGAGACGCGGACTACGGTCTGGTTTATTCGGATCAGAGCGGTTGAGTTCGGATGTATCCCGAACTGACATTCTCTTCCATACACTTTCGCAGCGCGAATGAAAATAGCGCGCCGTATCCTCGCAGCTGTCGTTGAGCCCTGTCGTCGAGAGTTCAAGCTTTGTCAGCAGTCTTCGCTGGTCGATTCGACCCTAGACGCGGACTTATGTCAGAAGTGCGGGCATGTTCAATCAAGTGTTGGTTCTGACTCTGTTTTTTTCCGGGGATCTGGCTCGCAGCGGTAAGCATGTTGCACAAAATTGGGTCAACAAGTTACGAGTGCATTGCTGTTTTTGTCTGAAATTAATTAATATCATCCCATAGAAGATGTGAAACTGGACGAAATACCTGATCGAACAGTCGAGAACGGAGATGCAGTCAGATTCATTTGCGGTCTCCGGAGAGGAGACAGCGTGGAATTCTCGTGGACGCGAGAGGGATTCCTACTCTCCAATGGGGGAACGATCAAAATTGTCAACGACTTGGATAGTTCCGTCTTAACAATCAGAAAAGCGAATGCAATCGATGCTGGCAAATACACATGCATCGCGAAGAACGCGTTTTCGGAAGCACGCGAAAGCACGTTTTTGAGAGTCGAAGGTAAATCTTCGAAGCGAGAGCTCTCCGTGAGACGTCGAATTTCTGTCTGCTCTTAGGCGGAACTCTTGTCTTCCTTTAGAAATATCTGATCGATTGGTCTTGCTTCCGCTCCTAAGCCGGGGATTCCTCTGAGTGAGCTCTCGAGTCCAGCAGCGGGAGTCTTGGACTCGAGTTGTCCTTGAACGCTCCGTGATACTCCCCACACCAGAAATCTTGTACTCGGAGCCTGATAAAGGATGCATGATACGACGAGGCGCATCGATCGCGCGAAACTTTTCGAGACTCACGTATGATCCCAGAATCGTACCTGAGGATTCGTGGGTCGCATTTTCCTCGCGGCTCTAATCCTCAGAGCTGTGCTGTAAGCGGGTGAATAACTTGAGGAGTGTAATCAAAATTTGGCGCGTAATCTCGGTCGCTCTTCGGAGCCATTGGGCTCGAGCTTTCGACTCGGCTCGGGGAACAGTTCCCCACGATTCACAATCAGTGCCTCCACCATGCGCATACGTATAGTGTCGGTTCTGTTTCTGTCCAGCGTAGTGATCTATGGAAGCGACGGCGAGTCCCAAGGTAAATCAAACTTCCCATCTTGAATCATCGAAGGTACCTATCCGAGTCATTTCATTCTTGTATCGCGCTAATCCGAAGAAGTCCTCAGAACCGATCCAGCTCGAGAATATCCCCGATAAATCTGTGGTATCGGGTCAAGCGGTGCGGTTCACCTGTGGTTTATTGAGGGGTGAAAGCGTTGCCTTCTCCTGGAGCCGGAATGGAAGTCTGATCTCAAGCAATGACAGAATCAAGATAAGTCTTGACGAAGACAATTCTGTTTTGACAATCCGGAAGGCTACCGTCAGCGATGCTGGTGAATACACCTGCGTGGCGAAGAACTATTTCGCAGAGTCTCGTCAGACTACGATCCTAAATGTCGATGGTGAGGAACTCCTGCAGAAGAGCTGTCCAGCATTCGGAAAAGCTAGGGAAACCCTTTGATCCTTTAAATATTCTATGTTCGCGGCTCTCGATTATTAGCGCCTCGTCTCGGAAGAGCTGCTGCTCTTGATCGCGGAGACTCAGGTCGAGCGATTCGACAGCTCTGATTGAGGATATTCCAATCGCTATGGTGGATTCCTCTTGACTCGGGAGCGTTTGCGTGGCTTGCGCTTCGAAAAAGCCCGCGGTAACCTCGGCTCGTGAGCCGCACGACTGTAGCGAGAATTCGCAAAGTCCTGGCAAAGCAATGTCTAACACTCGGATAGGATTCATGCAATCCGCCATAAGGCTCGACGCTGAGCATGTTCCGACCCGAGCTGGTCGTCTTCGCTGTTTTCGTGAATGATGTTTGCCGAGCGTCGTCAAACGGTAAGAGGATTCGCTCTCGCCGGCCATGGTTCGAGAAGATGATAATCTGTCGAATTATGATCCTCAATGGCAACTCTCTTGAAGAGATCATCGTCTTGGACGAAATCCCGCCTCGGACAATCGACAGTGGAGATGTTGTGAGATTCACCTGCGGAGTTCGGCGGGGTCATAGTAATGAATTTGTGTGGACTCGTAACGGGAGCGTACTCGGAAACGACGACCGGATTAGGATAGTGAACGACTTGGACAGCTCTGTTCTCACCATCAAGGGAGCTACCGCTGCCGATTCGGGAAACCTGAACTGCATTGCGAAAAACGATTTCGCAGAAGCTCGGGAGGTCACATTTTTGAGAGTCAAAGGTGATTCGTAGAGGGGATGATCTCTCATTTATTTTGATCTAGAAACTCCAAAGCGCGCATGTCAGAACTAGCTACCCCAGCAGGCAAGACATAAGCGCCACAACGAGCGATTTTCGTCCTCGTATGATAAAAGAGAAGTATCGTTATGATGAAGAATTGACTCCCACTGTATTGGGAGAAACCTTCCCGAGACGATCATCAAAATCTTCGTCATGAGTTATAAGAAAAGTCGTGATTTAATTATTCGATCTATAACGAGATCGACCTGGGCTCATCCACGATCCACGACACTTGAGCATTGCTTCTCGCGGTTAGTTCTGATAGAACTTCAAGAATATGTATCTCTATAATAGGTACCATTATCAGTAATTGCGCTCACCAGAGCTGACTCGAGGCAGCCAGCGCTTCCAGATCGGTACTACCCCATTTTCCGCCTGAACGTTTCAAGCAGACCTAACCCGAAATTCTCTGCGGGTGAAGAGCTCGAAAAAGGCGCCGTAGTCTCGCCTTCCGCCCGAGTCACCACAGGAAACGAGAGTACGCTCATGGATAGTTCGGAAGGGACACCACCATTAGTGAAATATACCTACGAGTATCGGTGGCTCATATGATTGTGTTGAAATGAAGCGGTCGCTTGGATTGATCATAGCTCTGTGGTCCGGGATTTCGGTTCAGTCCAGAGGTACGTCATGTGTACATGAAAATGTCGTCATGTGTAAATGAAAACGGCTGAGGCATTCGTTCTAGTTGAAATCCAATAATTTCTGCGTCCGTCGTCGCAGACATCGTCCAACTCGAGACTCTGCTCGATTCTGTGGCAACATCGGGGAAAATCGTACGTTTCGCTTGCGGTCTTTCTGCTGGAGGCGCTGTTGAGTTCACATGGACTAAAGGTGGAAACGTGATAATCAGTGACGACCGAAGAACGATAATGAACGACGTAGATTCTTCGCTCCTGACAATCCGGAGAGTCACCGTTCAGGACGCCGGGAACTACACATGCATCGCGAAAAACTTGATTTCGGAAGACAGAAAAACTGCTTTCTTACGAGTCGAAGGCAAGTTCCGATGCAGATAATCGTTCTGAAGGACAAGTTCTTCCATGCACGAGCTGCCATGAATTTAACTCTTCGATTGCCGCCCGGTTGATGCTCCTCTACCAGAATAGAGAGGATGGTGATATATGTGATCCTCACAATCGCTTCGGTAGACGAGGCCCATTGAAACTTGTCTGTCAACTCGATCGTTTCGAGTTTGCTGTCTGCGGCCATCGATTTTCGCATCGAGCAGCAATTTCAAAAGACGAGCTCTCGACACGATTTCCGAGTTTCGCGCGAAATTCGAAGGCGCATCATTGACTCGGAGAATTTTTGCGCTACGGGTCGTTTTTATCAAATCTTCCCTCCGATAGCTCAGTGGCGATATCGAGAAATTCCCTTCTCCCACTTTCTTCCCGAAATTCTGGAGGGACTTCTTATTTCCAAGGAACTTCTTAGGTTCGTCTTCGTACAATCTTACACCCCTCAACTTGATAAATCAGATGATCGGAGGAATGGATCTCCTCAGCGTTAGGAATCCCTATCAGGGCCGAGTTGCTCGAATACAGATTCGACCCTCGAAGGCGGTATTGAGCTTTCAAAAAAGCGCTCCTTAGCCATGCTGCCGTGTCATGCACGCCCTGTCCGAGAGTTAGAAAATGAGAGCATCGTCTTCGAGCGAGACTTCGCCAATCGGTCACAACATGTTCCGCGTCCCAGCACTGTACCTTTGTTTGTTATTCCGCCTAATAGCAGTTTCGGCTGATCGAGGTAAAGTGTGCTTTTAGACTTCCTAGGAAGTAAAATTCCCCCGCGGCATTCCCCGGCTAACGAGGAAGTCTCCGCCATCAGAAATATTGAAGGTGGAACGAATGCACGATGTGAGTACCACGGAAGGCAACTCCGTGCGTTTCTCCTGCGGATTGGCGCGTGGTTCCGGATCGTTTACCTGGACAAAGGACGGGACGGTGATTAGCAAAAATGAAAGATTCAAGATCCTGGGTGATGACGAGACGTCCGTGCTGACTATACGAACGGTCAACCTGAACGACTCCGGAAACTACACTTGCATTGCGAAAAATCTTTTCGCAGAGGACAGGACAACTGCGAAACTTCTTGTCAAAGGTCCATGAGTATGACAGTAGCTAAAACTCAGGAATAGTAATTCGTCCTACTCAGAGCATCCGAATCGTGCCAAGAGAATCAGGACCGTGGAGTCGGGGGCATTCGCTGCTGAGATTCCCAAGGGTCCTGATCTTGTCCATGGAGGACGCGAATCATAATCAGGCTTCGCGACCGCGGTCACTGAGCGAAATTGCGGTTTTCCTTCAACATGGGACTCTAAGGGGGACAGCGAATAATCGAGGTTGCTCATGAAATACGCGGTTTCGCGAAGTTCAATCATGAACACGGAAACTGATCGGTAGCTTGAGGTTTCATGACTTGTAAGACGAGGTCCCTCTCATCCGACGAGCCTCGTGATTCGACTCCGCTTGCTCGAATAACGAGCGTTTATCCAAAAAAAGATGTGAGCTCCAGCAACTCGAGGTTTGACTAGGACATGATGGGGCAGTGAATGGAGAGTCTCAATTCCGCATCAATTGGATCCTATTCGGAAGGAAATTACGTCTGTTGGAGGGGATTATTCCCATGTTGCATCGAGCCTCTATGAGAACACAATTCGTTCTGCTAAGCATTCACGACTCACTATGCATAGGGAGTTCGGGGAGCGACGAAACTTCCTTCCCTGCGATGCGATCCGCCCGGTGTTCCGCTTTCAAATGAGCGCTTTAGCGGTGCCGCAGTGTTTCGGAGCTTTGGTGTCGAGAGTATCTCAGAATCAGAAAGAAGTGTCTACATCACTCGCTTAGCTCCTGTCGTCCCGTGGTCATCGTGATGTTGTGTACGCTTTTAATTTTGCACCTACTAGCAGTGAGTGCAATTTTCGCGCAAGGTATGTGACTTGAATCGCTTACCTATCCGATGGGCCGCAGATACAAATAAGCGATTTCGCTCACCTGAGCGAGCCGCTTAGCCCTGACTGTAACCCACAGATGGAATTCGGTTGGATCCGATGGCAGATCGCAAGACGCTTGCAGCGAGAGACGCGCGTTTTTTCTGCTCCGTCGCAGAAGGGAGCGGTGTATCGTTATCATGGACGTTCGGAGGACAGTTGTTGAAAACCGATTCCAAATATCGAATAACAAGTGGAATGGCGGAGAGCATTCTGACAGTCTCCAACGCTCAGCCGAAGGATGCCGGACAATATACCTGTATCGGCAAAACATTGTTGTCCGAGGACCGGGTGACGGCACGATTGAAAGTTGAGGGTACGATATAAGATTCCAATCTCACGGGATACGGACTCCGATACTTCTCATTCTGCGTGGCCTGACTGCGCTAGATATGTTTATGCTTCGAATGAATAACTAGAAACTTGAAATTACCTATTGCTCTTACATGGAGTTTGTTCTGCAGAACAGTATGATAAATCAACGAAATACTGACTGAGTACTCATGATACTCATGATCGGATTCGCGCCAATATGTAATTTTTATTGAGTAGGGTACAGTCTCTGCTGATTCCCGAGTCGGGATTCCCGACTCGGCGTGGCGCCTCATTCCCGCGAGCGGTCTCGAATCGAGTCGAGACCGAAAACCACGAGCAAACTCCGTGATTTTGAGTCATCTACACAGATCCTCGATGTTTCAAGTGTCTTCGCGGAGTGTTCGCAATGGTGGCCGAACACATGGACAGAATTCAGAATACCTCGGCTCAAGGGATAGGGAGTCCCAGGTGCCGGTTCCCACTCCGGAACGAGGCCAAGGCATTGCACGACGGGGATGATCTCATTCACAAAAGATGCTCCGATGTTGCGACATTCGAAGTTGGCGCTATACTCTCGTTCACGGCGAGGTTCTATCCCAGCAACGCGGCTAATATCGCTTGGCGAAACTCTGTACCGCGCTTGACTGCCAGAGCTCAAAATGCCTCCTCCCGGAAGATTACTTCAGCTTCGGGGAACCCTCTTGTGCATGATCCTTGTGACGAATTTCTGCAGGGCGTCCGGTGAGATTTTTCCGGCCTATTCTCGAGAGCATCTATCGCGACAGTTTGGCGATACATCGGTTTCATCCCTGATTTCGGATCCCTGTAGATATCGTGAAGTTGGAATTCGCTCAAGACAAAACCACCGAAGTGGGCAAATCTGTGAGATTGGGATGTATGCTGCAAAGCGGGGAGAACGTCGATTTCGTTTGGACGCACAACGGACAAGTTTTGAAGTACGATAACCGGATCGCCATCAGTTCGTACAGCGAAACGTCGACGCTCACGATCAAGTCGGCTATCCAATTCGATACCGGGAATTACACCTGTATCGCCAAAAACGAATTTTCTGAAGACAGGATCACAGCCCAGCTCCTCGTTCAGGGTGAATATACTGGATTGGATTGAATATTGAATTCCCGTAGTTGGAAACTCTCATTTGAGGAGTCGGTGACGAGCTGTCTACCGGCTCGAGGAACAGAGGCATGCTTCGAGGTCGTGCGCCGTGGGGGCTCAGTCGTCGACGCAGTTCGCCGATAAGTGCGTCTTGACGTTATCGTATCGAATGGAACCCTAAAATATGGGCAGGGTCTATAATTCCCGAGATCGAGACATGTCCTAGGGCTTCGGCGTCCCCGGAATTTTCCCGAGCCGAGCGTCAACTAGAAATGTATCTCTTGCGACGTCCGCGGGAGTGGTTCTCCCCGATCTCAATCAAAGGCTTCGGAGAGGGTGGGCCACCATCGAGAGACAGTCAAAATCTTGCGGGTAAACCTCGTTCCGAGGCTCGGTGCTTTGTGAACGAGACTAAGCGGCCGAGTCCTTCGCACTTCAAGAAGCACTCTGATCCGTGCTTCGAACCAGCATGTCGCAACACAGAGTACGATCCTTTTCTACGTGTTCGGTGCTCGTATATTTTTTCATTTCGGGAAACTCAGCGACCACGGGTATGTTCTAAGATCCAAGCGAGGGCGAGAACCCCGATTCATACCACGAGTTCTCAGCGGTGGAATCTGCCCATCACCGTGACTGAAGGGTCTCTCTCTGCAACAGCCACCGTACAGCTGGAAGACATGAGCAACAAGGTCGTAGATGCTGGCCAACCGGTGCGTCTCTCGTGTGTTCTGCAGCGGGGACACAATGTTCAATTCGTGTGGACCAAGAACGGACAAGTTTTGAGGTCAGACTCTCGAATCGCGCTCAACAGTTACGCGGAAATGTCGTCGCTGAACATCGAGCACGCGTCGCAGTCGGATTCCGGGGGTTACACTTGCATTGCTAAAAATCAACTTGCCGAGCATCGCGTCGCCGCGACACTGACCGTGAAAGGTGACGCACGCTTCTTTGCTGCATTCCTTCGCTGCTGCGAGCGTAGTGTAGCATTCGGTTTCTTAATATACCCCTAGGAGTCCCGCTTTGGGAAGAACGATGTTGAGGGTCCCATCGTCGCTTCAGAACGATTGATCTAGGCGGAACTTCGTTCGAGTGAACTCGGTTGGCGACCGCCAACGATGATTGGTCAAGGTTGATCTCTTGTGGGAAGTTTCATTGCGGCGGACGATGGTCTAGTCCAGTTGATCAGGATAGGAGCACAGGTGGTGGCGTCGGCGCGCTTCTCGGCAACTCAAAATTAGTGGGTATTGGCCTCCGGCGGAATTTCTTATTCTACAGCGAGACAGACTTATTCGGGGCTCCCCGTCTCGAAAGACATTGAAATTTACCGCCAAAGCCTAGTTGTTGTGGCGCGGCTTCCTTGGACCGAGATTACCCAAGTTCACATGAGGCTAGACTTCGGGTACACTGTCTCTCAGTTTGTGCGCAATGCATCGGACTATCAACCTGCTGAAGTTGTATGGAATACTAATCTTCATCAAAGACGTTCGACTCATATTTGCCGATGGTATGTGATGACTGATGACTAACAAGAATAGCGAGATATTAATCCGAATTACTAGAGACCCAGGAGCTTTGGCACCGTCATTTTCCCCAGACATCGTCCGCCTCGAACCCCTTGGAAACCGAGTGCAGAGTGTTGGAAAGATGGTTCGCTTCGCTTGTGTTGTACAAAGCGGCGAGAACGTTGACTTCACTTGGACGAGAAATGGTCAGGTATTGAGCTCGAACCCTGATATCGCCATAGCGAGCATGGCTGGGGTGTCATCATTGACCATAAGACAAGTTCATCAGACCGACGCGGGACTTTACACCTGCGTTGGGAAAAGTGAAACGTCCGAAAACCGAGTCACAGGAGAGCTGATGGTGCAAGGTACATCTTTTCTCCGAGTAACGACGAATGGTCTCGAGAGTTTCGAGCCTTTCATCCTCCTGGGCGGTCAGATAGATTCACAGGAGTCGATGCTGCCATGTAGTGGTTAGGAAGCGACTTAATCGCGTTAAGAATGATCGACCGACACATTAGAGCTCTTAGTGAAGCCTCGGTCGCTAATTCCTATTTTCGTCCGGGCTTACATACTTTGATTCTGCTTGGATTCAAAAAGACGTGTCCACTGCGAGAGGAAAGACACGGAGAGCAAAAATTTGCGGGTTCTGGTTAGATGTTCCGGATGGGTGCAGGAAAATTGAAAAATGACGAGTTTCCCATCGGAGGAAACGGCATCGGAGAGCCTATTTTCGAACTGTATCGGATACAGACCGATCGGCTCATACGGTGAGCGCGGCAGCGAGTCGAATTTCCGCGGGTTAGCCTTGACACGTTTCGTCGATACCAGAGGAGCGAGGATACCTTTCAGCTGCTGAAATTTGTTTGGACTCGAGCATAACTCGTCGGGCGCTATGAAACCACGGAGTTCACATCGAGTGCTATGTCTCACGGCTAGAATGATATTAATTTGGATGATGTCGCTCCTGAGTGTACCGCGCCTGGATGTAATGGCAGCTGAAGGTCAGTCGAAAATCATAAAAATCGTCATTCGATATCCTCGAGCTCCGGAATCTTTCTCTATTCGAAAGATTCGCCAGCTGGCGAGTAGAAGCAGGAGCGCTCAAGCACTTCGTCGCGCAGCCGAGGTTCACTCGAGGTTTCTCTCTCAGAGACTTTGAAGATAACAGGCATGTCTGCGAAAACTGTGGACTCGGGACAGATAGCAGTTTTCAACTGCATCTTGAGCAGAGGACTCGCGACACAATTCATTTGGGCGAGGAACGGTCAGCTCCTCAATGCGGACCGGCGTTTCCGTGTTATCTCCGATGAAGAATCATCCTTGTTGAAAATTTCAAGTGTAAAAGTCGGTGATCGAGGAAACTACACTTGTGTCGCAAAGAACTCCGAATCGGAAGTGCGAGCCGTCGCAGCGCTCAGCGTTCAGGGTAAACGTCCAGAGTATACGGAGTTTTTTTGGGGAGGAGTGATCTGAATGAGCGGGCGGCGATCAGCTGAACACTATAGATTCTGGGAGGCACCTCGTAAACTATCTGAGAATCATTCTCCTCGAGAATTTCGAAGAGCAACGCTCCAATCATTCAATCGGTTTTCATGCTGGATTGCTTGAATCTCGGATTGGAACTATTTTCGCTACGCGAGGCGATGGGCTTCCATCATGTCAAGCCAGCGAGGATTATTCCGGCTGAGTCGGTGACGGGACCGGCAGTTGTCCTAGCATGGGAGGTTAGAATTTCAAAAAAAGCGGGTCTCTTCTTGAGTCGGAGTATGGCACGCTAGATGCGAGGCTACCGAACACGAAACATCGTCGCTCACTTTATCGCAGGAACCTCCGCAATGCTCAGCATATGAACCACTAGTGGTGATTGGCCAGAGGAGTTTCCATAAAGTTCCTGTGAAATGCTTTTACTATATACCGTATATTTAGTTGTCGTCCTCGAATGTGATGCCCATGCAGGTATGTTATCGAAGATATTTGTCACTGGCGGAGGGGATGTCGGAATCGTGAATAGCGGCGGTACCAGGGACCGCGCTGCGAAGCGCTGCTCATCGGCGTTAGAAATATATCTCGATGTCCATCCCCTTAAGATGCTCATTATATCATCGAGGTCCGTTGTTGATGCTTATACTATTCTCCCGAAGGAACGATTCGTTTATCTGATATGCTCTCGAAGAACGTCAGAGTGGGGAGAGTGGCGACTTTCACTTGTGAGAAACTGAGCGGAGATACCATCGAATTCTCTTGGACAAAAGGAGGTCAACTCCTGCGGACAAATAATGATAGAATGAAAATCATGTCCGATGATGAAGCATCCATCCTGAAAATCTCCAATATTCAGCTGAGCGATAAGGGAAATTATTCGTGCGTTGCGAAATCCCGTCTGTCCGAGGCACGGACGACGGCGTTCCTGAACGTCGAAGGTATTTGTCACGATCAGTCATGCGCTCTGTAACTGAGTTTCCGGAGATTTTCGCGGGGCAAGCATTCCTTCTTTCTCGCATAGATAACATAAAGCATGGGACCGAGACGATCGCAATAGAGGTCGAATGCTCACAAGGCAACTCTCGGCGGTTACGTAATCGGTTCCTATTCTGTCGAGAGGAGCTTGAGGCCTGCGATCGCCTCGGAGTGAATTTCTCGTTCGAATTCGGGCGCCTTATCGATGATGACAGGGCGGAACGCGATGGACTCGAGGCTAAACAAGGAGCTCTTATTTCTTCCTCCTTTTGGAAGTCAGAGGCTTTGCGAAACGGAGAGCCGTCGCACTGCGGGAGACCGGTTCCCCCCTTGAAATGCTTTTCTGGTTTCTTGCGGTTTCTGAGCTCGTCACCCATTCGAGGGCTGAAACAGGTACGTCAGACACAAACCATCTTGCGAGGTAGCCAGAAAACGCCGATAGCAGATCGTTTGAAGGTCCTCCTTCATGATCCAGGTACAATTGCTTTGTCCGAAATCCTACCCAAGAATGTGAGGGCGGGACGGATGGCTACATTCGTTTGTGAGCTCTCGAGAGGTCATCGAGTTGAGTTCTCTTGGACGAGAGGTGGACAATTGATCCGATCGGACGCAGAAAGATTCAAGATCGTATCTGATGACGAAACATCGATGCTGAAAATTTCGAATGTTCAGCTCAATGATAGCGGAAATTATACCTGCACGGCGAAGAATGCGTATTCCGAAGCGGGTGTAACCGCAAGTCTGGAAGTGCAGGGTGCGTGAGAATTTTTTTCGTGCCGCGGATCGAGGTCCGCGTCCACCATATTTAAGAACGGAAGGAGAATAACGATTGATTGAATGTAATATGTAAAAGGGAGAAGTAATCATTCGAGTCCGATGTGTGGAAGGTGTCTCGGGCGATGAGCTCCGCTAGAAGCTATCCATAGTTGTTCCGCCAGACGCGACGTATTTGAGGTCGTTGATTTCTTCTCCGAATTCCGGATCGGGAGAAAACCCGGAACTCATCGTGTACGCAACGCTATATAAATTTTCTCGCTCTATTCGCGATTTTGGAAAAATATGCGAATGGGATGGATAGGGGCTCCTCTCCAGGAGCCGTGGGGCATACCGAGCTTTTCGAATTTTTGGCGCCGTATTCTTGTTGCAAGTGCGACACGACACAGAGGGGAGATTATCGGAAGCCGCTACATATAGTAGGGCAACCAGAACAGAGCATTCGGGAGCGAGACTTAGCTATGAGGCGGTGACGTCTCGACTGGTGGAGAATCGGTACGAGGAGGGAAAATGAGACTTTTCCCCATTTTCTCGATATGCTTTTGTTATATCGGAAGCCTGATCGCCGAAGGTGAGCTGAAAAATATGAGAGAGAGGCCATATTTCAATCATTGAGCTTCCCCATGGCCCATGGGACACGCTCTTCCATGGTCAGGCGGGAGAGACACTCAACAACTTTCCATTCGAATCCTAGAACCTATACAATTAGAGAAACTCCATGAGAAATCCGCGAAAGCTGGACGTACGGTCAGCTTCGTGTGCACGGTGCTCGCCGGCGAAGCGACTGAGTTCCTTTGGACGCGACAGGGACAACTAATCAGGAACGATGACAAGTATCGCATCAATATCGACAGAGAGACTTCAATACTTATAGTTCGAAATGTGGATCATCACGATTCTGGGGACTACGTATGCATCGCTAAAAACCCTCATTCTGAGGACCGCGTTTCGGCATCGCTTAAGGTTGAAGGTAATCCATTGATAGTCCAATTTGCGACTTCCAGCAAGTCAGAAAGATTTACCGCTGACCATTCTCTCTGCCTTTCATAACCCTAATGGTGACGCGGCGGAACCATCATGAGTTCGAGGATCGGTCCCAATTCGAAGTTTGTCTCGGAGGAGATTCGTTCGCGAGAACGTTCAGGAGACTCCCGCAATGCAAGCCTGATCTGCGACATCGCAGTGTCTGAGGGCCACTGGGAAAACTCGGGTTTGGTTCGAATCGCGGATGCGCGAAACTCTTCGGAGGTCCTTCGTATTGCGACATTGCAGGCGAATTTTAGCGCCATAGCCTCGAAAACTTTACGAATTGTCATGGTGCGAGGCTACTCGCTCGACACGGTCAAACTCTTAGACTCAGGCTCAGTCGCGGTATTCGGCAGTCTTAGTCTGTCGAGAGCATCCGTGAACAAGAGTTATGCGTGGTCGATCCGGAAATGACTCGATTAGCGATTCATTTCATCGCTCAGATTGTTTTCTTCACTAGAAGTGGCTGTACTGCGGGTGAGTCCGTCTGTAATGTGCGCCGTGAGCGTGATATGATTTCCGAATTATCAGTCGAGCAAGCTGTGCTTGAGCTACAATCAACACGAATTCTAGAGACAGTCAAGCTTGAGAAGCTCCATCCGAAAACTGCTTTTTCGGGCCGGACGATTAGCTTCGAGTGCTCGGTGATCGGCGGAGAGGCCACAGAATTCCTTTGGACGCGTGGTGGACAGGTGATTCGCCAAGACCAAAAATTCAGGATCAATGTCAATCCCGAGAACTCGTTCCTGACTGTGAAGAACGTCAGTCAGGGCGACGCCGGAACTTACGTCTGTATAGCGAAAAACTCTAAATCGGAAGACAGAGTCAGTGCCGTTCTGACGGTTCAAGGTATGCGGGCGTACGTGCAAGGATACTCTTACAACGATCAGAAGTACCTCAGAAGTTCCGCTTCGTATCTGAATCTGCTTGATTAGTGCTACACATGCCGCTAGCGACTTCGACTCAAAGCCTCGCTCGAGTCGTATCGTATCCGATGTGATGGGAAGCCGTGTAAACGGTCTTTTCGAGAACTTCCTGAGCGTGCACATGCAACGCAATGGAATGGAATGTCGTCCCCTTGGGACGATCAGGGAGATTCGAGTTACGTTCCAAGCTTACGAAACAGCGGGAAAACGCGACACTCCGTTGCCAAAGCTCGCTCGATATTCGAAATTTTGGCGCCATATCCTGGACGAAAGGGCGAGCCAGCATGGTACAGAGATTACCTCAGAGCTTTACCGACGAACCGACGAGCACTTGCTGGGTCTGACAGCATCTCATCTATGAGACAGTGAACAAAAAAAAGTTTGTCTCCGTATCGAAGTGCACCATGATATTGAGACTCTTGTCAGTGGCACTGGTTTTGACAGATACCGCGGCAGCTAACGGTGAGAGACGCTTTTCCGTGGCGTCGGGCAGGGCAAACTGAGAATTCGGAGGCTCTCGCAATGCATTGTTCGGATGCGAACTTGAATCAGTCACCTCACCGACTCCAGTTCCCTGCCCGTCTACTTTCCAATATCGTTGATGACGCTCATAGGGGAATAATGAACCATCTTATAGAACCGATACAACTCGAGAAACTTCAATCCAAAAGAGCCAAGACGGGCCGCACAGTGAACTTTGTATGCACTGTGATCGCTGGAAACGTTGCCGAGTTCCTCTGGACCAAGCAAGGCCAGCTGATCAAGAACGACGCGAAATTCCGGGTCAACGTGGAACCAGAGGCTTCGATGCTCCTGATTCGGAATGTAGACTTGAATGATGCCGGGGATTATATGTGCATTGCGAAGAATCCTTCATCCGAAGACCGAGTCTCGGGCAATCTCAAAGTCGATGGTAACGAATTCAGACAATCAGATCGCTGTGATAATCTAAACCTAACTCCGTAGAAAGTCATTGCGGGGAGAGGCTACGAACCTCCCCCGCGAATAGACGATGTGTGTCGTGATTCGAAATTTGGTATGATCGAACGGAAGGAAATCATAATTTTGATAAAAAAATAGCTGAACACGTTTTTTCCCATCAATTTTGCTGGACGGAAACGGTGCTGGAAGCTCTCGACGAGCTTTTCCCAACCTTGACGGTGAGTTTGTCATTCGTTTTTCCTCCGAAAATTCCATGATCGCCAAGCGGTGATTTTCGTCATGAAGCGAGAACTCGATCTAATTCATTCGTTCAAGTTCCAGGCGAACTAGGTAGAACGATGGTAGCCCTGGTAAATTGTGAGGAGCTCTGGAGAATCAGATTGTCCCGAAAGTTATGAACCGTATCTCAATTCGTCCACTTCGATATTGACCGACTCTTCCTGTTTCGGATAGAACCTCTCCAGAAAATTCGGTTCTCTTCATTCACATGGTACTCGATTGCTATGATCTTATTCTCCACTGGTCCATCGAAAATCAATTTGACTGTGCCATATGTCTGTGTAAATATCTTGATTAAAAGCATCGTCGTTCGGCCGCCTTCGTCATTGATTAGCGTAAGCGTAGTACTCTATCGATAGTTGGCGTTCAGAATGGATGGAGTTGTGGCGATGTCCCAGTTTGCTGATGGCCAGCCCGCCAGTCGGTCGTTTTGTCACAATTTTCGATGATACGACAATCCAGGATTTTCTCATAGCGAGACCCTCTCATTAAAGCGATCGTCGGTTGCTGGCAATTTAAAGTCATTATGTCCCCGATGGATCTGGGTGGCGGAAAATTTGCCACCCAGTTGGCTTCGATCTTCGCCCACCGCAAAAATTTCAAAATTGCGGAGTGACTGACTCAATAAACGTTCGGTAATATCGGATTGAGAACATCGAGTCGATTTTCAATGAAGCCGTTTTTCTCTCTTCTCTCAGTGGGTTGCCTGCGACAATTAAATGTTTGGTGTCCCGTTGAGTGGGCGTTTATCGCAGCCGGAGCCTTCTCGAGGGAGGGTCACTTCCACAACTCATGAAGTTCTGAGCGCTTGGTAGTAGTTTGACTTTCCATTTTATAGGTAGAGCCCGTTCGACAGAGACGGAAAACATCGCTAACGGAATGAGTAGCCTTGTTTGGTCTCAGGTTATGTAGAAGCACACACACTCATCACTCACGCTAACCAATAGATAGCGCTCGAATGCGGCTCAGGGTGACAACGAATTCGAAAGGTTCGATTTTCACCCTTAGATATTGTTCCAGGTTCAACAGTCGCCGGGTACAGGTATTTTCATAACTCCCCCCGCTCTGATTTCGGAGAATATTTTCCAAGATATAGCCGGAAGCCCCGCTTTGTATTCTGAGTTCTCGACGAAACCCCAATGAAGTTCCGGGGGAACTGTTCATCGCTATACCCAAGTCAATCACTCATATTCCAAGATCGGCGAGGGGAGACTCGCAAAGATGGTCACATGGAAAATATCCTCCGAAATTCGCTTCAATTTTATCGGCTTTTTTTCTGTCGACAGCCGATCAAACCCACAGGACTCTGTTTTCTCCGATTCTATTTTTTTCCTCGAAAAGCTCCCAGATGCTCCTCGTGATTGGCATCTAGGAACTCCCACCGGACTGAGCTCTCCATGTTGAGATTTTCACAGAATTCTATCGAATCGAGCAGTCATTCTGCCTATCGCTCCTCGCTAACCAGTCCGGTGTGGACGGAGTCCTCGAATCTTTAAAAGCTGGCTTGCCCCTCCCCCGAGATTCAGTCGAGTGTTCCAGGATGTTGTGATTCTAATCTTTGTCGTCCAATCTAGGTCCTCCGTTATGGGCTTCAGATCCCCAGAAAGAGGTCGTCGCGGCATTGAACCACCCACTTGACGTGAAATGTGACGTGATAAGCTATCCGCCAGCCACCATCACATGGCAAAGGGTCGACTTAGGAGGTGAGTGACAGGATGACACACGAGACGATCGAGAATCTCTCACGGAAATTGTTGCTCCCACGGAGCAACATGACTTCCCTACGGAACGACAAGACTTCCTCTAAGTCGTTCATGGCCCGGACGCATTACCAGCCCACCTGTCTGTGAGCTCGAAACCTCGACTCGGAAAACTTTCTCGCTCAGAAGCACGGACTCGATTCCACGAGATCCGGATTTTGTAACTCAAGTTCTCGGCCACTCCAAATTCATAGCCCCCCGTTTACTCTGACTCGCAGTCAGATAGGGGAATCCTCATGAATTCATGGAATGTCGATCAATTCAATTGGGGAAGGGCCCCATGTGCTGTGGGGATGAGCTATCGCGGAGTTCTCGTTGAGGTCAATCCATGGATCAGGATATCTTTGCTTATGTATCACCCTTCGACCAGATAACACCGATCTCCGCTCCGAACAAGATGGGACCTTGAGATTTAAGAACGTTACTCGCGAAGACGTGGGAACTTACAAGTGCACCGCCAAGAACACCCTTGGACAAATCTCGAAAGAGTTGAAGATCGTCGTGAGAGGTGAGTTGAGCCTCTTCTTCTATCTCGAACACAAACAAATCACCTTAGGAAAAGTCTGCAAGCAAGCTGTCAGTGGCCCATGCATCACGCTCGATCATTGATCATCCTTCGATTCATACGTCTACGGGTAAGCTCGGCGCGAGTTTTGAATGGATACTGAAGACATGCTGAGATTATATAAGGTGTCTATATCTATGGTGTCTTCGGAATCCGGACTGTACAAAAGTCATCGGCAATGGGAGGCCATTCGCGCGAGACACCGTCTTTGATGAGGCTGATTCCGTCTGGACCCGCGAATACAATCTGAAACCGAAAATTCAGGTACGATGATGATTCAGTGGATTGTGTATTGTGTTCGTGATAATCTCCGAAACTTGTGCCTGAAGTGCGAATGCCTTCGTGGAAAAGTGTTGCCGGCTGCCATGTGCTACGAAAGAAATCCCCTCGCCACCGCCCACGGATTCCTGAGGGCTGAGGGCCGCGCGAATTCCCGACGGTCAGTGAAGAATGGACTGGTTGGAGTTGTGACCGCGTGCGGAGTCAGAAGGCTCTGATCGCACCGTCCGGAAACCGTCTGAGGGAAACGATCGTTCAGTGCTGGATCGATCCGCGGAACATCAGCCGCGACAGTGCTTGGTGTGAACGCGAACACGTCCGAGCACGTGCGAGTGGGACTTTCGTCGGGACAATAGAATATGTGCCTCAACTCGAAGAGTATGTGAGTTCAGTGCGGCTATTCTCGACCAAAGTGCTAAGCAATGAAGTGCCTCACTCTCTGGATTATGTGCGCTATCGGTGTTTCGTGCAGAATTTCGAACGCTCAAACCCTCGAGGATTTCGGAGCCCAGCTCAAACAGCATAGCGTTTCGTCGCCTCCAGGTTTGTGCGATTTCATCTGTGTATTATCGGTTCTAATAGAAATCGCGAATATGAACAATAGGATCCCTGCTCTGTGAATAAACACAGCTCAGTCGTCACTGGGCTCTCATACGACACGGACGTCCTTCCCCAGCTTAGGATAGTACAATCTGGTACTGAAATTCATTATTTCCCCATATGCGTATCGTTATCCACAACCGATGAGACAGCTCAATGCAATCCCATGATTTCGCGCGGGAAAAGACCATCTGGAATCTGCGAAGTACCCGCGGGACACGAGGAGGGCATCTCCTGCGGTCACCCCAAGGTCTCCTGTTTTTTCGGCTTGGTGTCGGAGCACATACTTCGAGCCGTGACCGAGCGAACTTCAGTTCCTTGCCTCCGCTCCTATTGCGTTGGGGAACGGGAGCAGGAAGGTAGGGGGGACTGATCGCATGGACTTTGCTTTGGTCTGGAAAGGTGGAAGAATGTGGAGAAAAGGTCGTGATGGACGCCGTCTCGCGGCTTTCGCGAGCGGTTCGCGACGTCGCTCCGAGATGCGGCCGAAAAAGAAGCGATGTAATTCTATCTGCGGACGTTGCCGCGAGTGGGCTCAGATTCGAGCGATAAATCAGATCAATTGTAAAACGTAAGACTCGGTGACGGAAGGACGAACAGTAGATGCATAGTCGACGTTCCGAACAAGGCTATCTATCTTTCGAATGATTTCAAAATTCTTATTCGTTGTCGTCTTCGGGTTACTCGCCGACTTGTTCGATAAGGGATCTAGCTGCAGCAGACGGAACAACCTATTTGGCGAGCCCGAAACCGGACAGTCTCCGAGAGAACATTCAGACGGACCATGTCATATCAATAGGGGGAATAGGAACTTCGGGCGCGGAGAGATATACACGACGGGTGCTTCTCATCGAATCTAGCGAAGGCTTGATTTGTCTCTCTGACTCGTCAGTTTTATTGGCTCGCTCATTCGTTGGTTCTCTGTTGGCTAATCGAGACGTGGGCTTGGAATCCACTCGATACCCGCTAACTGAGGGCAGCTGTGGATCCTGAAAAGGGAATCGGAGGAAGAACTACCCCTCATATGCGGGCATTTCACTGCCGGTCGCCTATATTATTACTTGTCATTTTGGCAATAATCTCTCAATTGGCATCCATTTCGTGTAATGAGCTTCTGGATGAAGACGGGGAGGAGAAGACGACGACGATGACGATTCTACCAATTTCGGAGCACTTCTGATTTATAGCGTTCCAACACACGGAATCGATGTCAGAAGGCAGAATGATTAGAAATCTAAATGTCGACAGCGTGTGTCTGTATCAACTGTCCATCATTAGCAGAAATCGAGCTGACAGGGGAATCCATCGCACACCACGCGCTGTACGAATGTCCCGCTAGCTCGGCCCCAATCACCCACTCATTCATTGACGCCGTAGTTCCCCGATTTTTTTTTGGTTAGATATTTTGCTTGTCGCCTCGTTAGAAAATCGCTGCCAATTTGCGCCCCGCTCGAAATCCTTGCTCGAGGCATTTCCGTCGTCTTAATTTGACATCTAACACTTTCACCTGGACCGGAGTACGAGCGAAGCAGACAAGGATCTTACGCTCGGAGCACGGTCATTAAATGCAATTCATAAAGCCACCCACTTAAGCTCGGTTTCTGGGATTAGAATCGGTTCTGCGGAAACTCTGGTTCGATCCTTAATGGTGTGAACTGCTTGTTTGACGTGTAACCAGAGAAGATTGATCGTTTCTCACGGAATGTTTTTTACTCCATATACCAGCTCCTAGCTTTGCCGAGAATCCGTGATTGATCAGCAATTCATGGAAAGCGGTACGTGATATGTTCGAGAAGTGTGGGAAACGCGATACGACGACGATGACGTCGAAAATGAATTCGTTGCAATCCACGAAATCCCTGTCGAGTAGAGGTCGCGTCCAACGGGGTCTTCTCAATCGCGTATGATTCGCGGGTCGCGTATACGACCGGAGGAGAAGTTGTTTTCGAGGAAAGTTATAAAAAAAGCAATGAGAGAATTCCCTCCAGGCCTCTCGGAAGGGAGCAACTCTCTCCGATTCTACTAGTGCATTTCGAATCATGTCATCTTCGCGTCAGTCTCATTAGGAAATGCTGCCCACAGGCGTCATAACCTCGACCTCAATCGATACGGGTGGCTTCTCCAAACGGTGGCAGGATTCAATCGATAGCCCACCGATACGACGGCTGATGGGAATTCGACCGAATTTCTCGTGTAGGCGTGACGTCTCTATTCCCGTCAGACACTGGGATGTTATTAGTAGTTTATTACAACCGTGGAAGCTGTAATGCGAGCACACGTTCGATGAGCCGTCGTATTGCCGACCACTTGGAGACAAGAAGCGAAATTTGAATCGCCTGTGCAAAGGTGCCCAGCCCTGCAGACGCCCGAAACCGGAGGCTTCGAGCAGCAGCTCAGACCTCACTGTCTTTCAAAGTTTCCTGAGGCGCCGGCTCGGCGATCGGACATCGTGTTATCGGCACTTGACAGCTCTCGTGCAAGTTGACCGTGACAAACGAAAACACACCCAGGACAGGGATCCGAAAGTGATTCGTGAGTCAGAAATCGTTGGCTTTCCGTGCGTGACCAAAGCGACAGAGTGGCAAGTCGGCTTCGATTTCCTCGATATCCCATCTTTCTCACCGATGAGTCGATTGAGCGGGACTTCATTTTTCTCTCTTTCGCCTTCTCCTAGCCGGGTGTGTGATCCGTGATTCGCTAGAACCTCTCGCAACATGGCATACAGGGACCGATAACCTACCGCGAGATCAGACCGGAGCATATCGTCGGATCAATCGTTTCCGAATGATTTCATTGCGAAGAGAAGCGAACAGACGGTCTCATGTCGGAGCTGAGTGTCGAGTGTTGACCCCTGTTGTCTACACCTTTACGGATAGGTACACGATTTGTAGTGTCGAACTCTCCTGGTTCGTATCCTGAAACTCCCCGCGCCCATTTCCTCTCATGTGGATGAAATCGGTTATAACGGACCTATTCTTGCCAGTAGACGATTCGGAAGCGACAGCCTTCAGGACTATGCGCGAGTTTTCTCAACCTTGAGCGCGTCTCAACGAAGGCCGCAGCTTTATTCCCGACAATTTCCACGTTTCACTCCGATCTGGATCTGACCTTGTGATATAATAGGTCGCCCCGGCCGGTCCCGTCAAGTCCCTTAGAAGGGGGTTCTGCTATTGTTCGATTTTCCATAGGGGCTGGGCGAAGCTCTCATAAGCTCTGTGCATGCTTTGCCTGTAGCTTCCGCAGGCGACACGCAGGCTACGGAGATCGCCGGGATCCGATTTTTAGTCTGTCGCGTGACCGGAATCTCTCCGACCGAGAAATTCTGAGGTCTTTAGACCAGATTCATCGTTTCGATACTACACCCCGCTCTCTTGGAAGTGCGAAAGCCGTACCGGTGATTCAGTTCTCCCTCTTAAAATCGCCGCCCACGATTTCCCCAATGTACGCGGACATTTACTAGCACCTACGATATAATTTTCGCAACGCAATCGCTCCTCGACCGAGATAGCCGCGGGAGCAGACCGAGGACTTTCCTACGTTAGTCTCGGCGTTCCCATCTTTCGGAATGAGGCTACTCTTTCGCTCCATGAGGGGAGCTGCGCTGTGAGAGCAGGCGGCGCGGCGTGGCCTCGTTCGAGCCTCTCGAGAGGCGACCGGTTTTGCGATCCCGGCTGCCACTCCTAGCCGGTAGCTACCGGATGGAAGGTTTTCCGGAACTATACCACGATTCGTCGACGTAGCCGCGGAACTCTAAGGAACATTTTCCCGATCGGGGATAAGGTTCTCCAGGAGTCATTTTTTGCAATGATGCATTATACAGACTTCTAGAAATCGAGGAAGAAATTAACGAGAGATTTTTCGGAGCAGGAGAACATTGGCTCAGGGTCGAGCATTCGTTATCGCGCAAATTCACTCCTCAGTTCTTAAAGTCAAATCCTCAGTCGCTCAAAATGCTGAATGGAAAACGGACAACCAGCGCCACGGAGTGCGCATCAGACTAGCATGCCTTCTGGTTGACTCAGTCAGAAGCATAAAATCGATGGGAACGAGCTTCCGCAGAGCAG